ATTAAAGATGTATTTTAGGCAGGCGAGACAAGTAGTATCAAGACAATATATTACAAGTACAAAACACTAGTTTGCATCCTATCCTTCGTATTGTTTTTCACACGCAGACGCTTTTGCACAGAAGCTGTTACACACAGACGCATTTACACACAGACGCTTTTACACACAGACGCTTTTACACAGACGCTTTTACACACAGACGCTTTTACACACAGACGCTTTTACACACAATTTTCACACACACAGGCTTTTACACACAGAAGCTTTTACACACAAACACTTTCACACACAGAGGCTTTTACACAGAGGCTTTTACACACAGACGCTTTTACACAAAGAAGCTTTTACACACAGACTCCTTTACACACAGACGCTTTTACACACACACAGACGCGTTTACACACAGAGGCTTTTACACACAGACGCTTTTACACACAGACACTTTTACACGCAGACGCTTTTATACACAGGCGCTTTTACAGGCAGATGCTTTTACACGCAAAGACTTTCACAGACGCGTTTACACACAGACCCTTTTACACACAGACCCTTTTACACACAGACGCTTTTACACACAACACTTTTACACACAGAGGCTTTTACACACAGAAGCTTTTACACACAGAGGCTTTTATACACAGAAGCTTTTACACACAGACACTTTTACACACAGACACTTTCACACACAGGCGCTTTTACACACAGACGCTTTTACACACAGACACTTTTACACACAGACGATTTTACACACAGGCGCTTTTACACGCAGGTGCTTTTACACACAGAAGCTTTTACACACAGACACTTTTACACACAAACGCTTTTACACACAGACCCTTTTACACACAGACCCTTTTACACACAGACGCTTTTACACACAGACGCTTTTACACACAGACACTTTTACACACAGACGCTTTTACACACAAACGCTTTTACACACAGACGCTTTTACACACAGACGCTTTTTACACACAGACACTTTATCACACAACACTTCACACACATAGCTTTTTACACACAGCAGCGTTTTACACACAGGCGCTTTTAACACACAGACCCGCTTTTTCACACAGACCCGTTTACAACGCAGACGCTTTTTTAACAACACAGACGGCTTTACACACAGACGATTTTACTACACACAGACGCTTTTAACACATCAGACGCTTTTTTACACACAAGACGCCTTTTACACACAGACGCTTTTTACACACCCATACACTTTACAAACACACAACCTTTCACACAACATAGGCTATTTACACACAGTACGCTTTTTTAACACACAGAGGCTTTTACACACAGCAATCTTTTTACACACAGGAGCGCTTTTTAACAACACAGACCAGCTTTTACAACACACAAACCCAGACGCATTTTACACAACTAGACGCTTTTAACACCACGACTCTTTTACACACAGGACGCTTTTCTAACACACAGACGCTTTTACACACAGACGCTTTTACACACAGAGCCTTTTACACACAGACGCTTTTACACACAGACGCTTTTACACACAGAAGCTTTTACACACAGACTCCTTTACACACAGAGGCTTTTACACTCAGAAGCTTTTACACACAGGCGCTTTTACACACAGAAGCTTTTACACACAGAACTTTTTACACACAACACTTTTACACACAGAGGCTTTTACACACAGAAGCTTTTACACACAGGCGCTTTTACACACAGAAGCTTTTACACACAGGCGCTTTTACACACAGACGCTTTTACACACAGACGCTTTTACACACAGACGCTTTTACACACAGACGCTTTTACACACGGAAGCTTTTACACACAGGCGCTTTTACACACAGACGCTTTTACACACAAACGCTTTTGCGCTTTTACACACAGACGCTTTTACACACAGACGCTTTTACACACAGAAGCTTTTACACACAGACTCCTTTACACACAGACGCTTTTACACACAGACGCTTTTACACACAGAAGCTTTTACACACAGACTCCTTTTACACACAGAAGCTTTTACACACAGACGCTTTTACACACAGACGCTTTTACACACAGACACTTTTACACACAACACTTTCACACACAGAGGCTTTTACACACAGAAGCTTTTACACACAGGCGCTTTTACACACAGAAGCTTTTACACACAGACACTTTTACACGCAGACGCTTTTACACACAGACGCTTTTACACACAGACGCTTTTACACACAGACGCTTTTACACACAGACGCTTTTACACGCAGATGCTTTTTACACACGCACACACACTTTCACACACAAACGCTTTTACACACAGACGCTTTTACACACAGACGCTTTTACACACAGACGCTTTTTCACACAGACCCTTTTACACACAGACGCTTTTACACACAACAGCTTCACACACAGAGGCTTTTACACACAGAAGCTTTTACACACAGAGGCTTTTATACACAGAAGCTTTTACACACAGAGGCTTTTACACACAGAAGCTTTTACACACAGGCGCTTTTACACACAGATGCTTTTACACACAGACGCTTTTACACACAGACGATTTTACACACAGACGCTTTTACACACAGACACTTTTACACACAGACCCTTTTACACACAGACGCTTTTACACACAGACTCCTTTACACACAGACGCTTTTACACACAGACGCTTTTACACACAGAGACTTTTACACACAGACGCTTTTACACACAGAGACTTTTACACGCAGAAGCTTTTACACACAGACGCTTTTACACACAGACGCTTTTACACGTCCTTTCGTGCGAAGGGTTGCGATTGACCAAGAAATCGCAATTTTCCTCAGTTTTTGACGTCCCCACCTCCATTTCGTGTTTAAGGGTTGCGATTGACACCTAAGTCGCAATTTTTCCTCAGTTTTGACGTCCACGTCCTTTCGATGCGTAAGGGTTGCGCGGGACGCTTCAAAGTCGCAATTTTTTCTCAGTTTTTAACGTCCAACGTCCATTTCGTGCGAAAGGGTTGCGCGCGACCAATAAAAGTTGCAATTTTTCCTCAGTTTTTGACGTCTAACGTCCATTTCGTGCGAAAGGGTTGCGCGGGACGCTTCAAAGTCGCATTTTTTCCTCAGTTTTTGACGTCCAACGTCCATTTCGTGCGAAAGGGTTGCGCGCGACCAATAAAAGTTGCAATTTTTCCTCAGTTTTTGGCGTCCAACGTCCATTTCGTGCGAAAGGGTTGCCGGCGACGCTTCAAAATCGCAATTTTACCTAGGTTTTGGACGTCCAACGTCCATTTCGTGCGAAAGGGTTGCGTTTCGTGGCGCTCCGGCGGCACCGCCCCCACCGCCCCCGCCTTAAGAGAGAATAGAAGAAGAGCGAGAGGAGATCTGCAGATGTGAAGGTCTGAAGATCTAGATCTGCAGGTGTGAGGGTGTGAAGATCTAGATCTGCAGATGTGAGGGTGTGAAGATCTAGATCTGCAGGTGTGAAGATCTAGATCTGCAGGTGTGAAGGTGTGAAGATGTAGATCTGCAGATGTGAGGGTGTGAAGATCTAGATCTGCAGGTGTGAGGATGTGAAGATCTAGATCTGCAGATGTGAGGGTGTGAAGATCTAGATCTGCAGGTGTGAGGGTGTGAAGATCTAGATCTGCAGGTGTGAGGGTGTGAAGATGTAGATCTGCAGATGTGAGGGTGTGAAGATCTAGATCTGCAGGTGTGAGGGTGTGAAGATCTAGATCTGCAGGTGTGAGGGTGTGAAGATCTAGATCTGCAGGTGTGAGGGTGTGAAGATCTAGATCTGCAGATGTGAGGGTGTGAAGATCTAGATCTGCAGGTGTGAAGGTGTGAAGATGTAGATCTGCAGATGTGAAGGTGTGAAGATCTAGATCTGCAGGTGTGAAGGTGTGAAGATGTAGGCTAGATCAGCATGTGAAGGTGTGAAGATGTAGATCGGCAGATGTGAGAGTGTGAAGATCTAGATCTGCAGGTGTGAAGGTGTGAAGATCTAGATCTGCAGGTGTGAAGGTGTGAAGATCTAGTATAACGGCTGCTTTTTTACGAAGAACCCTTCGCAGGCGCTCTCGGGAAAAAAACACCATTCTTACTTGATTTTCGTAGCTAGAAACCTCCCCTTCTTTTTGGGGTGTTCAAGCTAGCCATGTTTGATTGCCAGATGGCAACTCCATTTATATCCCATGATTCTCCCAATCTCATTAGCTATGGAAAATCAGCTATCCCACAGGCTGGTGCCCCAGTTCGGAATCGCTAAGTAGATTTATAAGTCCAATGTCACTATGGTTTCGAGGTGATATATCGAAGTAATTAATGGCATTATAACTACAACCAACCCATTTATAACTGAGGGGGCACCACCTTGCATGGGATTTCAATGCTGCCTTGATTCCAGACCAACCTGTCATCCCAGAAGCTTCCTCCATCAGGTCCAGTGTATGATCAAGGCCTGGTCCGCCTGTGAGATCGATATGGATCTCAGGGCTATGTGGAGTAGACGGGCACAGAATACCCCGAATGGGCAACAAGATATATATGTGATATGTGCATGTGTATTATATATATAGTGTACATATATACATGTATATATATAATCAATTAATTAAGTAAGTAAATAAATCAATAAATAAATAAATAAATGTATAAATGCTGGATTTTCATATCACAGCCATCTTATCTCATAATGAATTATACCCAACAACCGTATGGGCAACAAGACCGGCATATCACGCGCAACCATGTTGGCTACAGCCGTGTGTCAGGTCATGATCATATCAAATCTATGCCATCCGTGTGTCCATACTTCTCAAACCCAAAAACCTACCTATTTCACGGCTATTCTTAGAGGTACCCTGCAAAGAAGTCAATATTTATTCGCTAGTGAGTCTACAAGTCACCCATATTCACATTGTCCCAGTTTTTCAAAACGCGAGACTTTAAAACCTCAGATTTCAGCCTGGTTGTCCCTTAGAGCTAACCTCGGCCCCTCCAAACCTCCTAAAACGTCGTCGTTGGCACTGCGCGAAACGCTCAGGGCGGGTCGTTGGTCAAGCCATCCACCAACTGATACACCACGGCGGCCGTGACATCGGCGACCACCTGCCTCGGGGGCTGGACATGGGATGAAAATAATAGGGGCGATGGAAAAAAACACGCTTGAAAGATGTTGAAAAACACGATATATATATACATGCATATGTATGTATATATAATTATTAAAATCATTATTATTGTTATTATTATCATTATTTATTATTATTATACTATATATTTATCATAGATATATTGATATAATTCATTAAAATGGAGAGGTCACTATCGGATCATTTCACCGACTTTCATACAGTTCAGGCCCAGGCCTATTTGGATTCTCTGAAAAATATGGTACTCAAAAAATTTATGGTTGATAAAACCATTGCCACCAGTAAGATTGAGAATAAAATTGGGATTATCCTTCATTTTTTGGACGAACCCAAAACCACTATCCGTTGATTAAAATCACTTTGTTCATGTTTAAATCACTATTTTGGCTGGTGACCCTCTGGTAATTTAACATAGCTATTGAAAATGGCCATAGAAGGTTCGTTGATTTGCCTTTCAAAAATGGTGGTTTGCTATAGTTTACCAGAGTGTAATCATCATCAATCATCATCAATCATCATGAAAAGCCCGTAAAATCCCATTGAAATAGCTAGCTATAAACTCCCATGTGAAATCCGTGCCGAGGTGCTTGTTGTCCAGGTACTCCTGAAGAGCCCCCTGAGGGTGTTTGCTCAACCCGTTGCAGGCGTTGTCACAGCAACACAACCTCGGCACTGGTGACAGAAACCGAGCTATGGATGGTGTAAATCCATTTAAACATATAGGATAAGCACCCTCCAAAAGGTAGAAAAGTAAATTCCGACTGAAATAGAGATAAATGACATGTCTATATTTTTCGACCTTACTCTATATCACAAACATCCTTGAACCCTAGTTAACCATGCTTCACCTACTGAGCTTAACCAACGTAGCATAGGAGGAAAACGACTTTGCTAAGTAGGATGCGTCACCATACAGCTGGTTGGCATCATGGGGATTCAACGAGCCCTTAATGGAATGGCTATAAAATGATGGTTGTACATGGTTTAACCCACTATAATGGCTTTACCATACCCAGTATACATTATTTCACCATGGGGTAGTGGGTATATTACCATATGGCTATTCACCAGCAAAATTCTGGTGGTATAAAATCAAAGGTAATTGGGGTATAGTGGGATAAGTCTCCCAGGTCGGAGACTCTCACAATAAGGCTTTTTTACATAGGTCGGGGTGCGCGTCCAAAATGAAGTGAACTTTTAACCTGTTTCTTTGTACAGAATCCCGATTGCATACCCTCCATATTCCAGAACATGCTCTGCAGAATCCCTCACACAAATCGCTGATAGAAGGGCAAAAACCTCTACATTTTCTACCAATTCCAGGCCCTTTTTGGCACCTTAAGTTCCAACATTCCACTTATTAAAGCTAGTTTTGGGACCGAAAGTAGTTGTAGAGATACTTCGGTGTGGTGGCTCAATGTTTGCGTGTGTGTTTGTGTATCCTGACTTTGCAAAAGTATCAACTTCACCTTGTTTTTTTAATCTGCGCGTGCTATTGAGAGGCCGCTTCCAGATTCTGCTTGTTTATTTGGGATTTTAAGCGGTCTGGTTTCTGATTCTGTGGATTATTTTGGGTTTACGCTTCGTGTTGTCTTTTTTAACGATAAATGTTCCTGGGTGCGTAATCCACTTGTGTTAATGATTCTGGCGGTTAATCATCACTTTTTTAATGATCATCTTCTGGGGGCCAAAGCTACCGGTGTTTTCCACTCCGAAGCCTCTGGGAATGTATTCCTCCTCTATAAATCCTGGTGATCTGTCACAACATATGCAATCACAGGCAAATACACGTGTAGTCCATAAGAATACATACATGAAACATTATCATATATATATATATATGTATATACATAATTACATAGAGATGACTATATAATTGTATAGACATGTCATCGCCCGGTGCCATTGCATCAACCATACCAACTGAACCTCCGCCGGATGAAGGTTTCTATGCGGCCGGTGGAAGGAACCCTTTTGCTGTCCAGGAACAAAAAGTAGGGCACCTGCCAAGGCGCTGCGGCTGATGTTGTGCAGTCTGATAGGGGGTATCTATAGATAAATATATGCATATTCTAGTTGGTGGTTTTAAGCATCTTGAAAAATATTAGTCAATGGGAAGGATTACCCATATATTATGGAAAATAAAAAATGTTCCAAACCACCAACCAGTATTATGTGATATGTGTATATATATTATATATCACACATTTCTTGTGGATCTGTCTGTCCATCCGTCTAGCTGGCTATATACCTTGCTATCCATCCAGCCCATCCAGCCATCCATCCATCATGTGTCTCACCTGCATATAATGATGGTGGTGTAAATTGGGTGTCCGAAAAATTGGCAACTCCTGCAGTTCCTGGCGCCTTGAACGACCTGACCTGTGGTCGGTTATCGGGGAATTTCGCCGCTTTTTGGAGGGCAACCCACTCCGAGAAACAAGCCATGCGATTGGCTGGAGAAAACTAGGGCATTCACATATTCAAATTGAGAGACCTGCCATACAGAAGATCAACAATGGCCACGTTCAACCGGGACCCATTGCAATGTTGTGTAATGTTGTGTATATCTGAACAAGTCCTCTCAAACCACACACCACTTATCCACTTCATCCAAGCCAGGAAGTGCACTTATCCAAAAATCAAAACCCATGGATTCTGAAAACTGCCATGGATAAACGGATAAACCATAGGCACAACATTATGGATTTTGCCTAAGATTTTGAATCCGCTAAATCTCTCGGAATTGCCTTTTTTAAGCGGTAAAACCCCCTGGGTTTGGAAGCTGCTTCTTTCTCTACCTGCTTATTCATAGCAGGGAAACATCCATGAAGAACTGGGTTTGTCCCAAAATGGTACCCCAAATCGTCACTAGCTAGTCATCATCTTCCCCATGCCACAAGTTGAGGGCCATACCCCCATGATCAAACGCCCCCCAGTCCACCAAGATCCCATGCCTGAAGCTCTTCGCACAACATCCATTCGTTGCCCGCAGTCATGCCAACCACGTGCCCGATGCCTGCTGCTGGATGAAGGTCAAATTAAGGGTCAGTGCACACGATGGTGGTCCCCCATCCGTAGCTACTCTCATTTTTGTTGTGTCAAATCCCGTCCTCCCGATTTAGATTCCAATCTTTACAAACTGATCTCCATGTTTCCGGCTTATATAAATCCGTACTCTATTAGCTTAAATGTCAATGGTTTCTAAATGAAATCCGAGTGTTTCTGGCCAAATCCGAATGTTTTCACCTCAATATCCATCTTCACATCATCTTCAATCTACATGTTCCCTGACTAAAGTACCATTCCGTTCCCCCAATGTGAAAAACAAAAACGATGCGAAACTCTGGTGCCAGATACTGCCAGGAATTGGGATCTAAAGTAAATGGTTCCCTGACTAACCCCATGTTTGTAGTTCATAAACCCATATTTTGGTTTGCTAAATAACGATTGTGGTAGCTTAAATATGCTTAAATCAGAAGTGTTGCTTGGTTCAACCAGCATGTTAAAACATACTAAAAACCACCATTTCTGCGGCTTGAAGCACCAGTTGTGTAGCTTAGAAAAGTCCGCATTTTTGGTGCACCCGTGGGGAAAGCCAACCCGGATGTCCTCGGTAGCTGCGGATCTCCGCGCGGGTCTCGAAGCGAGGGCCCACGGTGTTGACGTAGACCATCTCCTGTGGCGCGGTCAGCCATGGGAGCCATGGGAGCCATGGCCACAGCCAGGAGGTTCCTAAAATGGGGGAGGGTACCCCAGGGTACCCAACTCCAAGTCACAAATGACTATTTGAAAAACTCGGATTGAGGATTGAAACTACTTTCAGGGTTTGGGGATCCTCCATTTTAGGAAAGCCTTTTTGATACAATTTTATGTTGGGTTGGTTTATAATGGAACATGTTAATCCAAAAACATGGTGTATTCATCGAATATGGGGTGGGGTCATGCATTTTGTTATGCTATGGTTTGGTGATAGTGACATTTGGATACATGTGGATATATTTGGTTTGAAATAAACTTCAATATATGGAAAATGGTTTGGTTGCAGGAACAAAGAATCCTATACATCTCTTGGTTTTCAATGCTGACTCTCTGAAAAAATAGAGGGAACTGTTGGTATATGATTTACCCATTGGTTCAATGAGGCTACCATAACCCTGTGTCAATTAACCAACCAGAGGAAAAACCCGGTGCAACTGGGTGTTTGGGGCCATGATCATATGTTGGTATCCAAAATGACGCGGGTCATAACCACAATGATACCCCAAAGTATGTGGCCGGGCCGTGACATGTTCAGTTTTGATATGGAATACTAAAATGATGCCATAGTTTCCTTTTTTTATGATATTTATGATAGACTGGTTGGTGGTTTCAACCCCTCTGCAAAATATTAGTCAGTTGTTCACCTTATTCCCAATATATGGAAAAAATGTGCCAACCCACCAACCAGTTACAGTATGGCTACATATTGATCGCCTTGTGTTTCGGCTTGGTGGGAATCCTACAGAAGCCCGATTTAAAAAAAAATCCAAAGAAACAACCAGGGATTCAATCAGCCAATGATTGGTTGAATAAGATGGTTCACGGGCAAACCTGGCTGGGACATCTCCCATATATATATATTATCTATTATCTATTATATATATATATGTATATTAGTGGGCCTTACTAGGGAAAACACATAAAGATTATAAATCATCATGTCATATCATTTACAAATGGCTTGTGAAATATCTTATAGGCAGGAAAATCAATGAAAGCCATGTCTGCAAATATCTACACTAGATTTGCTAAGTATATGCATACCTTTGCCATATGCATACATTTACATAAGCAGTCAGACTTAGCTGATTACAAGGTTTGGTGGCAGCCAACCACCAACCGCCCGCTTCAAAAAAGTGAGTGAGTCCCTGAAATCCCCCTGAAATATAGCATTCATCAAGGGGATCATCGTCACATTGGTTTTTTGGATTGTTCAAAAACATTTCAACCACCCCATGCCAGTTCACATATCAAATGTCCTCCCAAATCACTCCGAAATCACTCCGAAGTTGGTGGATTTGGAATGATTTAATGTCAACTCCGGATTAATAAACCATGGTTTATTAATTAGGGGGTACCCTCCAAATAGTGACAATATGGTACAAATGGTACCCTCCCAATTTAACAGCCTAGGGTTTATTTATCCAGGGTTGACATTACCCTCCGGTATCAAACCTGGCTGGAAAATCCCTGCCACTTCGAGGATTTTCCCAGCAAACCTCCATGGCTTCGGGGATCAAAACCAGCCTCACCCTGGACCAAAGGCCAACTGCTGGCCGATTGACCCTTGGCAAACTTCACCTGGCGCCGCGGTGCAACCTCGAAGAGCCTCCAATTTTTGCAGGCTGGAAGCTCCTGAATTAAGGAAAAATTGAAAAACACATGTTAAGATGTTAAGTGATGGTAAATCCCATAAATTTCCATGTTTGGGGATGCTCAAAAATTGCTCAAACTCCACGCAAGTGCTGCCAGCTCCCCGGTGGCACCTTGCCGTTGGCCTTCCCCGGCACAGCTTGCAGGATTCGCTGGATGCGGGTCATCCAATCCTGGCTGCGTGGGTTTTTGGAGGTTTTGGATATTTGGGTTTTGGATGTTTCATGGTGTTACCTATATGGGGATGGGTCAAAACCCTGGTACCGTGCCGTGAACCCCAAGTCATAGCTGGGTTAAAATGGATGTGAATAACCCACTAAAAATGTATCTATAGGTATTGACCCATACCCATATTTTAGTTTTGGATGTGTGAATTTTGAAGCTGGGACTTCAAGATTCCAGGTAGGCGTGCTTTTTTTTCTTGAATAATAGTTTGTTGCTTGCGTGATGCAACAATGGCATACAATGGCGGGGTTCCCACAATGCTTTGGCCCAAGTGGCAGTGCCAGCCCGTTCGGAATAGTAGAATCCCCCGAACTAATGTCCTATCAACCAAGCATGAGTTTTTCACGAGTGATATAGCCATGTATAACCAGATGCTTTTGGTCAAAACCCTATAAATGATGGTTAAATCATCGTAAATCACCATAAACTCCTTGTTTCATCATCAACCAGCCAGCGGATCAATATCGCCCCATCCAAGGTCCGCCTTGCGCATCTCTGGGTCTGCCGGGGAGTAGTGGATGCGACCCACACCTGGAGATGGCACCGAAGATATCGTCCGTTTTTCTATGGTGAAACCATGGTAAAACCCTCAATTTACCCAAGTTCACCCTGAAAAATGAGGTCTTAGACCGTTGGATTTTAGGGTTGGGTATACCGTTACGGAATACCCTATTGTTGACAAAGCCATCTAAGATCGATCAATGGGCATATCATAATTAATTATCATGCTATGGATGATTAATGTACGTGTGTGTATATATATAATAAATCCCAGACCTGGTGTTCAAACGACAAAATCGTTTGGTCAAGTACTTAACACAAATCCTTTTTGCGGGTCCATTGGCACCGAGTTTCTGAGATATAGAATGTACGTGAATGTGGGCATGATAGTTCCAATATAGAAATGTAAGAATTGCCAACCAGTCCCTTTTGGTGTCTTCAAATCTACAGTGTATGCATGTAGTGTAATGTAGTGAAATGTAGTGTAGTGTAGTGTAGTGCAATGCAATGCAATGTAATGCGTCTATGTATCTATGATTATCTATGCATATGTGTATCTATCTGTGCATGCCTCCATCCATCCATCCCATCCCTCACCTTCTTCAGGGGCTTGGAACGAGCCGATCTTCGGATGACCCCAAAATGTCATGGCTGAGGGCGTCACCATGTAGTAGTCCTGGCGAAGCCCTACAAGGTGGTGCCCAACTGGTTCCACCTAGCAGAAACCATAGCTAAGCCATAAACCCACTTAGCTAACTGGGGTGGGCACAAGCACCGTAGAAACGGATGATCTCCTTAAATGGGATGGATGAATTCGATTGGAATCCAGAGATATGATCTTGTAGATGCTGCTGACTTGACTATTTCGCGAAATTGACTGGGATCCTGTTGCAGCTGCAATGAAACAGCGCGTCTTTTGATACCCAGAAACCATACCATACTAACTCTCCCTTTAAAAAATATCCGCACTGATCACTCAATGGTTCCCGAAACGGCTAGGCATGTTTTAACGCCCCAAACAGATCAAGAGGGGTCACCCTGAAATGTCGCATTACACCGTTGTAAATCGCTGATGACCTGCCCCGTTGTAAATCAACTCCCGATCCCAGAGATTTCTCCTATCTGCTCGGTCAATGGCTGCAGATTCCCCGAAGATTTCGGAAACAGTAAAAACAACCAGACGTATTGATGTGAGCGCTTGGTTTAAGGAAAGATTTGCCGATGGGCCGATGGGTCCAAAGTGATTTCCAGAAGAAAACAAACACATGAATAAAAATAGAGTACCCTCTGGTAAACGTTTACATAGCTATTGAAAAGTCGAAATAGTGGATTTTCTCATTCAAAATGGTGGATCTTTCCAGTTCGTTATGTAAACGTTGACCAGGTGATTTAACATAGCGAACTGGAAAGATCCACCATTTTATAGCTAGGTAAATCATCTATTTCGATTAGGGCCATCTATACCATGGCGAAGTGTTAGTCATAACCAGAGGGTACATAGACTTTACGTTCGCCTCTGCAGCCAACATGGAGCCCACCGGGATGTCGTCCTGAGGTTTGTGGCGACGTTTGTGGGGCTGGATCCTGAAAATCCATGGAGGTTTAGAGCTGGGAAAACATCCATGTTTATAGCTGGGAAAACATCCATAAATCGTGGATTTTCCAGAAAGCCAGACTTGATTTTCTGGAGGGTCACTCTGCTATTTTTGGGCTGGTCATACTGTAAATGTTCCATACATGGAGTATATTGTATAGCAGTATAGCATTCACGAAGTGATTCTATCCAAGAATAGTAGATTTCACCCATAAACATCGGTTGCAACCGACAACACTTGCAAGAAGCCAGCAAAATGACCCTTGGGCTGTTAAATACAGTTGGAGTGTGGCCGAAATATGTAGCAAATGAAATTACGTTCAGGGGGGTGTTCTGATAAAATTGATTAATGCCGGGACGATATGGATATCACAGCCGATATCAGCCATAAACATGTTCTTCTTGCTGAGCTCAGAAATTCAGGTTAACTGCGCTCGGATTTCGGCCTAGCCAAAGAAGTTTTGAACACGGAAAACCATATTCAACAAGGCAAATCACCTTTTTTCAACCCCAGTGTTTTGCCTTTCTTTGATATATGTAGTTTTCAGCTGGCATTCAGGTTGAAATGTGTATAGTTTATAATATAACATATATCATTTAATTCTGTTCAAGACTGTTTCTGATTGGTTGTCTCAACCCTCCCTGAAAAAAGAAACAGTTCAACGGGGATCATCATCCTAGGTAAGACGAATTGTTCAGCGAATGTTTCAAACCAACAGCCAGATCGTGAATTGCTAATGAAGAATGAAGTGTTGTATGAACCAGTCGATATCATACTGCTGGTATTGGTTGCCAGTTGAAAATAAAACATAATATAATCTTTCAAATCACCAAAAAACAGACTTCAACACCAATGTTTTCACATGTGCCGTGTGTTACATCCCAGTGAATATATATATATATATATATACGTGTATATATATATATCCCACGAAATCTCTATTTTTTACTGGTGAAATCCATCAAACTTGAGCCGAGTTGCTGGGTGCAAGGTGCCAGTGCTACTCAGTGACACCACTGCGCTGCATTGGGAGGAGACCACCAGGGCCCAGACCAGCGCGCGGTAGTTCACCTTGCCCACGGATGCCCACGGAACGAATGGCTATGGCGGCTATGGCTCCAAAATTTTGGACAGAAATTGGAAGTGAAGCTTCGATTTTCTAAGGATGATATAGATGATGTAAGCTTCGAAAATTATCCAACCAACCAGGGAGTTCGCCGTCAAAGATCGGCATTTGATCATCGATTTTTGGGGATTCATCATCCCACGGCATCCCAGCATCAGTGAGAAAATGGGCATATACCCTCTGGTAAACGTTTACATAACTATGGAAAATCACCATTTTTAATGGGTAAATACACTATAAATAGCAATTTTCAATAGCTATGTTAAATTACCAGAGGGTAAATCACGATTTTTTGCATTTCAATGGCATATAAATGACATTTCATGACCATCTTCCAATACCATCTTCCAATGGTATACCATATTATACCATCCAACTTTTCATAACTGCTCACTATGGCACATATGTTTCCTACATGTTCCTAGCATCATCTCTAACTCGATCTGACACCAGGACTGCTCCGGGTCGAGGGTGCCGACCCAGAAACGGCTGGTTCTTAAACCATCCATGGGCCGGCCATTGACACATCCCAAGAATGTCCCCATTAAACCCTAGGTCCCAGGATGTCCTATAGGAATCATCACCATTTTCAATGGCATTCGAAAACCCGACAGAAGGGGCCCCAAACGATGGGTAAGTTGAACATCACCGGGGCCAACGATTGGATTGTTGGATATTTCAATAGTACTTATCCCATGGTGGGGAGAGCCCCCACTAGTGGCGAATCTATGGGCCATCCCAGGCAATTCCCCAAATGTGGTAAACCCATGAACAGTCCCCAAGTTGACCAGAAATGGGTAGAAATCATCCCCAAATGGTCGGGTTCATAGCATTGGGTTTACCACACCATAGATCGTCTACCCTCTGGCAATCAAACACAGCAACGGAAAACCCCCCCATTTATAGATGATTTTCCCATGAAAGGAGCCATTTATAATACAAATAGGGGATTTCCTAGCCAGCCATGTTTGATTACGAGAGGGTAAACATGGTTTGATGTTCCATTGCCAGCACTACCCCATGTCTCAAACCACCAACTTCTTCGCACCTCATGCGGAGGCGCATACTCTGCCTGGAATATCTTCAGAGATGGAAGCTGTGCTGGGAAATTCTCTTCCGAACCATGTCTTAAAGGAAATCCCACAAGAAACCCATGGGTTTTTACCAACAAATATGGAGCTGTCCGTCGTAAATTCTCCCTGGAACCAATCCAGTGAAAATTTGGATCAACTGATCAACATAGTTTTTTTTCCATTTTTTGGGAAAAAATCTGACGGGATTTCTGGGAGAAAACGGGTTTGGGTCGTATTTCTGGGACTCACAAAATGGTGGACTAGACACCAAAAAAAGCTGCGCTTGGGGGCCCTGAAATTTCTCCCAATATCCCATGGTGAAAGAAACAATCCTCCCCATTAAAGCAATATTTTTTTGGGGGGGGTATCCCACATTTCTGGATTATGTTTTCTATTCCATTATTTGGATCCCATCATTTCGTCCAATAGTGAAGTTCCCCATGTCTTGCGATAAATAATGCAAATCTCAATGGCTGAAGAAATATGTTCCCTCATATCCCGATCTAAAAAACCATCTAAAAATCTCATCAAATTCCAAGTGGGTTATAAACCCCAGTTATAAATGGGATAAGTAGGGTTAATCCACTTATAACTGGGGTTATAACCCACTTTCTAAGTGGGATGAGCCACCAAGTATCCACCATTTCTTTATGGTAAATCCATCATTTTTCTGAGTTGAATCCCCTGGTTTGCCTGGCCCTCCGCATTCAGCGTGGTGCACAGGTGTCGGTTGGCAAAGATGACCCGTTTGGCGTCGTCCAGAGCGGCTAAGACGCCTTGGTGAGCCGAAATGGAGACGACTGGTGGATTTGCCATCCACAAAAATTGGGAGTTGTATAACGAGGAAAAACCAGATTACATCATCGAATAATGGAATATGCAGATATATATATATATCATGAAAAATGAAGATTTATCCTAGGATGACACTTGGGAATTTTGACCAACAAAAACAGGAAAATTGGCAATATGGCACCATCAAAATGCTAGATTTACCATGAAAATCGGAATGTCATTGTGGAAAATGCTGATATACTATCTGATATACTGGGGACATAATTAGGATGTTTATTTCACGGTCCATTTGGGTCTAACTCATGGCGGTTACAAATAGGGAAAATGATGATAAACCATGATTAAAACTGTAAAATTTTGGGCAACAAGTAGGAATCATGGTGATAAACCTTGAAACTTTGTGGTACCCGATTTTCAGATAAACCCATGTGGTTTGGGGTTGGACTGGTTGTACCCTCTGATTGTCTGACCTGGCCAGGGAAAAAATGCCATGTTTTCAATGGGAAAATCCTCCAAAACAACCAGTTTAAATGGTTGCATGGACAATGAACAGTAAATTATTTATTTAAAAAACGTAACCCACCAACAAAATTGCACCGTAACTGGGATACAGCCAGGTTGAGCTACCCATGCCAAGATTCCATACAGGGTTTCCTTTCCAACAGGACCCCGAAACAAAACCAAAAACCCAACAGACATGATGGCTGCACCAAATATTTGGTTGAAGGATTTCCAGTGAATCACCAGTGAATGGTTGCTCGACTGAAACGTTAACTCGGATGCCATTGGATGTAAACTGCATATCTGGAGTATTCAAACCTGGGAAAGGAAAAATCATCATCTATGAAAATACATGGTGGCTTAACTAGTGAGGACCCGCCAAAAGTAACCCAACCCCTATGAGTCCTGTGGCAATCTTGGCCAATTGAACCGGAATTTAGGGCTATGAAATCTTAACCTATCCCCAAAAGAAACTTCGGTTCTGGGGTGACCCCCGGAACTCGTCGCGGGCGTCGAATCAGTTACTGTAAGAACTTCACAAAACCTGGGGGTATAAGCATGAAAGAATGGGGATAAGAAATGAGTGACACACTCTCTCCATGATTTTCACGCAACCCACCTGACCAACGCAGTCGAGATACACTTCCCAAAGGGTGTCTCCACGGTCCAGCGGTCATCGCTCTTCACCTCCCAAAAACACACAGCAATGTCAGGTCGCCCAGGCAAAAATCACGCAAGCATCATGGCGCAAGCATCATGGCGCAAGCGTCATGGCGCGGTGATCATGATTTGCTGTTTTCGTTCCAAACAGACGCTGGTGGCAGGCTGAGTTCCCACCTGCACCCCGCTACCACCAATCAGGCCATAGCGCGGCAAGGCTCCCAGGGGCTCTCCCAGTGGCCTTAGCACCGGGCCGTCATGAGTCATGGGATGTAAATGGGATTGTTCCCAAATATCTATAGATAATTATGGATATAGATTGTTCCCAAATATATAGATATCTCAAATTTAAAGATTTCATTTAGATATTTCGAACTAATCCAAACTTCAATCTTTAAGCCTCTATATCCATCTATCTATTCTGTTGTTCGCTTCTCTTGCCATGTCTTGTCTTGTCTTTTCTTATTTCGTCTTGTCTGTCTATGTAATGTCGTGCGTCCAATGTTGGGGGAAGCAAGTGCTATGAACCCTCCCTAATGGGAGGTCTATCATTGGGTTTATCACACTCTATACCGGAACCTGTGTTTTCTCGCACAAAACGGCCCTTCTTTTTCACGGACCCCCACGAAGTCTGCGAAGGGTTGTTGTCGCAAAATATTGTGAAACGAGCCATGAAGCAAATTTTGTGTCTTACGCGTGGCAAGGGGCCACACCTAGTATACCGTCCATCCCTGCAAGGCGGTTAGAACCGCGGATGAAACATGTGTTAAAACCGTGGGGAATAAAAAACAAGATATTGTGTCATCTTGGGCAAACATTAGGTTCTGCGGGTATGTATATGGATATAGATATTAGATATAGATATAGACTAGATATTGGTTGTTTGGATTCCCATGGGGTTGTCACAGGTTTACTGTAGAATCCCAATGATTGGGCGGTTATATCATTCAGAGATACAGTAAGTCTTTGTGAGAATCCCGGATTCTTTTGATCAATGTTGTTGGTTTTCAAAGGGAAATTTGACGGAAAACCATGGTTTTCTACGATTCTAGAGGCGTTTGATAGACCCGAAGTCATGTGCAAGTGTAAGACCCGTCCTTTAAAAGATCAAAGCTGGAAATCCCATCATATCCATCATTATCATATATAGGAAGGATATACCTTTGGCATCTGCTTGTGGGCCACTATCATGCCTCATTCTCGTACAGACTATGTCACAGCAATCACTTCTTTGGAACATGGATCTTCCATTGCAGAGCACTATATAGTTGGTTGGGCTACTGCGTTCCATTCGGGTTTGTCTGAAGGGTACCGCAAAACCTCATGATTGTGATCATTATTTTCCCCTTGATTTAGCCTGAAAATGGGGGCCATCCCAATTGCTAGGACAAATAACATATAGTAAATATACTATAATATAATATGGTATACATGTATACAATTTTATACATGTATACCACTATTCATATCATTAACTGGCATCTGTGTTATTGTTTGATTCCTGCCTATATCTCCGCTTCAACTCTGGGTCTCCCGGACCTTGACGTGCCAAGTCCCATTGTGCGAAAACCGGGGTTCAGCGGATTCGCGGCCGCTTAAGGCTGCTTGGCTTCACCAATCACCGGAAGAAAGTGGGGGGTTCATCCGCAAAGTTATTCGGATATCAATGGAGACCCATATTGGTTCAATGGGAGATCTTCAGGATCCTAAAATGGAGGTACCTACCATATATTTTTGGCCTATGTTTCAGGCCTATGTAAGTGAATATCACCACAAAATATGGCCTTATATGGTACAGTACCTCCATTTTAGGATCCTGGAGATCTCCCATTGATTGGTGATATAAAACCCATATGGGTGACGTGTGGAGATAAACACAACATACTACACAACCATTGGTGATATATGTGTGATATATGGAGATAAAACTGGTGGAGATATATGGAGGTGATATCAACGGAGACATAACATAACCACAAATGGGATATACCCTCTGGTGAACTAACATAGCAATGGAAAATGACCATTAATAGTGGATTTTCCCATTAAAAATAGTGATTTTCCATAGCTATGTTAAATTACCAGAGGGTATAAAGCCAACCATGACTGGTGGAGATATTGGTGACTGGTGGAGATCCGATTTTTTTTGTGTCCGCACTTAAATGAGCTGAGTAAATTCAAGGTTGAAGATGGGAGATAAATCACCATTTTTAATGGGTAAATCACCATTTTTAATGGGTAAATCAGCTATAAATGACAATTTTCAATAGCTAAAACATCTGGTTGGTGGTATACCTACCCCTCTGAAAAATATGAGTTCGTCAGTTGGGATGATTATTCCCAATATATGGAAAGTCATAAAAGTCATGTTCCAAACCACCAGCCAGATATAAATGGATGTAAAGCCATCATTCCAGTGACGTCGAAAATGGATGTGGTCTCCATGAGTATCTCAGTTTATCTCCCAGTTTCTGGTACCAATGGTACCAACCAGCTAGAGTTGAGTATCAACCCCACAAATAATTTGGAGAGTTCAGCCCACCAAAAATGGAAGTAAAAGGTGACCAGAAAATTCGGAATACAATTGATTCACTCTCCCCGAAACCGGATGGCTTGCGGTAACAAGAAGAATGACCAGCTCATGTGTGGTTTTGTGGGCCTTCAGTGTTGACCAATCTCCATGTTGGAAAAGAAATTCATCAGGAATACTCCCTGGTGGGATTGTGCGGATTGCTACATGATGATCTGAAAGAAACAGCACTTGGTGCAGTAACGATGTGGCCTGGAGGGTCGCTTTAACTTGCCGCATTTACCCATGTTGGTGAAATCCCGGTCGTCGTTTCATGTTGCTTACAGAAAAACATAAAATTAAGTGCTCCCGTGCTACCCCTAAAATCTAAAATTTATTCAACTGTCATGGCAAACATCTGATGTTTTGATGGTTACAGTGACTGCCAGCATATTGATCTTGGAACCCCAAGATCAGCATCTCGCTCCCCGCCTGGGTCGTTCCGGCCGCTCCGGGCTGCCCTCGCGGCGCCGCGATGGCTGCTGTTCCTGTGGCCCCCCCAAAGGTGACTCATCAGGGGGGTCTGAATGCTGAATCGTCAGGACTTGACCCGTCTCTACTAAAATATGAGGTAGAAACGGTAGAATGATGCTATATGTGGATTGAACCAAGCACATGGGGTTAGATACGCAGTGGAATATATCACCAAGAATATCACTTGGATTTGTTCCCCAAAAATTGGTTTTAGTTTAAGCCACACAACAATAGGGGGAGTAAGGATGGTATGATGAAACTTCAGATGGACGGTTCAAGTATCTTGATAATGTATATAGTATAGCATTCAAATGTATTGAATCCACAATAGACAGAATCTATAGTCTATAATGTATGTATCGAGAGACGGAGATTGCATGGTACATTTTTAAATGGTTTAGTACTGTAGTATATGAATTTCAAGCTAAACACACGTCATTCGCGATATTATTGAATATTGGTCCATTGGTATTGAATGAGGAAGAACACCAACATGGTGTGTGACATGATCTTGCGTCCATCCTTCAACCATGAATCATGGATGCAACTGCAAGATTCTATCTTGGTCAATCCCTAGTTATCCCCTCATTTCCGCAAAAATAAGGGATGAGATGTCCAAGTTCTCCAAATCACCAGGGCATTCTCGACCAAATCCACGCATTTACAGCCACTGAAAATCGCTTGGAAAATCACGGTGGTTTCAACAAATCCACGACAACAAAACGATATTTGGAAGTAAAAAAAAAACGCTGTTTGAAACACTTCAAAAATGTGGATGCTCTAGTGACTCTAGTGATTCTAGTGGGCTTAGATATCCCCATTTAATGAATCCCCGTCCTCAGCATCGAAGGGATCAAAGTCCCAGCGATGCACCTGGCGGCGCATCGCAACTACTTTGGGCCGCCTCGCTCAAAGAACACGGCGGTATACCAATGAAAATACTAGATGGAATGCTAATACATAGTATGGACATAGTGGTACATTTACACCAGGATTCACACATATATATATATATACATACTGTATACATGAATCTGGGATCAAGAACAGTCATCGTCGGGGTACCTTTTAGTATGCAATTACTGCCAAATACTACCAAAGATGGTAAGACCTACAATGGCAATAGTAATATTGTACTATATAGATACATCATGGTAGATGATGGCATGATGGTAATGAAAATATGAATGGTACATTCTGGCAGTGTGGTCAGACCTAATATCCTCATGGTAAGCCCCAAATTGATAAGAATATTAACACGTATTACCACCTGGTTATTTAACATAGCCATGGAAAATCACCATTTTTAATAGGTAAACCATCTAAAAATGGACCGTTTTCCATGGCTATGTTAAATGACCAGAGGGTAATATCAATATGTTCTTGATGATTGATACCCTTGATAGCCAATTGCTATAACCCGGTTCCCCCTCCGTTGAACTTCTGGAACTCAGTTTGACAGACCCATCAACCACAGGCTGGCACTAGGGGAAACACGATGTTGACAGCGTTGCTATCATATGCAACCACGAGAAAAAAAAAGAAAACGCATCATCTAATCGTGATTCGCGTATTTTTTCTTGTCACTCTTGTTATATCATGTTATATTATCTTATATGTCTTCTGTTTATGATTGTTATTGTGTTTTTTCTTCTATCTCTCCTTCTTCTCCTGGATTATTCTGATTGCGATGATCATCTATGATCAGTATCGCTGTCATAATATTCTGTATTCCTCTTCCTCTTCCTCTTCTTCTTTTTCTTTTTCTTCGTCTTCTTCTTATTCTTCTTCTTCTTCTTCTTCTTCCTTCTTTTTCTTCTTGTTTTTCTTCTTCATCTTCTTCTTTCGGTTCTTTTTTTCCTTCTTGTTATTCTTCTTCTCCTTATTATCGTTCTATTACTATTCTTCTCATTCCAATTATTATTCATGATCTTCATGGTCGATAATATACGCTACCAATGTTGCTGAGTGCAAGTTGGTTGCATGTGCCCTATCTTCCATCTCCTATGCACCACCACCACTGGCGAACCGGCGGGCAAACCTTCCATTCTTCGACACCACCAGGGAGACACAGAATGAGGCTTGCCTCCAAAAACAGGAGTGTGACCGCATCATGTCGGTTGGCCTCCCCCAAACATTCAGAAAGGTTCAACAAAGTGTGGCTCGGGGTGAACATGCATGATCATCATAATCATCATGATCATGATGATGATGATGATGATGATGATGATGAAGTTTGCAAGAGAGGCTGTGCAGGAAGCCCACCATGGCTCGCCAGTGAACATTCAACCAAAACAAATACTTTTTGTGACTTTGTCAGGGCGTTCACCCAGCATCGTCCACTTTTGGGGGGGTCTCAAAAAGTACAAATAGCAATGCAACCGGTAGGGGAAGGGCAGTTCTTGGGGTCTGACTGACCATCCCAAAATCTCTTCCGTTTCGCTATGCCGCTATGCGTCGACTGAAAACACTGGCAGACTTTTCGGTTTGTCAGGTGTTGGACCTCCACTCTTCGGTATACTCCACACTTTTGGTGCTTCCCCCGTCTTTGTTGTTAAAGATCCCTCCATTCTGTTGTTCATACAATCTTATCCTCATTTCCGTCTAAATCCCGGGTCCTTTCTGGTTGATATCCCAAGCTTTCCTGGTGTCCCACCTGATCATTCTGAATGGTCCCTATCCAATAGATTCCGTAGACAAAGGATGCACCAAGGAAAAAAAACAGATCAAAAGAGTTTCTTCCGGTTGGTCAGTGCCTTAGAAGTCTTTACAGTACACCTAGAAAAAACAAATAACTCAATCGACCCAAAGAAAGTGTAAACTGGTATCTTCCTATTGCAGATATGGCATGTGTTGGGCGGTCCAAAAATGTCCCAAACTATATCAACATTAACATTGTCTAAATCAATCCCCAATTGTCATAAAAGATTGTCATCATCAAGCATCAAGTCATGGTTCTACTATGGAAGAAATCCTGCATCCCCTCGGATGGTTGAAACCCTGTACCCTCTGGTAATGACTAACAGTTTGCTATTAAACATGGCCATAGAAATAGTGAGTTTGCCCAATAAAAATTGTGATTTTCCATAGTTATGTTAGATTACCAGAGGGTAAATAATGGGATGTTTACCACCTATCAACTCTCACAGGATTTCGCTGGCCCATCCGCCGTAGTGGGCAGCTCGACCTGCCCATCGTGCCGACTCAGCTGAGCACTGGACCTGCCGAGCATATCGACCCAAAGCTATGGGGAGAAAAATATATACTGATTAATGTTGTACACTCCCATACAATTGAAAATCAGTAATATATAGTAATATATACATATATATATATACATACATATATATATATATATTATGGGTCTGTTTTTTAAACAGTGGTACTCCCAAATCACCTATTTATGGGAAGATGTGAAGATGAGCAGATGTGAAGATGTGAAGATGAGCAGATGTGAAGATGTGAGGATGTGAAGATGAGAAGATGTGAAGATGAGCAGATGTGAAGATGTGAGGATGTGAGGATGAGAAGATGTGAGGAAGAGAAGATGTGAAGATGAGAAGATGTGAGGATGAGAAGATGTGAGGAAGAGAAGATGTGAAGATGAGAAGATGTGAAGATGAGAAGATGTGAAGATGAGAAGATGTGAGGATGAGAAGATGAGAAGATGTGAGGATGAGAAGATGTGAGGAAGAGAAGATGTGAAGATGAGAAGATGTGAAGATGAGAAGATGTGAAGATGAGAAGATGTGAGGATGAGAAGATGTGAAGATGAGAAGATGTGAAGATGTGAAGATGAGAAGATGTGAAGATGAGATGTGAAGATGAGAAGATGTGAAGATGAGCAGATGTGAAGATGTGAGGATGTGAAGATGAGAAGATGTGAAGATGAGAAGATGTGAAGATGAGAAGATGTGATGTGAAGATGTGAAAATGGTTGACAGACCCCCACTATTAGAAGAACCCTTCGCTCAGACGCCCTCGGGAAAAAAAGACCAGGACATATATATCAGTACACTCAGTACACCAAAAATATAAATCCCATCATTTGGATCTAAGATCAAAATATCAAAATATCCTATCAGTACACCAGGACTAAGATCAAAATATCCATTCATATCCTATCCAATTTGGATATCCCATCTAATCCCCCATCGGCCCCATCATTTCCGATCACCTCTCAGAGGAAAAGAGCACGCTGCCCTCGCTGTGCTTCCTGGCAACATCACCTTTGGAAAAGAAATGCTGGTTTTCTCTAACAAAACCACGTTTCGGTTTGGTAAAGAGTCAAGAGTATGATCAGTTGATGTCAATTGTGGCAAAATCTTGGTCTCGATGACAATTTCGGGCTGTCACCCCCAGTTGACAACTCTAAATCCGTCCACCACTGTGGACCGATTTTTTCACATCCCATCTCTATCATCTGACACACCCAAAAAGCGGCCATTGAAACTGTCAATGGATTGGTTTAAGGGAAAATTTACAGGAAAACCCTATATTTGGGGCTAAGAAGCATGGTTTCCTGTAGATTTTCCCTTAAACCAATCCATTGAAACTGGATTAAACCTAACCAGAGGGTAAACCCAGCCCCTTGGGGCCCCCAATTGCGAGGTTTCGTTAACTGCGCCAGGGATTCCAAACGTCCCGGGTGATTCGCAGCTCACCTGGCGCCTGAAAAGAAGCCATGGAGGATGTCCAGCCAAGATATGGCCATAGTTATATAATTTATAGGGAAAATGATATAACATACTATGATATAATATAACATAATATAATGTATGTATTTGTATGTGTATATATATAGATATTAATTCATAAGGATGTTCATAAAATGATGTTCATGAATGTTAATCCTATCAACATGTTTATAATATGACATACTATAATCATGTGAACTTGATCTTAATGTTCAATTCCCCATCGTTCAATGAATCTTCACAAACCTGAAACAAGGCCACGGAGGGCATACCCATACCAGCCGTCATTCCGGTGACGTCACACTGGGGCCTTTTTCATTCACCCAGTGATAAAGATTAAGAATGATGTTTAAGCGTGGATAGAATGGGTACCCTATTTTCAGAGAAACCCAAATCTCTTCGGGGAGTTCTTAAAACATGGTGAACCTTAAATGATCATGTCTGTTAGAGATTCTATCCCCAACAGTTGGGTGACTGCTTCAATATTATTCAATAGGGCGTTTGGGGATGGTCAAGTTACCTATGAAATTACCATTTGGTTATGACTAACATAGCCATGGAAAATCACCTATCTGCATAGGTAAACCTTCTATTTCTATGGGCCATCGAAAAACCATGGCTATGTTAGTCATAACCAGAGGGTACCATATATATATATATACCCAAAAAAAGGGAGAATTTTCACATCCATCCACCAGCTATGACTATCCGGGTACAAAAAGGGTACCATCCGATGGGAAAACTGTACTTCATTGGGCCTGCACTTCCCCGCTGACGGCTTCGTATCTGCGCAGATCATCCTCGTCTGAACGACTGAAACAATGGACTGAAAACGGGGAATACCCCATAGCTTTAGCCAGGTTTAACGGGGAAAAATGCTAAGATACTGGTGATTTTTAATGTGAAATGTGGGCATCAATAGCGCTAAACTGCCATTTGAACAGTGCATTCATGATGATGAATCACTGAATTCTGGGGGGGAAGTCAGGATGGGATTTGAAGTCTGAATCCTCAAGCTTTCAAACACCCGTCACTCTAACATGGCAAGGCAAAACATCCCTACCTTCAAAACCATCGAAAAAATGGTGAGCCTTCCACGGACCCGTTTGACTTGCAGTGGGAATCTTGGAGGACGCTCTAGTGAACTTTTTTGATAGTGTAACCACTTTGGAAGTGGAACATATTGATGGCAGATTGCAGTCAAAGCTGTTTCCTCTCCGGGAGGAAAAGATTCCACATATATATATATTATATATATATACCCTCTGGTAAACTAACATAAATATGGAAAATCACCATTTTTAATGGGAAAACTCACTATAAATGGCCATTTTCAATAGCAAACTGTTAGTCATTACCAGAGGGTATATATATATATACACAACTCATACTCTGCTACGGCTCCCTTGCACTTGCACTTGCATGATCTCATACCTCGTGGCCATCTACACGGAATCAAAGATGGCCAAGGACAGGCCTCCGGTGTCACTGGAAAACCTCCGTTGAGTTCTCGTATTCCTAGTGTGTCACCATTTTCCCTAGATATCCTCAGTTATAATGGTCTAAAATGCTTAAAATCTAATGTAAATCCATTTTTTTCATATATTTTTCCTTGGTAAACCCACCATTTGTATCCATTTCTCCTAGTTCAATCCCCATTTTCCCTAATTAAATCCCCATTGGATAACCAACGTCTGTCCATTCGCCTCAACCATCTGTCCACGCAGCTCTTTGAGACGATCCAGTGATGCACAGCAGCAACTGCTGACCTCATCCGATAAAGCTTTGGGACTTCAAAAATGGTGATTTCACCAACAAAAATCATGGGATTTCAACAAAAATGGTGATTTAAAAATGGTGATTTCAACAAAAATCATGGGATTTAACTGATTTAAATAAAAATTTCCATCACCACCAGCCAGAACCAACAATTTACTGCCACACTCATTTGGATGTACCTGTGATTGATGTTCTATAGATAACTTGATTAAGTAGGTGAACTACGGTTTTAAAGCAGATATATCAAACTAGTTAGTTGGATTATATAATTATATATATATATATCAACATGCATATGGGTTACTTTGCAGTTAAAACATTACCATGATGAGCCCACGATCTGAGATACTTGGATCTGGCTTGCAACAAGAAGAACGAGTTTCATCACCATAAATTGGCGGATATATAAACGTCAACAATCAGGAAAAAAAAACTACCATCAACAACAGGTATGTGTACTATACTTGTATGCATATGTTATTGTAGATTCAAAGATAGATAGATAGATAGATAGATAGATACATAGATAGATAGAGAGATAGATAGATAGATAGATAGAGAGATAGATAGATAGAGATAGATAGAGATAGATAGAGATAGATAGAGATAGATAGAGATAGATAGAGATAGATAGAGATAGATAGAGATAGATAGAGATAGATAGAGACAGATAGAGATAGATAGAGATACATAGAGATAGATAGAGATAGATAGAGATAGATAGAGATAGATAGAGATAGATAGAGATAGATAGAGATAGATAGAGATAGATAGAGATAGATAGAGATAGATAGAGATAGATAGAGATAGATAGAGATAGATAGAGGTAGATAGAGATAGAGATAGATAGAGATAGATAGAGATAGATAGAGATAGATAGAGATAGATAGAGATAGAGATAGATAGAGATAGATAGAGATAGAGATAGATAGAGATAGATAGAGATAGATAGAGGTAGATAGAGATAGATAAGGAGAGATAGGGATAGATAGAGATAGATAGAGATAGATAGAGATAGAGATAGATAGAGATAGATAGAGATAGATAGAGATAGAGATAGATAGAGATAGATAGAGATAGATAGAGATAGGTAGAGATAGATAGAGAGAGATAGAGAGAGATAGAGAGAGATAGAGAGAGATAGAGAGATAGATAGAGAGATAGATAGATAGATAGATAGAGATAGGTAGATAGAGATAGGTAGATAGAGATAGGTAGATAGAGATAGGTAGATAGAGACAGATTCAGACAGATTCAGACAGATTCAGACAGACAGATTCAGACAGACAGATTCAGACAGACAGATTCAGACAGACAGATTCAGACAGACAGATTCAGACAGACAGATTCAGACAGACAGATTCAGACAGACAGATCCAGACAGACAGATTCAGACAGAAGTTTTTTTCCGGCTATTCGGGGTTGGCTGGCGCATCCGGGGTTGGCAGGAAACATATCCAATATTAGGCCAAGAAGGTATGCCCTGATGAGTTGACTGCGATGGCGGCCAATTCCTTGATATGATTGGCCTACTACATTCTAGCTCAGCTCCACTACCATTTACTGTGTGAAAAATTGCTTGCATTGAAGCTGCTGGCCCAATTGTTAATTCTTATGCCGGCACGATTGCTCTTTGCTATAGGGCAATGAGTAATTATGCCAGCATGATTGCACTCAAGCATTGGAACCTAATTTCACTGTTGCCCGCACCTCGCAACTTCAACTAATATTCATTGCTTCTGCATCGCAAATTTTTCGAAACTTCCGCCCCGGCATGGGCCAGGCACTAAAAATGATCTATGCAGTGAAAACAGCAATATATGGGAAATAATATATATGTATATACAAATATATTATGTGTGTATATATATCTATATATTATATAATTATAGTATATGTGTATAACTTACACCTTGCGCAGCAAAGAAGACGACCCCTTCGCCAATGAATAGAAAAACTTTCAGCCATGAGCCCTGTGTCCCTGACCCCATGGGGTCAACATTCATTGCCATTGAAGATGCTGCAGCGAACGCTCAGCGCGAGTCCCTCGCAGTGTTTTTTTTTCGCAGCTGGTGCATGTCTCAGAATCAACATGAAGCCGGATTAAACCACAGCGCCACACGCAGCGTGCAGACAAATCATCATGATTTGCGGCTGCGACTTACAAGGGGCATGAAGTCAAGTTGCGGAAAAAACGGCAGAGATTTTTAATCTGCATGCTTGCAAACTTACCAGCCAGCCATGACAAAACAAAATGAACTTGAAGGCTACTATTTGAGGTGCTATCACAGCATGTGGCTGGCCACTTTCAAAACAAACTCTAGTCAGCCTCAGCCACGGCATCATCTTCCATCGGCTGCTCCTCCTCTGGCGCCTCTCCGCCCTCGTCTGCACCTTCCGCAGCAGCTGGCGCAGCCTCTGCTGCGGTCAACTTCAACCGAGCCCGAATAGTTGCTGCAGCAGCTTCTCCCATCATCATCGCCTTATGCAAGGCAAAACGTGATTGGCTGCGGAAACACTTCCAACAACCAACTGTTAAAGATCACTGATTCTCAGAGTTAAATGTGGCAGCGAAAGCCACTATTATTTCCTGAGTTGATGACCGCTAGTTGCTTCACGTCCTCCTTAGACTTTCCTTTTTCAAGCTCTTGGCGACAAGTCTCCTCCAAAAAAGGTGCCATGAAGGAGGGACAAAAACTTAAACAGGGTTCGAACATCGGACAGCGCGCTAGAACCAAGGGCTGTCACACACGAATTTTAAAACGTTCGTGTCGATTAGACATTGAATTGCCTTGACATTTAAACTTTGTCAACCTGTCTGCGATCTCCATGTGCTTCTCGGGGTTCACGTCGGGGTTGTACTTGATCTAGCAGGGAGCGCAAGTCTTCAAAAGAACATGGAGCCAGGGCAACAGAAAATCAAAGCAAAAGGGATCAAGCTAAAGGTGAACCAAATTGTAATTTCGAGCCAAACCCGACCGTAAGCTGCTCTTTTCCATTAACCTTGCACCCCCATTTCTGGTCTTTGTGGTACATATACTTCGTGGCTTTCAAAGCATGACTCTGCGCCGCAGCAGGGCGTCTCATAGCAGGCCGTCTCGGAGCGGAAGGCGCAGGCGCCTCAGCATCAGGAGCTGCTCCAGCGCCTGCTGCTTCAACCTCATCCAAAGCAGCCTCATCAGCCACAGCTTCAGCCTCTTGCGGAGAGCCAGAGCTGATTGCCGCGGCCGGCCGCTTCTTGGCTGAGGATTTCACCTTAGGAGCGGCTTTACCTTTCGCTCCTGCTTTGGCCTTGGCTTTCCCGGCCCCCTTGGCTTTCGCTTTGGGTGCCATCGCCGGCTCTTCATCCTCACCTTCAGCTTGACTTTTAACTTTTGAAGGCTCACCCACGGCCTCTGGCCCTGCTTCCGCATCGGCCTCAGGCTCGCAGGCCTTGGCTTTGGACTTGGCTGCAGTCAGAACTGCGGCGGCGGCTGACGCTGACCCTGTGTTGGGGCCACCATGGCCGTCATCATCTGACAGCACCTCCACGTCGAGTTTCGTCATGATGCGCCGAAAGGGTCAGGGGTCAAAGCATCACGCCTTGATGACAAATGGACTATAGCAATCAAATGCGATATTGAATTTGATACACCGCACCAAGAGACAGCTCAATGCCAACCAACAATGGATGCATCAAATCCGTTGGCTGGGAGCTGTTCATTTTTGGTCTCAGCAAGTCTGACGTCGATCGCTCTAATGCTGACATCGGAATGGAAAATGAATTGGATAAATTTGCGACCATCTCTAAGGCCGTCAAGTCAAAATGCTGCGAAGCTTCCAAAACACAATGGATCATCTTAAGTTTCTAGTAAGTAGTGATGGAAAAATGACTTCCCGAGAAATTTGGCAGTGCACAGTTCGCAGGCCCAGAGCCACTGAGTTCCTATGCCGAAAGCCGAATGGCCGTGCCAGCCTTGACATTGACACTACACAAAAGCCAAAACTTCGGCTTCAAAGTTCGCACTCTGGAATGCTCCATCTTCACCTGCGGGTGAAAAAAACAGCTTCACTCAGTGGTGAAAGGACAATGAACATAAATTAAAGCGCGAAGGGATTATGGTCAAAATTGGAAAAGAACTCAGACAATTCTTGCTGTTAAAGGACTTCCCACAGCGTAGATGCCCTGGTAGTTTTCGGGACATGCTTCAAGCCACCATCACGTGCGAGATACACAGCCCCAAACATGCTGTAGCGAAGTTCCATCATTGAGCTGCCATCGGATTCAGGCAGCTTCTTCGGTTCGAAAAAATTCAGCTTGGGGTTCCCTTTGATGTCATATCGGAAAGGCAGTGGGGTCCCGTCCTGGTCAAATAATAACGGTTCAAAAACATCACGGCCCAAATCCTGTCTAACGCTCCACACCTCAACATGTCAGAACATCATCACCATCAACAACATCATCATCATCATCATCACGGTTGCCAAAATCTGCGACTCAGACTGAGACCCGCTCCTCCGCAAACCTCTGGGTGATGCTGTGATCCTCCAACGTCAGTTCGGTAAGACCTGTGGTCTTGGCCACCAAACACGCAAGGTTCGCGAAGCACATAGGTGTTTTCTTGCCATCCACAAAGGCCAGGAGGTCTGTGTCTTGGGTCAAGTTGAAAATGATCCCAGCATCTTGCTGGGAAAGCGCAACACCTGCCATGGCCACGGCAAAAAAAACAAAAACAGACAGCTTGTTATAGGGTCAAGGACCACTCACTACGCACTAGCCTCGGGGCTTCTCTTGGAAGCTCCCCAGGTTGTAACCAAAGAGCTCTGCAGGGCCACACTGAATGTCGTCACCGCCAAAATTGCACAGCCACAGCTTGTTGTCGGACGTCAGCATGATCTCCAGCTTGTCATCCGTAGCAGCACGTGTCGATGCACAGGGCCTGGAGCCAGTGCACATTGATGGACAAGTCTAGGTAAGACTGGACTCCTCACAAAGAGGGTTTAACTCAAATCAAGTTCATTGGCTAAATTTTTGCCCAAGCACGTTTGCTGGCTTTCAAACTCTGATTGGAGGACAGAGGGCGGATTCTCCCAAACATCATGAGGGTTCAGTGGGGCATCCTCCGGTGTGAAGGACGGCTCACACTGGGTGCGGGCATTGGCAGCCTGAGCTCCACCTGTCAGTCGACAATTCAATGCAATGTTGAGATGGTGCAAGTGCAAATCAAACTTTGCCATCCAGCCTCTTGGCCTCGGCGTTGCCTTGGCAGCGGCCTGCCCCAGGCCCAAGGCAGCGCACCCAGACGGAGATCTGCCAGCATTCCACTTCGACACCAGCTTCTCAATTTCGTTCGCTCGCAAGCCCAACGTGGACTTCCAACTTGCTGGCAGCCTCTGGGGCGGCCCAAAAGATGCCAGAGCAGCGGCGCATGAAAATCAAACTGCTTCAGGTTCAAAGTATTTTCTTACCACTGCAGGCCATGGAACACCAATTTTCCATTGTCAACCGCCAAAACCTCCAACTCGGGGCGAGGTTCGTCAAAAGGGGCAGCGGCCCGAGTTGCTGGGCCTGCCTCTGAAGATGAATCCCAATACTCCTCAGAGGTCAGGTGCCACTGACAGGGAGACAAAATCCCAGCGCTCCTCCCAAACTGAAGCTGCACTGACCAAGGGCCTGGCAGCCATGATGTGACCAGCCATCCAATTTTGGACTTCCGCGATGTTGAGCACGTAAGTGTCATCTTCTGACACACATGCCAGAAAACGCCAGTCCAGCTGCGCAGCCACACCTCTGCCCTTGTTCTGGAAGTTGGCATGCTGCAGCTCCCAGCAAGCTCTTCCCCACTCGTTGTACCTTAGATTTAACTAAGCCACCTGCTGCAGCTGGCATGTACTAGGTGGGTTGCAACAAGTAAAGGCGACACCAGAGAGCGACACACACACACACGCACAGACACTGAATGATAGTAGCCCAGCTGCCGCGTCACCATTAGATCAACCACAAAGATTGGTGTTCGATCACCCTCTGGAAGCTCTAGCCCGTCAACGAAACTTTCGAGGATCTCGCGTGTCCCCGGGACACCACGTTGAATGACCTCACACGCATGCAAGGTTCAAAAATTTCAGTGCGCGCTTTTATTTTGAATCCAAAGGCCTAAGGCTTCAGCTGCACAAAAGGAATTGACAGTATCAAGGCTTTTGAACTTGAGGTGCGGACACGCTGAGATGTATTTGGGGGCCGGTCCAAGTCGTCACTCCAAAGGTCCATCACTCTGGCTCTGGACACCGGGCCAATCGAGCCAAGCAATGCTTTCGACTTCGCAAAACCAAAAGTGGACCGGTGAACTGGTGGCACTGCTGCCAAACCTGATGGTGGAACAATGGGCCAGCGGCAAGCCCAACAACTAACACCGCAGAACAAGAATGCAATAGGAATGAAATTGGCTGGGACAACCTTGAAAGTCATGCTACAAGGTTGCGAGCGCTTCCGGCGGTCGCCCCCGTGTCCAGAATCCTTGAAGTACAAACCCATTTCAAAGCTCTCCAAAGTCCTGGGCGGCCACTCGCAATTTGACTTACCATGATGGCGGTTTGAAATTGGTGAGAGGCACAAAAAGATTGCACATTGCATTGAAACTAGCTGGTTGGAATCAGCTCAATCAATGTCAGTCCCAGGTTCGACAGGCGGTCTTCCAAAGCCCTCCGGTGAGCAGTGATGGCGGATGACTCAATGGACGCATTTTGCTGAGGAAGCAAAACGAGGAGAATGCAATTGGAATTTGCCGTGCAAACTCCTTTGGCGATGTCCACCGCTTCATCCACCAGCAGAGGTCCTGAGCAACCACAGCTGGAAGAAAGCTCAAAGAAAATCATCAATAAAAGCGGTGCAGACACAGAAACCATGACGAACACCCTTGATGCCAGTGTCAGGCAAGATTCTCCTCGGCCACAACGAAGCATCCATGATCATGATCGTCAGCCTTGGCAAAAATGACAAACAATGATGTTGGAGACAGAGATGAAAACTACAACAGAAAGAAACGACAAGAGTTTCAAAATCTTGTTCTTTTCAACTTGGCTAAGGAATAAATAGCCTAGAAACGCATTGCCATTTGAGCCGGTGTCTATCTGGTAGCGGAGCAGCTCTGAGTGCAAGTCAGCCAATCCCCTTGTCACCTTAACGTAAACCTGGGATCTGCTCATGAGCTGCTCGACGAACTCTTTGCCCCTGGCCTCCCTTGCGGCTAGGTGTCGCAAATCGAGCGCGCCCTAAGAACAGTTCAAATTATGCCCAACATGACGTGGTGTCAAAAAGGCACATTGTCCTGAATCTTGGCTCAAGAGAATTTGGGCAAGACACTTGTCTGTTCGCGTGGTCTTGGGCTCGTTCTACCCAGGCAGACATTTTCTCAATGTCAGCGGCCACTCTCTGCTCGCATTGCTGCATTGAAGCCGATGCAAGCATTTGCGCCGTCCTCATTGTGTTTACTACGGCAGGCGGCTTAAGCAAAATGAAGTATACAACATTCCGAAAACTACGCCTCAGCCTGGACGGCTATAATGGGCCTGAAAACCGCTACAAACTCAGTGCAGGGACTTTTTGAATGAATGTCAAGCAACGCTTCTTCAGCCTCCTCCCGCTGTTCTGCGACCTCAATTTGAAAGTTGCTGGTGTCATCTGGCACCCTGCCCAGAGTCAAGCCAGTCCCCGGCCTGCTTCTCAAATTTCACGACAGCTGCAGCGAATGCAGTCACACATTCCAGTGGAGCGGGTGGGACCTTCATCTCAAGCATGGTTGTCAGATCAGCATCCAGGTGCCGGAACATAAACCTGCAGCAGCCCAGTGAAAGACTGGAAAGGTAAAGCCATGGCTTCAACAAGTACAAGACTAACACTTCATAAGATGTATTCATGCAGACAGTTGGCGCCCGCTTGATGGCGTCCTCCTCTTGGTTGCAAAAAGCGCTGGGAAATCTTGACTCGAACACCCGCCATGCGGCGAGGAATGCGCTGCACACACGCTGCAGTGTTTCCTGGAACTATGACTATGACTGAAAAATGCATTGAAATTCTGTCAGCTGTGTTAGTAGCTGCTCCGACATTCATGCTGCCAAGTATCCACATCCCGAGCTGTGTAAGGCTTCCGGAGCTTGGGGTTGAGAGCCAGCCAATCCGACTCAAGCCTTTTCAGCAAAAGACTTAGAGTGCCATCGGTGTTGGTGAGGTCATCCGGCCAGGCACTGAAGGCCCCATGTGCAGAACAAAAATCTCTGTTGAACACTCCCTCTTTGACTGCGTCGTGCGTGAGAAACCGATGCATGGTGTATCGCCTCAGGTCAGTAGCAATGGTCAAAATTCAAAATCACTGCGGGTGTCGGCCATGGGTAGGTCCCATCGATGGCAGCTTACTTAAATGATATAGTTTCGCAGCTCCATCCTACTAAAAGTCACGCCCTCAAAAAAGAGAAGGAGATGATTTTGAACAAGTCGGTTGGCACCACGTGGCCCGACCAAGCCGGTGAGTGCTTCCACCACTGGCCCATCCACGTGGTTCAAGAGCGCTGCAGCAGCTCCACTTTCAGCCCGCCCCAACTGGTATGACGAAGCCAACTGACCGGCAGTCATCCATGCCTCTGGACAAAAGGAAACCGATGGACTAAGTAGCAATCTTGAGGTGAAGAAACAATGGGAAGGATATCAATTTATAAACTCTATTTGCAACTGATGAGCTTCATCTTCCGTGACTTGCATGCGTTTGAGCAGACGCATCTGGTGCAAAAGGTTAAAGCAGTTGGGCTTCCTTCGCACTGAGCTGCTCAGTGTCATACCTGGGCTAGGAAAACAAGTGGAGAAGATTCAAGATTCTCCAGGCCAAGACAACACTTGAAAAAGTTCTCTTGCCAAACGTTCGTTTAGTCACAACTGCTTGTCGCCAAGCAACACCTGTTTTGAACTACAAGGTCTGCTGGATCAGTCATCACCGTCACCGTGCAGTGAATGGTGCTGAATGTCCTGGACAACTATCTACACTGTGCTGTTTTTGCTATGCAAACACATCAAGAAGCAATTGCTTTTGTTTGGGACCTTCCAAAACAATCTGCTGGCCCTGCCAAGCATCTTTCGAACTTTGTCATCCAGCGCCTGGCGAATGAGTGTCAATTCGTTTTTGTTGATAGAATAAAAGGAAGGTCGGAAAATTATGTGTACCCTCAATGATTGGGTTATGAAGATATATACACTTATTATTCTACCAGGGTTCGCTGATTTCATTTTCCGTAGCCCAAAGATATACCTTGGCCCTCCCAGGCCTCCATGAAACCCGGCTGCAAGTGGCAACACAGCAGCACAGTGTAACAGCAAAACATTCTGGTGTAGCCTTTCACGAAGCTGAATGAATGTGGGTCTGCAAAGCCAACATCCTCGATTTCGCATCCGTCTAGGTCACTGAGCAACAAGGAATGCTCGGGCGCAAGTCCAAGCTCAGGCCGTAGAGATGACACAGTCACTTTTTCTACTCCTCCAAGGTCAGGATCCGTCATCATCCTGGGCATCAATGTTTGATGTGTCAGGTTTTAATGCTAAGGTCAAGAAGATTTACAAGGAAGTGGTGGCTTGAGCCACCAACCCGTGCAGGATGATGAGTTCGCACAACTGTTGATGCGAGTCCTGCCAATCCCCCCGCCATGAACACTAAACAAAAAAGGAGAAGTCACATCAAAAACCATTGGTGTCTTCAATGCTGGTTTGGACGGTCCGGCTCAAGAAGGCCTTTCATGCCACACTTTGGGGACCACGGTAGCATCCACGGACGCAACAGTGCTCCACCACCCGTCCGATGTGTCTGCGGATTAGCATATTTGAGGCCCTGCTCTGGAGGGAAATTCTCATTGATGAATTTCAGAAATTCAATGGCTGCATCCTGCCACGGAGTTTGAATCTCAAAAGGGACCGGAAAGTTGTGAACGTGCAGAAACATTAGAAACCCTTGGCTGACACAAGTCTACCTTATTGGCGAAGCGACGCTCGAAAAAGTTCGCCATTGAGCCATGTTCATCACAAACTTGCTTCCTTGGCAAAATATACTTGGCAGACCCGAGGACATTTGTGGACTTCAATTCCCCTTCATGGAATCCTATGAGTTGCAAAATGTGAAGTCAACAACTGATGTCAAGGAACAGCCACTGATCAAAAATCTTCCGACATGGCGTCAAGGATTGCAAGGTGACTTGGCCAGGTTCATCCTTGACTCTTTTCAACCTGGAAGCACCATCACCATTGGACTTTCGTTTGCTGGGCGGCATTGAAATTGGCAGCGCCCAAAGGACTCGGTGCACTCTATGTTTGAGCATGCAGAGATGCCAGCCAAATACTTCAAAGAAAAAGGCTTACTCTTTCACTGCTGACAAGTTAAGCAACAAATTGTGACTACTGGACAACACTGCCGACCAGTTTTGTCACTGCCTCTCACACGGTCCATGCATGTGAAACTGAAGCAAATTGAGCCCTGCTGGGACATAGCAGAAAGCAGTAAACTTGGGCAGAGGACACGCTTCACCTGTCAGACCTGGCATGTCAAGGCCAGGGCCGGATCGAACCATATCGTGGGATTTACAACTTCAAAGCTATCGCCCCAAAACCGCTCCAGAAAATAAAACCAACATTTTCCAACTTAACTTCAAGTAGATTGTGCAAGACTCAGTGTGATGTCACTCTTTTTGTTTCGGCTGCTTGCAGATCCAACCATTGCCAAGTTGGCACCAGATCAATAGCCACCTACGGCCCAAGGTGTCAGCAACAGGTTGAGGGTGGAATTTGAATTGAGGAGACAAAGAAAAACCATTGACGGCTATCATCAGTGACCCTCATCCACAGCTGCCCTGGGGAACCCCTTGAAGCTGTTCCGCGGGTGCTTGACACCCTCCGCACTTTGGAAAGCTGAGCCACCATGGATGGCCCTCACGGCATGTCACAAGAAAAGACATAGTATGATGCAAAAGACATATCATGGAATCGAGGATTTTTGCTGTGCATTCTTATTTAGTAAGTTTCATTCATCTCAGGAGAGGTGATTGGATGCTTCATGTCGCATGCTAAAAGGAACATTGTATCCATGTGATAAACATCCTGCTCACAGACATCGTAATTTTGATCTATGTTAAGTTTTAAAGTTCAGGTTTGAAGGTATGAACACGCTAGATTTCAATTCTCCAGTTAGCATCCCAAGGCTATGTCCATGCCGCACCGTGTTCTTCAGGAAAATGACCACCTCACCCCACCAAAACAAAAACAATATTTTTGTGTTTCAAGTTGTCTTGTCACACATTTCGACAACTGTCAGTGGCATTTACTTTTTCCCTTCCAGCAAGCCTTCTAATGCCCATGCCGCAAATGTTTTTGATTTTACATATTTTGGAAGGCATCCATGTGCACATGGCGCTTACACTTATTGTTGTTGGTGTCCTGTTTCGTCCAAAATTGCGATAAAGCTTTATGATATCCACTAACAGCAATGTCCTCCTTGACCATCCTCACAGGCCCCATTATTTTTGGCATTGATTTTTGATACTTAGGTAGATCAACTGCTATTCATCGGTGACATTTCTCAGAAATGAAATTTTTCCCCATACATTGCACTAAACATCTAAACTGCGGCTTGCACACCAGCAGAGCACCCCTAAATGTTTATGTCGCGCACATTTGTTTGCCTTTTATTCCCCTTACTTTAGGCGATTCATTGCTGTGCCTCACAAACAATATTGAACTTGACAAACTGAAATCGCAACCAAAGCAGAGATTTCTTTTTGCCCATTGGATGTTTGTCGCAAAAATATACGGTGCCTACGGGCATGGCTTTGTGCGGACTGTCAACGACATTCCTCACAAATTGTGCGGAATGTCATTGACATTCCTCACAAACGAAAACTTCCCTTACATTGCGCTAAAAAACTAAACCGGGGCTTGCACACTAGCAAAACACCCCTAAATGTCCATGCCGCACCCAAACTTATTTGACATTCGTTTTCCAACCCTTATAGAGGTCTTTCATTGCGATGTTTTACACACACTGTTTACATTGACAAGTTGCAATCGCAATTCATAGAAGCCAACTTTTTTGGTGCATTGCACCCTGTCACAAAACTACACGGTGCCTAAGGGCATGGTTTTGTGCGGAATGTCAGTGACATTCCTCACAAATTGTGCGGAATGTCAATGACATTCCTCATAAACGAAAATTTCCCTTACAGTGTGCTAAAATCTAAACTGTGGCCTGCACACCAGCAGAGCACCCTATTGTTTTTTGGGAAGTTCGTTTCCGGCCTTTGATAGGTCAGTCATTGCGATGATGTATAAACAATATTCGATATTTGCCTTGACACATTGCAATCGCAAATCATACAAACTAACTTTTTTGGCGCATGGCACCCTGTCACAAAACTACACGGTGCCTAAGGGCATGGTTTTGTGCGGAATGTCAGTGACATTCCTCACAAATTGTGCGGACTGTCAATGACATTCCTCACAAATTGTGAGGAATGTCATTGACATTCCTCACAAACGAAAACTTCCCTTACATTGCGCTGAAAACTCAACCGTGGCTTGCACATCAGCAGAGCACCCCTAAGTGTCCATGCCGCACCCAATTTTTTTGGACTTTGATTCTTAATACTTAGGTGAATCAAAGCCATATCATCAAAACGATTCAACTTGATTTTGCGCATGGCATGTTGTCACAAAAACATGATTCATCTACATGCCTGATTTGTGAGGAATGTCAATGACATTCCTCACAAATTGTGCGGACTGTCAATGACATTCCGCACAAATTGTGAGGAATGTCATTGACATTCCTCACAAACGAAAACTTCCCTTACATTGCGCTGAAAACTCAACCGTGGCTTGCACACCAGCAGAGTACCCCTAAGTGTCCATGCCGCACCCAATTTTTTTGGACTTTGATTCTTAATACTTAGGTGAAACAAAGCCACCTCATCAAAATGATTCAGCTTGATTTTGTGTGGAATGTCATTGTGCGGAATGTCAATGACATTCCGCACAAATTGTGAGGAATGTCATTGACATTCCTCACAAACGAAAACTTCCCTTACATTGCGCTGAAAACTCAACCGCGGCTTGCACACCAGCAGAGTACCCCTAAGTGTCCATGCCGCACCCAATTTTTTTGACTTTGATTCTTAATACTTAGGTGAATCAAAGCCACATCATCAAAACGATTCAACCTGATTTTGTGCATGGCATGTTGTCACAAAAACATGACTCGTCTACATGCCTGATTTTGTGAGGAATGTCAATGACATTCCTCACAAAACTGACCAGTTTAGGCTGCAAATCTTCAAAACATCATCATTCTTAATGTGGTCCCCAAATTGGGAGGCAACACGGGCTTATTTTGTGAGGAATGTCATTGACATTCCTCACAAATGATTGTGGTAGGGGGTGCCCAAGTTTTGTGAGGAATGTCAATGACATCCCTCACAAAACTAGCCGGTTCAGATTACAAACCTTCAACATACTCTCAGAGCAATATGAAGCCTACAGTGTTACTGCCATGCCTGCCTGCTTTGTGAGGAATGTCAATGACAGTCCTCACAAGTCATTGTGGTGGGGGGTGCACATGTTTTGTGAAGAATGATGTTGCAAAAGACCCGGCGCATTTTCCCACACACACATTATATATTTTTGCAAAGGGTGCCATCAACAGTCATCCCAACCAACACTGAAGGAAAAGAATGTGGTAGTACATGTCTCAAACCCATCGATAAAAAATAAAAGCAGTGAACACTCATGTTGGCATGTGATGAAAAAGGCTATGACGGCTATGAAGTCGATCATTGGTTGGTTAATCTCCGTTCTTGTATGCATCCTGTCTTTTGCAACGAAGGTTCATAGCCAGCTAAAAGCGCTGGCACTTGATGTGAATCCCCAGTGTCAGTTTTGACACAAAAACTGTGGCCCTGACTGCCTTGGTCTCAGTCCCGCAGAAACGCAAATGAAACACCTTGTTCAAATGAGATACAACTTTCTTGTAGACAAGGTTTCGTCGTGGTTGTGCCAACCATGTGTTTCGGTGATAACCAGCAGAACTGGCAATGGCAATCGCAACACAGAAAAACAACTAAAAACATGTGAGGCAATTTTTACTGCTCTAGCTACACATTGGCTGGGACGATGCTCTGGCTTTCTCCCTCACACTCCCATGTTGCAGCACTGAAAGCGCTCTCGACTATGGATAAAGCACGTTGAAAGTCCATCCCCTCACCCCACAGCCGCACTGCTGCGCGATACACATGGTAAGCCTTCCTGCGGACCCTATAGCGGTCCAAGACAACACGTGGCAATTTCTCCGTCACCAAATTCATTGCGTTGGGTGCCTCAGTGAACGTGTTCATGCAAAATGGCCCGGTTGCAGCAAAACATTGCAAGTCGATGCAAACCGTGCCAACAAAAAAAACTGTTTCTTCTAGGTTGGGTACTGGGTCAAAAGACTTGCCGGAACTGTCATGTGCAAGAAAACCGGGCCCCATTGAAGGCCCTGGGGCTGGCAAGCATGCACCAATCTCCAGAGGCGCTGATCGTTCCAACTGGTTTCGCGCAAGCTTCTCAAGATAGTCAGCTGCACGGACCATTCGAAAGGGTTCCTCTCCTAGGATAAAGCAATATCAGATCGTTTTCATGAATGAATGAATGAATGAATGAATGAACGAACGCATGAATGAATGAATGAATGAATGAATGAATGAATGAATGAATGAATGAATGAATGAATGAATGAATGAATGAATGAATGAATGAATGAATGAACGAATGAACGAATGAATGAATGAATGAAGGAAGGAAGGAATGAATGAATGAATGTAATGAATGAATGTAATGAATGTATGTCATTCATGTATGTATGTATGTATGTATATTATGTATGTATGACAGGTATGCAATGCATGCATGCATGCTTGTATGTATGTATGGATGGATGGATGGATGGATGTAATGTACGTAATGTGATGTAATGTGATGTAATGTAATGTAATGTAATGTAGTGTAGTGTAATGTGATGTATGTATGTATGTATGTATGTATGCATGTATGCATGCATGGATGGACGGATGAATGTACATATGACATGATATCAAAATAAAGTTTTTATACATATATATATATATATGTATATGTACTTGCCTATTTGCATATAAAATTTAAACTATATATATATGTATATATATATATATATACATGTAAATAAACTCTGTGTGTGTGATCAATCACTGAATGCATATATTTTTTTTACACAATGGACACACCCGGGAATGGCATCACAGCGAGCAGACTAGGCTCGCATCATCGCGGCATATTTCAGCCAATTTTGCGACGCGTCATCGTCAAAGTCGCGGTCGCTTCCAACGACTTAGAATGTTCAGCGAACACAAGCGACCAAACTAGCGAAAAAACAACTAAATCCCCTGAACTGAAAACACGTCAAGTTTGACACAATATAGATGTTTAAAGCCAAGTGGCCCTCTGGGACCATTCCGGAATTGCGCGCATCTCTGCATATGGAAGCTGGTAAATATAAGATTGGGTGACCTTTCCAATTCTCATCGCTCATGTATTGTTTGGTCCTGCACAGGCGAAGTCAGAAAAACGAGGCGCCATGACATGATTATGTGTGTTTTCAAGAGAAAATGAATCATAATGTCACGATGGAAACGTCACACCATAGCACACTGGTTTTGTCTGGCAATTACAACAACAGGGGGGCCTCAGGATGACATCATCCCCCTCAGGCGCCACACCAAACTTTCTCCAAAACCGACTTTGACAATTGGAGAGGTCGACACCTGCCGGTTGGATTTCACATCCAAAAATTGAATTTGTTTCTGCTCAGAAACAGACTTGGAAAAAAAAAAGGGGCAATTCACAAAGGACGTGCTATGCAAAACATCGCGCAATCTGCCTTGGTCTATCAAATCTGCCCTCCGGTCGAAAGCGAAGACATGCGGGGCCCCGGGCCCGGAAATCCCACGAAGGTGACAATTCCGGGAAAGCAAGTGCAGAAAAGTCTTCCTGGCACACCGGTCAGCACACCCATACTTGATCGAAACAAACTGATTGGCAAGTATGGTGTGGCAAGGGATGATCTTGCTCCGAGTAAATTCATTCAAAACTGCAAATGCAATACACGGCCTCACTTATTGCTTGGAAACGTAACAGTGAGCCAACTTCAATCTATTTTTTTTGAAGGGCTATACTTAAAGGGCTGGAAAATATTCCAAAGGAAGTCAGGTCTGTAAAACCCTATTACCTCTAAACTAGTGCTGGCGTTCAAACACATCCCAATATAACATTCTATATATATATGGAATCCAGATTTTGTACAAACATAAAGATAACTGAGGAGTAATATATGAATATACATAGTTACATATTATATATATATTTACGTATATATATATATATACATATGTTTTCATGAATTCCACTAACATAGGCTCAACATCCCTCCAACATCGCCTCAACATGGGGGATAAGCGGGTAAAGGATTTCCTACCAAAAACTTCAAAGCATAGTATGCATCCTCTAAGGTTCCATAGGATCTCTCCAACGCAAACAATCGCCGGGAAAATCTGTCCCCAAAAAACGGCCATACATTGTTCCGAAAACGACGGAAACCCTGCATGTATGCAAATTTTTCCGGGATGTATGCCCATTTTTGTCCTATAAATCACCAACATGGGCCGGATATGGGCCCCAAATGGCCCAACCTTGGCCCAACATAGCCCCCAAAATTAACCTCAACCGAAAAGGTTTCGGTTGGGGTTATTTTTTTCACCCCAGAGACGTCCATGGAACCCCATATAGCCCCCAAATGCCCCAACATGCGCCCAACATGGGCCCAACAGAGACTCCAAATGGCCCAACCTTGGCCCAACATAGCCCCCAAAATTAACCTCAACCGAAAAGGTTTCGGTTGGGGTTATTTTTTTCACCCCAGAGACCTCCATGGAACCCCATATAGCCCCCAAATGCCCCAACATGCGCCCAACATGGGCCCAACATAGACTCCAAATGGCCCAACCTTGGCCCAACATAGCCCCCAAAATTAACCTCAACCGAAAAGGTTTCGGTTGGGGGTAATTTTTTCACCCCAGAGACGTCCATGGAACCCCATATAGCCCCCAAATGCCCCAACATGCGCCCAACATGGGCCCAACATAGATCCCATATAGGCCCGACATGGCCCCGAAATGGCCCAAAGATCACCTGGTCCCAAAAGCCCAACATGGACCAACATAGGCCCAACATGCACACATCGGGTTCCCAGACCTCCATGGACCATGGAACCCTACTTATCCCACCAAATTAAAGCTTTAGATCCCCTTGACCTAGGGCGCAGGGGGTGGGGTAGGGTAGGATTTCTTTTAATTCAAAGCCAAGCCAAACCTATGCTTACAGAAGCCTATCACTCCAAACCGTCCCAAACAGCATGACAACTGACATCCTGAAGTATACAGTGTCATAGACCTGACTTCCTTATCCACACCAACATAATAAGCACAATAGACAAAAGCTGCTGCTGCTAGACACGGTTCCAATCCCTGGTTGCACCAACAAGGCAGCTGATTCGCAAAGGTTCGTTCGGCCGGATGCTTTTGCCAGCACCTTCATCATGAAACCGCTGGAGCATCTCAACAAAGTCAGTCGGTGTGGCAAGTTCCTGGTGCCGCTCAATTTCTGAACTGATGCAACTAAAGTATTGGTCCACGTCCTCGTGGCTGTGCCCCGATGCTAAGCATCGGAGCTCCATCCTCTTCAGTTTGTGACACCCCACAAGCATTCCCATCAGGCGCGTTGCTACGTTGTTCTTCACCTCTCGCGAGGTGTTGTCGCTTTGGACTAACACCTCCACACCCCGAAGGTCCATCTTCGAAGACAGGAGGTGTAAGCTGTGGCAAATCAAATCGCAACACCAACTGGCATCCTTCTTGAGGTATGGGAGGCTTGCGGCCAGAACCACGTGGTGCCCGTGGCAAAGGACTGCGCTCATGTCCAAACATGGCCTTATGAAGCCACTGAATTCTTTGGAGGATGCCAGCAATGTTCTTGGAAATCGGAACTTCGTGTGATCCATAGCGTCTGTTATTAAACAAACGCTGGGCCCACTGCACTGCAAAGCTGGCAGTCTGGAAATTGACCTGGCACGCCAATAGCAGATCCTGTCACGGTATTGACGCTGCAAATGCGCCATGTAGCGCTTCATCTGAGAAGCGCGGCCAAGAGTGTCGCTGGCCATTTTTTTCAACAACATCCGGTGTCTGACACAAACGGCACATTGTGCATGGTTGCTCTTCGGCCGAATGCCCAATTTTGCTGCGTAATGAATCTTCCAGACCTTACTTGGGTCTGAAAATTAAATCCTATACGAAACCAACCGCCATAGCAAGGAAATTCTGTGCCCATGACAGCAAACATGCATGGGGGCTGAAAGCTTGCAAGGGCCCGTAACATTTTCTGTGAGGCTGCTGCCTGAAAAATGTTCTTGTTTGGGCAACAATCAGTAATGTTCGATTTTTTTGAATCACATACCAGTGGGCAATAAAAGGAGCAAATCAAAGCCGAGGCCAAATGACATTGCAAAAGAATTTGAAGCCAACTGGCTCCTCAGGGTGCTTGGCCTGCAGAAGGCGGAAGTAATCACTGAAACTGCCAGGCGGAAGCAGCCTCATCACAGGTTCCGACACTTCAGGTTTCGATGGCCCTGGCCCCTTGTCACTTCTGGAACAAGTTGCGATCCTCTTCCATTTCCCGGGCTTCTTCCCACGAAGGCGTCTGAACTTGGTTGATGGGTGCAAATCTTGGCCATCAGCACTGGCTTTCCGCTTGCCTGAAGCCTCAGGCATTGCTTCCGCAACAGTTTGCCGCAACTCTTCCAAAAACTCCAATACCAAGGCCCGCTTTCTCATGGAACCAGGCTGTGACCCGTCATCTTGTCGAGGGCGGGATCTACCATCCAAAGGAGCCGGTTGACCCAAAGCAACGGACTTGGTCAATTTGGAGTACCGTGTGGCACCCACACCAAGTATTTTTCGAAAGCCCTGTTGACAGACCGGGCGTTTCAAAATCACACGTTCTTTGCGGGTAAAAGTCTCCAAGCCTTCCAGCTTTGTGCGGATCATAGCCATCACCTGGAAGGGCAATGACCAAACTTGAATCCATCACCCCCACAAAACTGAGATTGGGGCTATAAGTGGCTGTTTGCTACCAGGACGGGAAATAGTAGTTGGGTTGGAAAATAACATATGAATGCGGTGGTAAGAATGGCTGCTAGATTGTGATTTTGTTTAAGTTTAAAGCATGTCCCCAAACAAATGACCTCCGAATCCATGTCAGCATTCGAAAGTTTCCGCAGGCGAATAAACTGTTGCGCAAGATCTGTTACATCCACTTCGTTGCGAAACTGGCTGAAGCAGTTCAATGTCTTGCCAGTCTTTGCACATGGACAAACTGAGCGAACCAGCTTGGAAAATTTGGCTCGCGCCGTGGAGAGATCCAAAATCTTCTTGTCAGACTTCCTTCGACGCAGTTTTGAGCTGCTTGAGGCATCACATTTTAAAGGCTGTCTGGGAACCTCATCATCCGATAAGGCCGTCAGCTCAGCCTTCACTTCTGAAGGCTCGCCACTTGCAAGCACCAACGCAGGAGCAGCATCGGAACAGCCACCATCCATGAAATTGGCAAATTTCTGGTTAGTTCTGCCATGACTATGATGCATCTGAAACTAGAACGAATCTGCATCAGGAGTTTGGGGAACGAATCTGATCACCATCAGACTGACGGTTCTGAAACTGTCGAACTTGCATGGTCTACTTTACTACAACTTTACTAACAAATATCCTCGTGAGCACCCAGGTTCGGCAGCCTGAAGTTTCAATTGCAAAACGGTGTCCAAATTCATCAGGTATTATTGCGCCTGAAATTCACCTCACTCTTGAAGCAGCAATGATATTCAATTTCGCTGCGCAAAAAAACAAGTTGAATGGCGAGCTTGAAGGCCCAACCTCTTTTGTTTTCTGCCGCTGACCCTCGTCGTCGTGTTGCTCTGTGGCAGGCATATTGTTATGCAGTGAAAGATCCAAGCGCGTCAAAACACACTAATTAGGTAAAAGGAACAATGGCTTAGGATGGGGGGCCAGCTTCAAGGGCCATTGTGCTCTTCAACCTTCGCAATGCCTGGCCTTGCGAAGAAGCTGAATCAGCTTGCTGCTGCTGCGAGTCACCTGCATAAGTTTGAAGTTGCTGCGGTCACTGCATAAGCTTGAAGTTTCATCGGTTGAAAAAAGAATGAAGACTGAAGTCACAATAATAATGTCCCAAAAAAATGGGAGGAAAATGTTGGAGGAGCACAGGAAGGATAAACTTACTGGTCATGAAGTGGAGGTGCTGGCCTTCCAGGCTATCAGCTCCCCTCTTCTTGCTTCGCAAAGCACCTGCCACACTTAGACTTGCTTTCGCGACTCGCGCAATATAGACATCTGCATCTTTGACATGACCAATGACCACTACTAGATGTTAAAAAACTTCCACTTATTCAGAAACACCACCACAGCACTCTACGCAATGGCCTGAAGTGGTCGCTGAAGAGGCAGCTTCCTGTTGGCGTTGGCTGCAAATCATAAAACAGGGAAAGAGGATAACATGTGGGTGAATCTAATCTAAATGAAACTGAAGAAGAACCATAGGTAACCCAACTGCAGTGGGACGTGACAGCACAGCAAGTCTGCGCCTTCACCTCATCCGTCAAACCACCCGTGACTACCACTGCCTGACACAACAAATGGCATCACACAAAAAAGCTAGGACACACGGGAACACAAAAACATGTGCTTTGAAAGCTTTGCCGCGTCATATGAAACCCGGCCTCAGTTTCAGGAGGATTGGGATCATTATCATCTGCATCTGCTTCGACCCACTCCCACTCGTCAGATGGGAAACCAGAATGGCCACAAGTTACCTCCTCGCTGTCATCATGATTCGAATACACTCTTCCCCACCAAGACATAACGGGGACGTTTGACATGGGTGTAACTTTCAACCGTAACTTCAACGAGGAGAGGGGCACATCAGTACGAGCCATTGCCATGGTCAAAGAACGTGGCTAAATCAGATGCAACCTGAGAAAGCTGTGTCACTGAGCAAGAAATGTCTGTGGAAATCGCTGGCACTCAACCTACAAGTTGACATGCCAAACCTCTGTGGAAACAATCAGTTCAATGTGACCTCCCATACACATGTCATGTATTTCAAGCGAGCCAGGGTACACTTTGTGATGACGGTGAGCCGGAAGTCAATCTTCTCTGAAGAAAAAGCTGGGCAGCCAAGGCAAGTCCAATAACTTGCCAAAATCAAATCAAGACTCGCAGCACGGCCATCCCTCAAATTCGCCATTTGCACGAACCAAGGGGTTCCTGATTGATGAAACAACCCGGTGAAAACTTTAGCCACTCTTAACTCTTAACCAAACAAATTTCTTTACTGTCTTTACTCCATCTTTTGTGAATGCTATTGATTCCGTCAAGGAAACTTCTGCTGGTGCATGGCTGCAAGTATGTGTAAAGCCAGATCTGCACAACGTGGAATGACCACATTGCCACAAGCTCGCAGTCGGAATTCATGGCCCTGCCCCCGACTTTGCAAGAGCCATTTGGAAACCGGAGGCTTGTTCCTCAAGTGGTGGCACTGATGGGCTGCCGACTGAATCTGCTCGAAGCTCATGGGGCTCACACCCTGCAGCCAAAAACAATAGCAGGAGAAAAATGGCACATCTATTTCACGCATGACGTTGCCACTGGCCGCGGGCCTCGAAGAAAGATTGGCCAGTCCCTTTCTTCAAGGCGACGATAAAGACCCGGTCCCGTTTGACCTGGTAACTTGGTAAAATTGACAAACTGAAAATTTCAAAGCTGCAAAACTATTTCTATAAGTTTGGAAAGACCACTCTCAGAAGAGCACATGGAGCCCAGCCATTTGTCCAGTGGCCACAGTCCACAGAAGATAGAAGCCCCGTTTCTCAAACTCCTGGCCAAGGTGGGTCATTTCATCAGGTTTGACTTGAATCTGACATGCATGCACTGAGCCTGACGGATCCAATCCCACATTGTACGAAGGCTTTTGTCTGCAGACAACAGGTGCTTTACGTTCTCCAGGATGCAGAAATACCTGGAAAAAGTTTCAATGAGCACATAAACTTTCAACCCAATTTTTCAGTGGCAAGATCTGGCAAGCAACTTTGAAACCTATGCTTATACATATAAGAATGCAGCCAATGCACATCTGCGGATATTTGTCCAAAAGTTTGAAGAAGATACTCACCAAGTTTGAGCGCGGATCCGCTAATCCACGCATCTTCCCCGACTTGCTCACGCCCTCGGATTCCAACACGCTCGCAAGCAAAAAGAAATGCTAAGGCTGTGAACTGAAGATTGGTTTCTGATGAAATCTGAATTCAAAACAAGTATCTAGGGGAGTGAAACTCTGGAACATCCAAATACACACACCTAATTAATGACAACAAATTAACATCGAAATAACGTAATGCTTGACAAGGGTCTTGACATGGAAAACCACCGATCAAACCATCGCAAACTCTGAGCAAGGCATCGGCTTCGTCTGCGACGGTAAGTACATCTTGAAACACTGGGCCTTGGCACAAAAGGCCTTCACGCATTCGAAGTTCCAGGATGCGACGGCAATCACTGTCACATTCAACCTCAAAACAGGAGCTGGAAGTGTGCAAACACTGATTCGCATTGCCTCTGAAAGCTGCACTGACTAGTCAAAGGTGAACTTGAATGGACACCGAAATCAATTTGAGAAAGCAGCGTAGCCCATTGTCTGCAAAATCCTCAAGATTCGAATTTTTTTGGCTGACATTGGATGACAATTTGCACTGACTCTCTATATTATTGCAAACATTTTTTGGCTGGGGCCCACGCCGGCTGAATCCCAGGTCCAGCCCTCCTACCCCGCTGAAGAGCGACAGCGCTTTTAGTTTGGGGTGCTGCCAAAAGTCCTCACGAGCTCTCAACATACAGACAATGAAACAAAAAAACAAATGAAGAATTTCTTCTGACGCTGACTCCTGCTCGAGGTGGGGAAACAGCCGGTGAAAGTCAGATGGGCGCACACTGCCACTCTTTGCCAGGGTCCAGCCTCGAGGTAAGCCTCTGTGGACAGGCAATTAAATGTCGACATGGCCACTGATTTGTGTTGTAAGGTTTCAACATGTTCTGTCCGCAAACGTATAGTATAAATTTGGGCTGACTGGATAATCATTGGCTAGAAACCGGACAGGTGCTCTGCCACTCTCGGGGATAGAAACTTTCCCAGGGGCATCTTCAATCGCTTGCACTCACTACGGTAGTAGTCCCAGTAAAAGATTTGCGTCGCGAGATCCTGCCAGGGATGAGCTGACTTTGTATGGGAGCTGCAGGACGTACTACAGTAGTCCTGCCTGTGAGCCACGCTTTGACAAGTAGGCTTGGCATGCTCTGGTCGTTGCCCCGAATACACCTCGCAGAAAAAACATGAATCTTCCCAATCTGCAACTTTACACCCTTTGCTTCTCAACAAGTTTGGATGCAGAATAATAGGCCCCAACGAATACATCCAAAGTTGTTTCGCACCACAGGCGAGGTCAAGAGCTTCACATTCTTCGCTTGGGCTTCAGCTGCTGCAGCTTTCTTAGCCCTTGGAACCTTAATTACTCAAATCAACTTTGGCTCAGCACGATATGTAGGTTGATGTTTTGGTACTAAAACCTAAAATCACAAATAAATCAGCCCAACTGACCCTGATTCAAACAAGCGACCAAACGCATGTTCAAAGGCCCTGCTTGCGGCCAACACGTAATTGGCTTGAATTCTGTCACAGTACGAGGGCAGCCAACCAAGGCTGCACCATGATTCGGGCACCGGGCATCCGTTGAAAGAGGTCCGTCCTGGCAACACCAAAACTCCAGGATGAAACTTATTACAGAACGTCAAGCTTGCAGGTTCAAAAACAATCGCTAGACCAATAATATTCTGGCTCGTTCCGCTGACCTTCAAGACTCGGAAGAGTGTGACCTTGCCATCAGCTGGCACAGCTGCATGCGCACCACGGGAAGGCCTTTGCCAAGGCAAAAGCATGACGTGAATCACAAACAACAATGTACAATGTACAGTTCAAATTTCACTGCGCCCTCACATGGTTTAAACACTGAACGGCCAAGCCCCCAGCTGGTCGTGGGACTGCAACTGGACTTTGCAAGGCGGCAGTGCATCATCGCTCAGCTGCGACAAGCTGCGCTTTCGATAGCTCAAGGCCATGGCCCCCATCAGTTTCGGTTGTCACTTCGCTCTACACTGCCAGCAAATATGCACCAGCCACTGACACCAGCATCTACATGCGAGCTAAAAAAACTTAACAGTGAATTTCAACTAACATCATTTACTTACCTTCTGAATTCCACTATTGGCCCACATGCTCATGAACGACCACAGCTAACACGCAACGAAATCAAATGATGACTGACTTCAATCAGTCTGCAACTCCTGCACGTCTTGCAACAAATCAAATGCAATTAATACGGGTCCAAAAATGTCGTCCTTCAAATCAAAAAACACCACAAGAATAAAATCGAATCATCACTGTCACAACATCAGGCATGAAAGTTTTAATCACAAGAGAATACCCGAAAATAAAAAAAACCTTGCGATAAGTTACTATATCATAAATATATATATACATATATTTATATATTTATATCTAATATCAATAGTGGTAGTACCCGCACGAGGCCAGGCGGAAGTTTCCCTTTGACTAAGCAAAGTTTAACTCAAAGTTTTTCTTGTTTTCCAAACCAGTTCGTTGCATTCGGATCACCGCTACAGGGAAGACACAGCGGGGATTAAAACGATAGGTCCCCAACCACTCTTTTTGGGGACCTATCGTCTTCATGGTTGGTGAACATAATGTAATAACAAACCAGTTATACCGTTGAGGTTTTTTAGGCCGTCTCATTTTTTGAAATGAGCCTTTCAAGTTTTACGCCCAAGAAGGTGCTATCCACGTTGTGTAAAATCCCTTCCCGCACAATGTTTGGAATGTAACAATGCAATCCCAGAGATCATCAAGACAAAGAGATGCTGGCAAGTCATAACGCTACCATTAGTGCAAGATCTCTTACTTGCATCAGGCTATCAAATTGCCCATTGATTCTGCCAACCCCGGATGCGCCAGCCAACCCCGAATAGCCGGAAAAAAACTTACAGACAGATTCGGACAGACAGATTCAGACAGACAGATTCAGACAGACAGATTCAGACAGACAGATTCAGACAGACAGATTCAGACAGACAGATTCAGACAGACAGATTCAGACAGACAGACAGACAGACAGGCAGGCAGACAGACAGGCAGGCAGGCAGGCAGGCAGCCAGCCAGGCAGGCAGACAGGCAGGCAGACAGGCAGGCAGACAGGCAGGCAGACAGACAGGGATATAGATAGAGATATAGATAGAGATATAGATAGAGACAGAGACAGAGATAGGGTCATAGATAGAGATATAGATAGAGATAGAGATATAGATAGAGATATAAACAGAGATATAGATAGCGATATAGATAGAGATATAAATAGAGATATAGACGGAGATATAGATTGAGATATAGACTGAGAATGATCGAGATATAGATAGAGATATAGACAGAGATATAGATTGAGATATAGATAGAAATATAGATAGAGATATAGATAGAGATATAGTCATAGATAGAGATATAGATATAGATATAGATAGAGATTTAGATAGATATATAGATAGAGATATAGATCGCAATAGAGATAGAGATAGAGATAGAGATAGAGATATAGAGAGCGATATAGATAGAGATATAAATAGATATATAGACGGAGATATAGATTGAGATATAGATTGAGAATGATTAATTAAGATATAGATAGAGATATAGATTAAGAATGATTGAGATATATATATATAGATATATGGACAGAGATATAGATAGATACATAGACAGAGATATAGATAGAGATATAGATAGCGACATAGATAGAAATATAAATAGAGATACAGACGGAGATATAGATTGAGATATAGATTGAGATTGATTCAAATATAGATAGAGATATAGACAGAGATATAGATTGAGATATAGATAGAGATAGGTGGAAAATCAAACATTGTCGCGGTCTGAGATACCCCCTCCCTCATTTTCACCCGTGGACATCCACCTGACCCACGGATCTTTTTCATCCCCAAATTGTCTGAAAATGAGGGATGGTCGGATAGCTTGATTTATAGCTATTTTAGTTGATTTTTTGATACAATCGCACAGATGGCAAAAAAGAAAAACACATCCATTGAGATCATCATCATCCCCATTGTGGCTGGGTAACATTCCCCAAATTTGATTATAGCCACACTTGATCTTACCATTTTCGGGTTCTGTAAACATTTACAACATGCGGTTCATTCTTGGTTTGGCCACAATCCAAATCACCTCGCTTCCTTGGTTTACAAAATCTTTATATCCCTATTGTCTAAAGCCATGGTTGCAAGGATAAAATATGATAATATCCAAATGTTTAGTTTGCATCTGGCAAAATCCAAAATATATCAAAATAGGATTGTTGCTTAAAGAACAAACATTTGTGCTGGAAGAAAACATCTTTATCACCAACAGAGCGCAGACTTGGAGGATCATCTCGCTTAGGCTTACACCCAGAATTCGTGGGCAATCCTCCAAGTAAGCCCTTAAGTAAAGCAATAGTAAACCATCTCCAGTTTTAGCCATAAATGGGTGCTATAAACCATCAATCCGTATGTCTGGTTTATGGCATTGTTTTACCAACATTAATGGGATGTCATAGCGATTTCAATGGGATTTTACAGGGGTTGATGATTGATGATGATGACCCTCTGGTAAACTAACACTCTGCGATGGAAAATGAAGACGTTTATACGTAAATCATCGTAGATAAACAACAAAAATGAGCCGTTTTTCAATGGCAAAGTGTTCAATGTATGACCAGACATGACATTGGTGGGGGATCTGCTGGGTATGGTTGATCTGAAGAGATTCCAAGGATCCCACCAAACCCTCGGCTGGACCCAGCATCCTTGCGAAGTGACGGCCACAGATGACCCAGAGCCCCACCTTCGGGCCGCGCGGCCGCGCGGCCGGAGATTCGGATTTCTTGCACCATCGAATTTTCGGATTGGATAGGGATTGATATACCCTCTGGTAAACTGGAAAATCACCATGCTATCAATGGGAAAATCCACTATTTCGACTGGGCCACTTTGAATAGCTTTTTGTATGTTTACCAGAGGGTACCAATAAAAACTGTGTTTTTAATGCTGAATGCAGATTCGTATTTCTCTAAGAAATGACAAAACATGGACTATCAACCATCCCCAACAAACAGGGGGGGTCTTTGAGCAATTGTCTTCCAACGCTCATGGCAGGGTCGAGCTGTTTGTTTGAGGGGAATGGCAACGAACAAAAATTAGGATGAAATGGAAGCGAAATGTTGGGCTCAACTTACAAACTCCGCCACTTGAGTCAAAGAAATATCGCATGTGTCGAAAATCATCCCTAAAATCTACAAGACTTGTATAGAATTCTCCATTTCAGCGAAGATATCAGCGGCGTTGGGTGATATACCCCAAAATGTGAATTTCACATCGCTGGAAAATGCCGATTCGTGGGGAAAACTATGGGATACTAAAATTACTAAACTAAATGATTCCAGCGTGGTTCTCCGCCAGGGAATTTACTGGAGGATTCAACCAGGGATTTACCATCCATTGAGGTGAAAGTGTGAAAACGGGGTACCAATTCCAGTGGATGATCATCATTTTCCTCAACTAGTTTTGCCAGACACCCTTTGGTAATTGTCGCTGCGAAATGCTCCATTTTAAGATGATTCCAGCGTGGATTTCCCTTTACAATTTCGAGGTTCCATAGATTCCATAGCTACGTTTAATTTTTCCATACATGTTTTCACCATTTTTCACCCATTTAAGGAGGGATTTTATATGTGTTTCTCCCCCATGTTTCCAGACATCCGCCACGTTCCCGGCTGCGACCCTCTTGTGACTTTCAAGCTCAAGGACGACGGCCTCACGGAGCGGAGGTTTGGGGTTGTTCCAACGTCACCATTGCAGGAACGAAAACACAAAACAAAAGGAAATATGGGTATGTCTGAAAATGGGGTATACCCCCAATTATAGCCATTTAGTAGGGATAATGATCATTAACCATTGGGTGTAGGGGTACACTATTTTCAGACAAACCCATATGTATATAAGTGGAAAAAGAAAGGAAAGATTATTAGGGAAAGAAAGATGATAAACAGAAATATATGATTAGAACACAAATCGGAAAAAAGACAAATATATAGGGACCCCTGCGATCCCCTCTTTATATCTATTTATGTTACGAAGACTGATATTTGGAGCCTTTTTTCCCCCGAACAGGAAACATAGGAAACAGGAGTGTGCCAAAGCCATCAGCATTGCAAACCGCCTCCACAGCAGGGGCGATGTGCTGTTGGGATGGCTGGATGACAACTCCCTTGGGAGACTTCAACCAGAGGACATCAAGGGACTAATTTGACCATGAAAACCCATCATTTGCAGATCGCGTTCCTATTGAAATTGGTTTTGCACTCGCACTTCTTGCATCACTTGCCGGCCAGAATGCCAACCTGAGGGTTGTAGACGAACAGATCTTGACCCACAGCCAATGGCGATCAGAGCACTCGAAAACCTATCTGTTCAGATGATTCAGGGGAATCCGGAAATCCACGAACTAAATGTGTTTTTTTCGGCCAACAAACATGGATGGACTAATACTTCGAAACTCTCAAATGACGAATTTTGTGGGTCCACTACTACTCTAATTTCGACCCATCCCTACATGTATATATTGTCATTCTTTGCCCTACTGTTGATGGTTAAATCTACAGTATTATTCATGTTCATTATCTAAGTACGGTGCTCATTATCAAAATCCAAATCTGGTTGGTGGTATACCTACCCCTCTGAAAAATATGAAAGTCAGTTGGGATCAATTATTCCCATATATTATGGAAAAGTAAAAATCATGTTCCAAACCACCAACCAGAAATTGTCGGCGAAATCACCCCATATCTAAACCGTTCTCCTCCCGGTTCGCGTTCCCCTTCGGAACCTTGTCCTCTGTCACGGCAACGCGCCGCCAGCGCTGGGCACTGCGAGTGACGACCGAAGCGTTGCCGCGGGTTTTCCGCAACGAGGGGGCTAGGAGCATCTGGGCCGGGTCGGCAGTGCGAATGATCCAATGGATTCTACTGGGATCCAATGGGATCTAATGGAATTTAATGGTATCCAATGAGTAGATCTGTGAGTCAGTCTATCACCAGTTGGTAATCAATCATATGGCTGGAAATTTTCCCCAGGTTTGATGCTTTTGAAATGGCCATGGCTAGGTTTAGCGGATTTTCCAGCCACTTTTGGTTACCGCTCGGTATTGGGATTGTCATGAAGGTATCGCGGGAGAATTGGTTTTACCCACAGGAAAGGGATGACTTACCAAAGAATAGGGATCTAATTGATATAGTTTGATTATTGTTAAATAAATGTGGTTCGGATTGGTGGAGCTATCCCAAAATGTCATTCAATGAATGGTTTAGTGAATTATTACTAACCAAACATGGGACATGATCGCTCATCCACGTGAACGGGATGATTTACCAGCAATTAAATATGGTGATTTCACGAAAAAAAAATGTGGTGATATAATGAGAGTGCAACAATTATTTCACAAACAATATCCCTGTGGGTGTGTCTTGAAATATCTTGAAATGGTGTATGCCACCAAATCACCTTGTTTATGAGGAAACTGATGATAATGCCTTCAATTGTGGTCTAAAAAATATGGCCATGGCTCAAGTCTTGTATATGCATTCCTACACTTGGACGCATCTACGATCAAATTGCATGGCGCGATGCTGAACCAAGAGTAACAATCATTGGTTGACACCAGCGGTTGCTGGTTCCTTTGTTTTGATGCATATTATATTATATATTCATTTACCATCTGGTTATTTAACATAGCCATGGAAAATCCACCCATTTTTAGTAGGTAAACAGGTAAACCATCTATTTCTATGGGCCATCTATACCATGGCTATGTTAGATAACCAGAGGGTAAAAGAACAAAAACAGGGTTGATTCATATGAGTTCAAACAACGCCTTGATCGCTGGGTCGGGACGGGGGACTTCACCAACTTTGGAGATTTGTTTGGGGGCACTTGTCCACATCTAAAAGCCGTATATTGAATAAAGATGAATAAAGGAACTGGGGAAGATCTCCATCAAATTGTTGGATGTTGGCTATGCTTCAAAACAGTGAAGCCCATCAAACAACTCGATGGTTTTTTGATGGAAGGAAACAATGCTGTGGGGTCGATGAGTAAGCCATGAGCCCTTCCCATTGTGGGGTACACTCGTGCAGTCCATCAAGGTCTATCAAGGTCACTTATGCAACGACCTGAGGCACAGCGTTGTCTACATGTATATACGCTAATTATTACTGATTCTCACGCTATGAGTAGAAAGGTTTTCTGGAGTTGACTTTTTACTCGGGTGCATCTTACCAGAACAGTCAAGCCTTTCACCAACAAACATTGGAGCAAACCACCAGCAAACATGTTTTTGGGCAGTGCCCAAACACCTCGGGTAGCTGAGTGCCCATTGTACCCGTGCCTCCATCGTATCAGCTTGAATCTGGACCGCATGTCTTGGCCTTGGACAAGTCGGGACAAGTGGTAAATTCGAATAACGTAGCTCATGCGCGATGGTGTCTCCAAGGGTGTGTGAAGATTTCGTCCCATCTCTGAGTTGAGAAGAGTACTCAATGCAGTCTTTAGTTTTGGTCTTTGTCTTTTTGTTTGGTTGTAATTTTCGAGCAACCACAAAGGTGAATCTTTGGAAAATATGTTGGTCTTTAGTTTCTATTTTTTGTCGGTTGCATTTTCAAGTTTACTGAGTTTGCTTGTAATCTTGTCAAACATAGGCTTCATATTTCTGGTGTTCTTCGTTGCCTTTTGCAGGCTCTATACATTGCACCCCCATCGGAAACCAGTGGTGAGAAGCTGTGAGGATGATATCGGTTTCTGAGGGGGTCAAGAGTTTTCAGCCCCTGCAAGATGGGTTAATCCAAAACTGGTTTGTGCCCCAAAATGATTGTTTTCATGGAAAAATCATGATCTGCCATCAACCTGAAGGGGCAACAAATTGGAAAACTCATGCATATACACAGGTGGACTCTAGATGTATGTATATGTTTGTATATATATATATGTATATACACATTCTATTTAGATCGAACTTATTGGAAACACCAACAGAAATCCTCTTTGGAAACCCATGGATTTTGACCCTCCGGTAAACAAACATGGCTGGCCAATCATCGTTTTCTGTCACTCAGCAAGTTCGGACCCATCCATGATGGTGCCCCCCCAGTTATAAGTTGGTTTATAAGCCCCATTAACTATAGTTTTATCACGTTATATCACGTTATATCACGTTGTATCATGTTATATCACGTTATATCACGTTATATCATGTTATAATATCATGTTATATCACGTTATATCACGTTATATCATGTTATATCACGTTATATCATGTTATAATATCATGTTATATCACGTTATATCATGTTATAATATCATGTTATATCACGTTATATCATGTTATATCACGTTATATCACGTTATAAATCACGTTATATCACGTTATATCACGTTATATCACGTTATATCATGTTATATCACGTTATATCTCGTTATATCTCGTTATATCACGTTATATCACGTTATATCACGTTATATCACGTTCTATCACGTTATATCACAATATAATATCATGTTATATCACGTTATATCACGTTCTATCACGTTATATCACGTTATATCACGTTATATCACGTTATATCACGTTATATTAAGTTATATCACGTTATATCATGTTATATCATGTTATATCTACCATAAACCATAGAATTCAGCCACTGAGGCAACCATCGTTGCTTCTCGTTGGTTGTTCCATGGCTGGTATCCCCAGGATGCTTCACCAAGGAGCCAAGGTCCAAGAGGCGGTCTGAAGCTCACCAAACCTCGTGTATCGCTGCGACCCGGGTTGAGCCAAGGGTGGCCAGAAAAATCGAAGGCTTCGGTGTAATTCTCGTAGAAATGTCATTTTGACACCATTTGAAGAGAACATGTATACGTATAAACCTGTCTATCATATGTATATTTAAGGGCTAATACCCCCCTAAGTTCTCTGGCCCGTGCTAAAACCATGCTTGATTTCAGCTTCAAAATGCTTCCTTTTAGCTTCAAAATGCTTCATTTTAGCTTCAAAATGCTTCATTTTGGCTTCAAAATGCTTCATTTTGGCTTCAAACTGTTTCATTGATTCATTTTAGCTTCAAAATGATTCATTTTAGCTTCAAAATGCTTCATTTTAGCTTGAAAACGGTTCATTTTAGCTTCAAAATAATTCCTTTTAGCTTGAAAATGCTTGGTTTTGGCTTCAAAATGCTGCAATTTGGGTTCAAACTGCTTCATTTTGGCTTCAAAATGCTTCATTTTGGCTTCAAAATGTTTCAGTTTCGTTTGAATATGCTTCATTTTAGCTTCAAAATGCTTCGTTTTAGCTTCAAAATGCGTCATTTTAGCTTGAAAACGCATCGCTTGAGCTTCAAAATGTTTCATTTTGGCTTCAAATGTGTCCTTTTCGCTTCCATACGCAGCGTATGCGCATCAAAATGATGCTTTGAAGCTTCAAACTGCTTTGTTTTGGCATCAGAATGTTTCATTTCAGCCACAAACTGGTTCAGTTTCGCTTAAACATGCTTCATTTTGGGTTCAAACTGCTTCCTTTTGGCCATTTTCGCTTGAAAATGCAATGCTCGACGGCTCTCCAGGCCTTTGGTCCTGTTGTGGGGGACCTGGGCGGCCAGCCCCCGCACCTTGTGCGGATGCTGCCGAGATCCCCCGATCTCGGCCCCCGTCTTGCACAGGGGAGAGTTCTTTAACGTCGGGCCCCCACCGACCGTTGAAGATCAGCAGAAAGGCCTCAGAGAGCGGGGCGTTGGGCTCACATTCGTTTACCACTTTGCTTCGTTTGATCTTTGAACGGCGTTGTTTGGCATTAGCTTGTGGCTGTGCGAATGGCTCTGACGCTGTTTCCGCCAGTACTTTTTTTTGGTCTCCACAGGCCACGCGGATACCTCGCTCTTGTGGCAGTGCGCGTGGTGCTGACGTTCTTTCTCTGTCCTGTGTTTGCCTGTCCTAAGCTGATGCCCGGCCACGCCTGTACCTAGCTCTTGTGGCCGTGCAAATGGCTCTGAGGCTGTTTCTCTGGTGTGTGCCTGTCTGCCCGCAACTTTCGGGAGCAGTTTGCTCATTCAAACAAGCCGGCCGCATCAGGATTGGCGATGGAAGCGTCCTCATCCCTTGGTTCGAACTGGATGCCATACTCTGAGCCCTCGGTTTCCTCATCGCTGCAAGGCTCCTCCCATGCCCGTGGGCGGAACTTGTTCCAGGCAGTGGGGTCGTCCGGCTCGTCATCGGATGGTTCTTTGCTTTCGTCTGATTGCTCGTCGCTGTGGGACGAACTGCCTGAGGCATCATCATCCGAATCCGACCAGCTCAGAGGCCCTGGCGACGATTGTTCGTTTCCACGGGGGTCGCCACCGACTGGCAGCCAATCCGACCTGCGGATCCTTCCCTGCAGGTATACATCGTTCTTGAACTTGGCTCTGGATGCACCGACATAAGCATAGCCGCGGTCGGCACGCCTTCGGTCGAAGAACAAGCCGACTAACTCAAGGGTGGAGCCTTGGGCGCGCCTCATCGTCGTGGCATAGGCGTAGACCACTGGTACCTGAGGCATAACGTGGGGAAAGGGGCCCACTTTCATTCCGGCTCGGACGGGAAAAAACGAAAAAGGAAACACCCACAAATAGATAAACTAGCAATCTACCAGCACGAGGCGGGCAGGGTGCAAATGTTTCGCCCTTGTCCGTCACGGGATGAACTAAGATCCTGCGCCCTGGATGGACAGGAGAATGAACACGTCCTTGGTCAGCATCTTCTCAATCACTCCAACGTTGCCATTCACGAAGCCTCTGTCCTTGTCCAGATTCCGTGTGAGCCGGACCCGCATGCCTTCTTGGAGCACCAGCAGACCAGCGTCCGCTGTCGGGTCACCTACCACACACTCGTGCATGTTTTCGATGCGGTCCGCTGCTCCTGGAAACTCCGCCCGGAGGCGCGCCAGGTTCAAAGCCTGCGCCCCACGGTTGGTGACCGTCAGGAAGGTGAACTGTTTGCCTGTGGCCCGCTCGATGCCGATTGCCTGCCGCACGGCGTCGTCTTTGTCTCTGGACAGCCGACGTCCGTGGAAAAAGTTCTCCAGGCAGTTCCTCGACGGCTGGTGCACTCTTGCCCACGCCAGGAACGCGAGCATGTCTGGGTCGGTTGACCGGGCCGCTTCGTGCTGCTGCAACTCTATGCGTTGCAACTGGCCTCTGGCCTGCTCGTGCTGCAACGCCTGGTGCAAGAGGTGCTCTCCGTGGACTGGTTGCAGTTGCTGAAAGTCCCCCACAAACACCACGTAAGGGCAAGGGCGCAATTCGCTGAGGGCAACCTGAAGGCATCTCCAGACTTCTCCGTCGATCTGACTCACCTCATCCATGATGATCAGGTCGTAGTGCCGCAATCGCCCTGGTGGGTCATATTGCGCGTCTCGGTCTCTTGAAACCTTGAAAGCTGCATGGATTGTCTCGATGGTGATCAAGTTGCTTGGAGGTAGGCGGAGCCTGGCAGCGGGAAAGGGATTCTGATTCGCACATATTCGAGGGAACGCGGAACAATCGCTATATGCATCACTATATATCGAAACTAGAAGATGGATTGCCGCAACAATCCTAGGGCCACCCCCTACCCCTTATACAGGACATTGTACTTTGTGGTTTCCACACGGAGGTCATCAGGTTACATATCGAGAACGCCACTATGAAATCCAAAAACTGATGGTCAAAAGATACCGGCCTGTACATAGATACAAGCAGGCCGACTGGGGCGCAGACCAGCACGCGCAAGCCGCGGTCGCTGGCGGCCAGTGCGGCAGCGATCACCACCTCAGTCTTTCCTGTTCCAGGGCCACCTGTTACTTGGAGCACTCTTTGGCTCGCTGCAGCAACGTTGGCATCGGTGATGTTGGTGCCTTGCTCGATTGCAGTCAGTACCTGCTGCTGTTCTGGGGACCATCTGCGGGCAGGTGCGCGGAAGAGCGGGTTGGCGCTCCAGTCCGCGGCCCTGGCTTGCCCTTGCAAAACATCCCAAAGCATCATCGCGCAGGCGCGGGCGCGGTGAGCGAAGGTCCAAACCCGATCGCGGCCCAGGCCTCTGACGTGCAGGCCCTTTTCCACTGCCAGGATCAAGTCCTCGGTCTTTGCCTCCCAAGCCTTGCGGCCCACGATGTTCTCTCCGTTTCGCGGCAGGAGCAGCGCCGCCAAGTGCACCATGTTCTCTGGTACTTCAGTGGCCGGCCTTGGCCAAATGCCCTCTTCCGGTTGATTTCGTAAGAAGGTTGCCGCCCAGCTGCCGATGTAAATGTCCAGGAGCTCGAAAGGAAAGGACATTGCCACTGCACAGACTTTTCCCGCCCCGCGTCCGACCACATTGCGCCGCCGCAGGGTGTAGGTGAATTTCTGACGGCCGTGGATGTCTTGTGGCTGCTGGCTGTCGGGCACGAACTTCTTCACATCGAAGAACCTGCACCACTCGATGAAGTTGGTTTTTGCAGGCGCTGGGTCGTGGCTGGCATCTCCTTCCACCCGGGGGTTCACGAGCCATTGCTGGTAGGCGTTGTAGAGGTGCCTGTCGTTGTTGATTGCCGTGCTGCCAGGTATGGGCGCGTGTACTAGCGCGCCTGTGAAGGAAGCCCGCACCATAGAATTGCCAAACATGTCCATGGCCATCTCCTGCTCCAAGGGCGACCGCTTGCAAAGTAGACGGTAGATCTGGCGCCAGCGGGTTGCATCCTCTGCATTGCTGGAGGTGTTGCGGTCCTTGCTCCTGAACTGCAACGCATCCGAAGCTTTGGTGACGTAGCCGGTGACATACTTCAAAAGGTTGTTGCTGCACTTGCCGCCTTGCACATCCACGCTGCACTGAAAAATGGATTCCAGCAAGGCGACCAAAGTGGATTTGTGGCCCCCGGTCTTTCCGGTGAGCTGCTCTGGGTGGATGCTGGGGACTGTTTCGATCCAGCAAATCACATGCACGTGGATGGTGCCCCTTTTCTGGAATTCGAAACGCATACACCAGTGGAGGATCTCTTCGATGCCGCACTGGGCCAAAGCGTCTCCTTCTTCCACAACCAGCTTTCTCAAGAGGGCTTGCATGGTGTTGTAGATGTGGAGAGTCAGCAGGATCTGGTGCTGGCTCAGCTCTTCATCTTTGGCGGGGGGCAAAGCTCCTTGGTGTAGCGGGTATGCCCATTCTGCAGGCGCCAACGTGAAAAAGAGCTCTGGCAAGCGGCCGTTCATCTGACGGCAGATGTCTTCCAACTTTTGGCCTTCCCTGTGCCAATACATTTCGAAGGCGGCCATCTCTGACGCCAAGGTCTCGGGCGCCATCTTCTTGCTTTCGGCAATATTCACCACCGAGCTGATGGTGCGGGCCATGGAGACGTCGTAGAGGAAGGCTTGGAGGGAGAAATCTGAGGCGTAGTCTCTGCAGCGGCTGAGCACTTTGCGGTAACTGCTTGTCTTCAAACTTGGGGTTGAGGCTGCGGCTATGCGGCCGAGGGCTTTGAGAGTCGCTGGGCGATGTCTGTGTCGCCGCAGCCTGTGTAGGGGTACAGCCACGGCCGAGCAGCGACTTCCAGGCCAGGCAAACCGAGGAGCAGCTCTGCTGTTGGGATCCACAGGTGGGCCTCTCCAGCCGCTTGGCTCCGAAGCACGGCCTTGTGCTTTTCCACAAAGAACTCATAGGTTTTGTTGTTAGAGCACAGCCACTCATAGGCGCGGCGTCCGGCTTCGGAGCGCAGCGCCTCCGTGGGGAGGCTGGGCTTCCAGCTCGCACGGATCACTGTCTGTTTTTGGCGGCTGGTCACGCTGGCTTTGCCTCCCCGGCGGGTCGCGAAGTCCAGGTGCAGGTTGACGAGGCCCAGGGCAAGCAGGTCTTCCGCCGGCACCACCTGGTGCAATAGGGTTTCGGGCGCGGCCTCGGGCGCAATGTGTTGTACCCATGCCTGCCAATGTTCTAGCTGAGGTGTGACGTAGGCTTTCAAGCTCTTCGACTCGAGCGGCTCCTCCAGCTCTTGCTGCAGCTCCTGGGGTGGCAGGTCGCATCCGTGAGGGCAAGGGCGTTGCACGCAGGATTCCGGATTGCGACGCCACTGCCAGGCCACTTCGGTTTTCAGTTCTCGCCGGCCGCATTCTGGACAAAAAACCCAGCTAGGCACCCGCATCCATTCTTGTGCTTTGGCTGCCCAACTTTCGTTGGGCGGGGGCTCTTGGTGCCAGGCGCGGCCGCTGCTGTGGAGACCAAACACCGTGAACATCTTGCTGAACTCGGCGCGCCAACAGCTCTCTGCGATGGTTTCGAACTGCTTGCGCACGGCCCTGACGAAGGCTGTGCCGACCCCTGGCACAGCTTTCACGACTTCTTGGTCTCCTTCGACACCTGCTTTCACCTTCTCGATGACCGCCAGCTGCTTGTGGAACTTCTCCTTGGCGTCTTCCCTGCGCTTTGTTTTTTTCAAGTCACGGAAAAACTGCGCGTCCACGAACGTGAGGCGCAGATCCGGAACTGTTTCTTGAAACGCTGCCCTTGCTTGCAAAGACGTCAGGTTGGACAGGTCCAAATCCAAAAGGGCCTGGTACTCTGCTCTCGTCAAGCCAAGCTTTCCCCAATCTCCAATGGCATCCAAACCGTGTAGCCCCCTGGCTTCTGCAGGTGTGCGTTTCTTTGGTGGGGGCCCTGCCTCTGCTGCTGGCGGCGCCGGGGTCCAAAGCAAGGCCGTGTAGTGCTCGGACCCAGCCACATGTTCTTCTAGGCGCAAGTAGACCGGAGTTGCTACACCAATGGCTGTGTGCTCCAGGGGCACAAAGCAGTGTGGGTCTTGATCTGGCTCCACGGAGCGCCAGATGATGACGGGCCTTCGAATGAAGTCGCACAAGGTCCGGCAGGAGATGTCGTCTCCCCAGTGCCCATCTGTGCGCATGCTTCTTGCCCAAGCTTCCACGGCCTCTGGGGTTTGCTCTGTAAAAAATTGAGCATAATGAAACCGTTGGCCTTCTGCTGTTGCAACGCTTTGCACTCGGAGCTCGGTGTGGTGTGCTTCTCCTTACTCCATTTGCAAGGCAACAGAACGGTACAAACAATTCCCATCTCCGGCAATCCAATGTGGCTGCAGCTGCGGGGCGATCGCCTTGGCCAACGCGCGCAGAGCTGCTTCGGCATCCGCAAGGTCTGGTGTGGCTGCCAAGTCTATTTGCCGCGCAACCGCGGGTGCAGCTGCGGGGGGCTCTTCTGCTGGTGGGCTGGGTGGACGACTGGCGGGGCGCTTCAGTGGAGCCGCTGGGCGCTTCAATGGAGGAGCCGCTGGGCGCTTGAGTGCTGGGGCTGCTTTTGCTTTGGCGTTGGCTTGCTTTTCCTCCGTCTCTGCACTGGCTGGTCTCTTGCGGGGTCCCCCGCCCCTGGTGCTCGAAGGGTTCTCGGTTTTGCGAGCTGCTTCGAAGATGGGCTTCGCAACTGCCGGCAAACGGCCCATGGCTTGTGTGGCGACATCCTGGCTGAAGTTGCGGTCGACAAAGATCAGGCGCCCTCGGCGCTTCGGATCGGAGGAAACTGCCTGCAGAAGCTCCGGGCTGCACCAGGAGCACCTTTCATTCCCGGGTTTGGGCTGGGCTGGTGTGCCTTCTTTTCCAAAGACACAAGCTTGGCCTTCTGCCGTGCCGCGGCAAAGCTTTACCATGGCGGCCGAGGTGTTCTACTGTCGGCCGACAAAAAAACGAACCGAAAGCGAAAAACACTTTTTCCAGTTGGTTGGGTCTGTTGAACGATTATGCGACTTTATATGCTTGTATCCTTGGGGGTATCTTTGGGGTAAAAGGAGTAAACGCTCACCGCCATTTCCCTGAGGTCCTGCTTAAAGCTAAAATCCCAAAGTGTGCATTCTTGAACCCGTGCGGCTGCGGAAAAAATTGCAGTGTGCAGATGAAACGAGCAGCCATAGATAATCCATGGTGATCACGGGTCAATGACAAACATGAACGTGAAGTCGCACCTGGTCCCGTGTCTACACAGTTGCCTCTTCCGTCGGCTTCTTTTGCCGGCATGTACCTGTCACAGCGCCGGCTTGAAAGTTGGCTAATACCCCCGTGCCCCCTCTGGATCCCTGCTAATCCCCATGATTCACTTTCATGTCAAAATGCTTGGCTTTAGCTTCGAGATGATCCCTATCCGAGCTTCTGGCTGCGAAGGTTACTTCCTTGGGTGGTTTCCCGGATGCTCGGGTATGTGAACCAAAACGGCTGCGGAAGACAGGGAAAGAAAGCGAAACGCTTGACAATCGAGTGGTCCTATCCTTCAACTGCGCAACTGTGCAACTTGTTGCAAGGTTTGGTTGGCGAGCTTCTGCACGCACTTTGTCCGCTCGTTGCCAGCTGTCTGTGTGCCAACGAAAGCTTGCAACCTCTCTGGGGGCAGGTTCTGTCTACTGATGTTTCAACGGCCTCAGCTTCAGGAGCCCTCTGTACTGGTCGGGCCACCAAACAAACTCACTACTTCTGAGGCGTTGACAACGCTTGGTGGCTGCGTCGCTTCAGGAGGGCCGTCCTGTGCTGGTCGGGCCTCTCCGACAAGTGCTGCTCTTCAGCCACTGAAGAGACCTTCGGCGTCCTTGCTTCCACTTGCTCCAGTGCTCTGCTGCTGGGCAGGGGCCTTGCGTCGCGCCAGCGCTGCCTCACGCATGGCGGGGCCTTCCAACGGCTTGTGTAGGACCGCAGACCTGGCAACCTTCTCTGCCACGTGCGCAGACCAAATGCTGCCGCCAGCTGCAAGCACCGAGAGAAGTCCACGGAGGGGGCTTCCGTCCTTCTGGAGCCAGTCGCGCAGGGCGTCTGCGGCCGCCTTCACCGTCTCTTCACTTGGCGGGGCAACCGCTGACTCCACCTTGCGACGTTGCTGTCTCCGAACCCTTTTCGGAGCCTTTGCCGAAGTTGAGGGCTTCCAGGTGTGGAAGCAAGGTGTTGGCTTCCTCCAACGCCTTGTCCAACAGCTCTTGATTCAAGACCCTCTTCATGGTATCATCTTGGAGGGAAGCGATGCCTTCTTTGAGCGTTTCGGCCGTTCGGCTCAGACCGACGCCTACCCTGTAGCTCTCGGTTGCGGCAAGCTCCGAGTGGAAACGCACGCGTTTGGAACCTTTGTTGATCATGTCCCACACTCTGCTTGTTGTCTCTGCCGTGAACTGGGACTGCCCGTAGGGGTTGAGACACTGCACTGCTGCGGCGTCGAAGGGATACAACTTGTCGCGGCGCTCTGCTGCAGCGCCTCTTGTGGTCGTTCCGCCTGGGCTCTTGGGTGCTGCGCTCAGGCTATCGAACAGGCCGCGTGCGTCACCGGAGGCCATTTTGCGTCTGTCGGCTAGAGGGGGGCCAGGACTTGCGGACAGCTGTGAACCAGACGGCTGCGGGCGAAATCTTCTTGGTGCTTGGTGCCAGCAGTCACTGGTATTTATTTTTTGGTGCAACGATTCTTGCTATCGAGAAGCTACCATACGAGAGGGGCTCTACCTGCCAGACGACCTTGCAGAAGACCTTATCATGAAATCTACTTAACCTTTGGGAGGCTTCCGGGGTTAAAAATCATTGTTCCGCTTTGTTTTCAGGCTTGCTGGCACGAAACTTCCGCTCCAGGGGCAGGACTGTGCTGTTCCCTGCCGACAAGGAAGCGTGCTCCCTGTGGAGCACGGCCCGTCGGATGTCATGGTCCGTGCCTCAAGTGGTCCGAGGCAGCGGCACGACGGTTTGCCACCGCATCCGAAGGAGCACTTCGAAGCCCATCAGCATCGCCGAGACGGTCACCACGTTAGTGAAGATGCAATGTTGGGGTCCGGCTCGCTGAATGCCCAGGATTGCGCTACGCGCAAAATGGTTTCCATGTGCATGAAGAAGTTCCAAGGCCGGGACAAAGCCGGCTTGCGGAAAGGCCTCAAGGAGACGACTTCTGTCCAGACTGCGAATGTTCTCCGTGGGCCATTCTTCTTGGTCCTGGTACCTGACTATGACCCTGCGCTCTGCACTGGCTAGCGGATGTGGGATCAGCGGCGTCTGGCAGCGACGGAGCCGAAGGACCACCTCGCACCAGAGCCTTCGTGCCAGCGTGGAGTATCCGAGCGCGTGCATGCTTGGGCCTTGATCGCCATGGAGGCGCTGCAGTTCTTGTTGCAGATTCGTTCCCGGGGTTCTCGCTCTTCGGTGGGTCTGGTGCAGGCAGCGGGCTGGCAGCCACCCCATGAATTCTTCGATGAGGTAGTACAGAAGACTGACATCGAGGAAATGAACCATGGCACGGCTGGGTTCGTTTCTTGACAGGCTGGAGTGCTAAAAAATACGGGCTCGAGCAGGCGCGGCTAATGTCAGAAAAAAAAAGTTCTATGTTGTCCTCAAGTTTCACCACCGTCACACTTTGAAGCTAGGACGAAACACGTGTGTTTGACTGACCTTTTATACTCTGTGTCAAATCAAATCCTGTTGGCAGTCTGTTTTTTTCGCGGCCGGTTTTTCTGCAACGTGGGGCAACCCTGTGTAAGTGTGGTTGCCACCGTTCTGCTGGTAGGCTTCCTGTGCCTTGAGGCCTTGCTCAAAAAGACCTCGGGCCTTTCTATGCTTGATCACTGGGCAGCACTGTGCGGTACGTCATCCGGAGCGATACTTCGAGCCCGCAGAGAACGCACTCCACCGCAAACACTTCGCACCCTGCTAGCCCGGTGACAGGCGGTGGATTCCATGTATCCGAAGCGTCCCCCGCGTGTTCGGAGCCAGCGTAGTGCTCGGTTGAACCGCCGTGCGGAAAGATGCCCTGGAGCTCGTCTGGGGCGATGGCACGCGAGCGGGTCTGGTGCCAGGCCTGCGCTCCCACGTAGCGAACCACGACGTCTTGCACGGGCTGCCCGCCCAATGCCGAAGGGCGGCGGGCTTGCACGCCGGCGGGGGTGCGAAACTGACGGAGAAACCCGATGGTTTGCGCCCAAAGCCTTCTTGTCAGCGTGGTGTAGTCGAGGGCGTGCGTGCCTGGGCCTCGGGTGCCCTCGAGGCGCTGCAACGCTTGTCGCAGTCGCAGGGTCGTTTCCGTAGTTCTGGCGCTTCGGTGGGGCTGGTGCAAAAAACGTGCTGGCACCCATCCCAGGAATTCTTCGAGGCTGTACAGCAAGGTGATCTCCACGAAATGGACCATCGCAAGACTGTCTTTCGACGGCGGGGCAGGTGGAAGCGGATTGGGTCGCGTACGTACAGTCTGCTTGAGACGAAAGCTGCTACAAATCAGAACACAAGGTATTTGTTTGGGAAAAGCGAATCTGACTAGTTCAAAAATCCGACCCGGCCTTCATGCATACAGGGACAAAAGTCCAAACACATGCTACGTTCTGACGTATGTCTCTTCAAATATCCAGTTTGCTTTGCTAGGTGGCAACATGTTGCGGTGATGACGACCGTGCAACACATCTGTCGACAGGCAAACGCGAACCTGTTTTCGCTGCGGGCGGCAAGGCTGCAGCTCGAGCTCCAAGTTTCCTGCAGTTGTGAGAGAAGGGCTGCCCCTGTACACCGGCAGCCCAGCCTCAACCTCGCTGCGTATGCCGGGGGCCGTGCCCGTCACGGCAGCATTGCTGTTGCGCCGTGCGCACGACGCGCCGATGCCTGTCCAGACCCAGCTCTCTCTGGGTCGGTCACTTTTTTTTTCGCTGTCGCTTTGCCTCCGTGCTCTCCGCCGGAAGGGCGCCAGCCGAGCGGGCCCGAGCAGCAAACGCCGGCGAGGCTTTGGCCAAAGCCGCAACATGCTTGCGCGCTTCTTCCTCTTTCCGTGCTCGGGCAGCCGCTGCTCGCTCTTCTGCAGTCTTTCGAAGAGCTTCCATTTCCTCGGTTCCGAAATGGTGCTTCACTTCCTCAGGGACGCGGAGCAAAGCCTTGGCCGCCACTTCTGGGGTGAAGTTGCAAAACAATTGACGAAGACGGCTGCGGCCGCTGGGGTTCTTGGAGACATTCTCCAAAAGGGCCAGGTCGCACCATGAACACCGCTCATTGCCGGGTTTGGGGGCCGCTGGCCGCCCGTTCTTGCCAAAGACACACGGCACAACGGGGTTGCTGTCCAGCCCCTTGCAGGCGCGCGGCATGTCAATGATGGAAACCGAAGGCCCTGGACGTTGCCTGACAAAACGGCTGCGGGGATAACATGCAATTACACAGTTGACATGTTTCGTAGCTACCCGACATCCCATGACAGAATGTATATATATATATATGTATATGTATAAAAATGACTTTGCTGCAAAGTGGTGCAATGACGCAGTATGGTGCTCAACGGCTGTCCACAGCTAGAAGATTTGCCACGAAGGCACAAAAAAAAAGGTTACTTCTAGACGCGATGTTCTGATGGTCAGCATGCAAGGTTTTTTTCCTGCGCTTACAAACAGAAGACAAAACCGGAATGCTTGGCTGCGCGCCCTTCTTTTGACTGCTGTGTCCGAGTGCAGGGTCGGGTCTCTGTCCTGTGCCCACTCACCTGCCTTGCCCGGAGGGGCCACCCTGGCCTGGCTCTTCTCAGCAGAGCTGCTCAAATGTAGCGGGTGTTCAGCACCAGTTCCCAAAGCCATCTGGAGGCAGCCATGTGACGATCAGACTCTGGATTGCCTGTGCAAGCTGAACGGAATCCGTCTCGAAGAGGTGGATCATGAGGAAAAGGGCCATCAGGCCAAGCAATGCGGTGGGCACACGACAGTAGCGGCCCCATCGGTGCAAAACAACGTCCACTGCAACCGCGGGGACGGACCGCTCCGATGCTGCATCTGCGTGCCATCCTGCCGCACTCTTGGCACATAGACTACCTCTGGGTCCACGTCTGCAAATTGGATTGCAGGCGGCAGCCTTGGTGATCTCAAGCGACGGTACGGGTCTGCTGCTGCTGTCATGCGTGGCGGGTTCGGTGCCACTGGGCGGTGTCCTGACTGGATTGGCAGGACCAGGAGGACCGAAACCTGCGGATGCAGGCGTGGTTGATCTTCTTCACAGCGGGTTGGGGACAGGTCGCTCCAGGTCTGCATGGCTCGTTTGGTTTGCCAGGCGTCGAACTAAACTGGCTTTCTGGCGGATGTTGGGCCTCTCACGCTACGGATCGAAATGGCTGTCCGTGAACGAACAATGCTGGACGAGGTGCACAACGCATACTGTCTAATTCAAATTTTGATTTTGCGATTCAAACTTTGCCATGGCAGTTGTCAGTACACGCTTGCAGCTATCTGCGAGCAGCTTTCATTCAACCATTGGCTTCTCGGCATTGCTGATATACACTCAGCCAAACAAAAAGGAGTTTCATCCAGGGATCTGCATGAACATGCTGCTGGCCTTGCAATCTTTTCTTTGAAACTGGTTTGGAACTAGGATCGTGCCCCAACCGAATTTGCAAGAAGGCCTCTAGGAGGCTTTGGTGCAGAGCCAGGTCAGGTTCAACAGGGTTCCGGAGAAGGTTCCGGAGAAGGTTCCGGAGAAGGTTGTCCCAAAACCAGTGACTGACAGCGGAAGTTTCCAGCGCCGATCCCGGGGTTTCCACACCACCCTGGAGGTACCCGGGTCGGCGCCTTCGTGGATTTTTTAAAGGAGGTACCACTTCCCCGGTAGGGATACTCTTCCTCCGTACTAAGGGCCGTGCAGCCGGGCGTCGAAGAGCTGACGCAACGTAGACCTGGCGATCAAAGGTGGGTTCGGTTGACCAACGGATTACCTCTTCTGTTCGTTGGTTTGATGTTCCCTGCTAAACCGAAATCTTCGACCAGTGGCTTGTCGACCTGCGTTTTTTTTCTGGCGGCAACCCACAGGTTAACCCATCTAGTGGCAAAAAAAGTGCCAGGAAGAAAGCTACAGAGTTTCCGTCGGTCGCATTCTGCGACTTCTTCAAGCTCACTCCACCTCCACCTCCTCAAACTCTTCCTCCGCTTCGTCTTCGACTTCGGCTTCCACCTCCACTTCTTGCTCCTCCGAGGTCCCGAAGACAGAGTGGGTCGAGGGTAGTGATCCACCCTCCGACTGCCCGTCGTCGGAAGGAAGCCGGGTGACGCTCAGTTCAAAGAGGACCACGGCCGAGTAGCCGCCGGGGAACGCGAGGTGGCCGTGGACCTCCAGCGTGCCCACCACCGGGCGGTGGTGGCGGTGCCACACGGCTACCGCGGAGGTCCAGAAGAGGATGTTTAGAAGGACAGGGGGTAGAAAGGGGCTCACCTGAAGCGCCAAAACAAAAAATGGGTGCGCAAATCACTCGCAGCCAAACAAAGCGAACCCTCTGGTATCGGAGCTTTACGTCGAATAGAAACCATACCTTTCAACTTTCAAAACTTTAATCCCACAATACTGAATATGTATTCCAATTTCAAAATTCTATTCCCCCAATACTAAATATGTCTTCAAATTTCAAAGGCCTAATCTTCCAATATTAAATATGTATTCGAATTTCAAAACCCTACTTCCCCAATACTAAATATGTATTCAAATTTCAATACCCTACTCCTCCGATACTAAATATGTATTCAAATCTCGAAACCCTACTCCCCCAAGACTAAATATGTATTCAAGTTTCAAAACCGTACTTCCCCAAGACTAAATATGTATTCAAATGTCCACTGCTAATCTACCTAGCAGGTCTTCTGCCGGACCTCAGCTGCCACCTGCAAAAAGAAAACAAAAACTGCTGCTATTCTTGTGGTGCCTCGAACCAGGCGGTCAGAGAGTCGATCCCCGTCCCGCGTGGGGCTGGAACCTCTCCGTCGCCCGGAAAGCCTTCAAAGCTGACCCGGCAGCGGCCGACCGACCACCAGCGAGTGGCCGCCACTAGGGCCAACACCGCCTTGTGCCCCAGTGCCGCCTCGCGGCTTGGCCACTGCAAGGCCGGCGCGGTGACCGACAGCTGCAGCGCAGCCGCGGCGCCCTCGGGCTCTTCACCGTGGTTGGCGACCACCAGTGCCAACGCGGCCATTGCGACGGCGGCCATCTCGCTCTCTTGCGCTTGTTTTGGCAGCAGTGTTCTCTGAGCCAAGGTGAGCTTCGGAACTGCCTTCGGTCCCTTCTGTATCTTACGCGCGCTCTCTCTCTCTCTCTCTCTCTCCCCTGGGCCTTGGATTGGTTCTGGAATTCTTCATGCGCTTCTCCGCCATCTTTCACCTGTCATGGCACAACCAGTCCCAAAACCAGTGATTGACAGCGGAAGTTTCCAGCGCCGATCCACACACACATACATAAATAAATATATAAATATATAAATATATAAATATGTATATATATATATATACATATGTAAATCATATTTGTTTCGGAGCCCATTTGGGCACTGCTGCCCGCCGACCAGGCTCCTCCACGGGCCCCTCCCGCTTCCCCACACGATCCCTCGTGTGGGTCCCCAGGCTTGGGACTGGGCTTTGGCGGGTTAACCCGGGCGTCCAGACATTTTTAGCTTCAAAAGAAACGGGCCTACGCGCCGCAGGCGCGCGTTTCTTTTTTTTCGTGCACTAAAAATTACATATCATCAGCTAAAGGCCAGGTGGGCCAAAAACTGCTCCCTCAAGACTGCCTGGCGGCCGCGCCGGGCCCGAGTAGAAGCCCAGGTGGGCCAAAAACTGCTCCCTAAAGACTGCCTGCCGGCCGCGCCGGGCCCGAGTTGAAGCCCAGGCGGGCCAAAAACTGCTCCCTAAAGACTGCCTGGCGGCCGCGCCGGGCCCGAGTTGAAGCCCAGGTGGGCCAAAAACTGCTCCCTAAAGACTGCCTGCCGGCCGCGCCGGCCCCTGAAGTAAAGCCCAGGTGGGCCAAAAACTGCTCTCTAAAGACTGCCTGCCGGTCGCGCCGGGCCCGAGTTGAAGCCCAGGTGAGCCAAAAACTGCTCCCTAAAGACTGCCTGCCGGCCGCGCCGGGCCCGAGTTAAGGCCCAGGCGGGCCAAAAACTGCTCCCTAAAGACTGCCTGGCGGCCGCGCCGGGCCCGAGTGAAAGCCCAGGTGTGCCAAGAACTGCTCCCTAAAGACTGCCTGGCGGCCGCGCCGGGCCCGAGTGAAAGCCCAGGTGGGCTAAAAACTGCTCCCTAAAGACTGCAGAAAATCTGTCCCTTAAGCATCTGCCCGGACCGGGCCGGCCAAATCAGTACCAAAAAATTAAAAAGGCGCGCCTGCTAGTCAAATATATAGCGTTTTTTTTTTTCGCGCGCGTTGCGCGCTCAAACCGCTGGAGTTCAAAAAATTCGGTCTCGTCCATCGTTTTTTTTGGGTGTTTGCATTCTTTTTGGGCGCCGCGTCGGGTTGCAAAACCCTGCTTTTTGCCTCTGTTTCTTATCCTTGCGAAAACGCTTCAAGAAGCAAAACCTTCAAAAAAAATGTTGTTTATCTGAACTGCGGGCCCCCCCGCGCCGTGAATTAATTGCCCGCCCCCCCCCCGGAAGAGTGCAAAACAAGGCAATCCGCACAAGTTATGCACATCAAAATTTCGCGACCCAAAACCAGGGGATTTGACGCTGTTTTTTGAGCGATCTGCTTCGACGGAGCCGCTTCGCCGAAAACGGCGGGCTTGGCCGCCTATTGGCCGAAGTGCACCGAAAAAATTTGGCGAGAGTTTAGTTCTCTTTTGACCCTTTCAAAGTACCCTTCTTGCATGGCTTTCTTCGTCCACGGGCCCCTCCCTCTTCCCCGGCTTCGGCGGGTTAACCCGGCGACAAACAAACACACAAACAAACAAACAAACCAACGAACAAACAAACAAACAAGCAAGCAAACAAACAAACAAACAAACAAACAAAGAGACCAACAAACAAACAAACAAACAAACAACTCAACAATCAAACAAACAAACAAACAAACCAACGAACAAACGAACAAACAAGCAAACAAACGAACAAACAAACAAACAAACAGACAAACAAACATACAAACAAAGAAACACACTAACAAAGAAACAAACGACCTAACGAACAAACAAACAAACGAACGCACGCACAAACAAACAAACAAACAAACAAACAATCAGAGACAAACAGAGACAAACAGAGACAAACAAAGACACACGAACAAACAAAGAAGAAACGGAAAGAAACAACCACCAAAAGGAGGGACAAAACACGGAAGGAGAAGCAACACAGAAAGAGGAAAACCAAAAGGAAGGAGAACATCACAAATGACGTGGGACCAAGGGCGGGTGGGGTGAAGCAACACAAAGGAAACCAATCTGTGGAGGTATATCTCTGTCAAACAGCGTGTTGACCCTAAACCCTAAACCCTAAACCCATATACATATATATAATGGGAATTGAATGGGCCCTTGCGATACCTGGGATGGAATGGTATTTTATTTACATTAAGTTGCCACTATCTTTTGGAGGTTGCCATACTCGGATGTTAACGATGTTGATATGGGCACTAGAGTTCCACGACTGTGATTGTTGCATTGTAAATATGTCGAAATGTGTCGCCATTGTCCCAACTTCTACAGAAACTCATTGTTCTGATCGGTTGGAACCCTGAAGAAAACAACGAAAATTTGAGGATCGGGACCCATCATTGTCGGCATCATTGAAGGGTCTGAAAACCATTTTCGCGAAAGTATTTCTGGATTTGTCTGATACCCCACGATATCCCAAGTTCCAGTGGTTAATCATCATGTTCTTCAATAAAATGATTAAAATGATTATTTTTGGGTTTTGGTCGTATACCCAGCATTTTACCAATGCTTCATTATAATGATCTCCATGAAAACAACCAACTTCTGGGGTTTGTAATCCCCATTTTCAGACTAGCCACAAACCCTTGAAGGTGAAACCCCAACCCGGGCAGTTTGACTCAGTTTGAATGTGCTTGGGTTCAGACATCAGCAAATGGCCAATAACGCCTTTATTTCATCGTACATATAACACTTGTGTAGTTGTTTAATGTGTATTGTGTATATTGTGTATTGTGTATCTAGATATATATATATATATATGTATTATATATGTATTATATATGTATGAATGTATATTAATATAATTATCAAATATCAAAGGTAAACATATGCAATTGCAAGAGCCCCTTATCGTAGGTTGTTACCCAAATGTTCATGGTTTCTTATTAAAACTGACCCAACATTCTCCCGTCTCCTCTGTGTCAAGCCTTAATCCACACCCATAATCAGTTGCTACTGAATGAATACCCTCAGGTAATCAAATGTGGCAATTGAAAATCCCCTAAAATGATCTAAAATGTAGGTTTTAATGGGAAAATCAACTAGAAGCGGGATGTTTTGCATTGCTATGTTTGGTTGCCAGAGGGTATCCTAGTTTTTGCACAAGTTCATATCGACATGTTCGCTGGTCAATGTTCAAAATGGGATATGAATATTTGAAAATATTGTTTGCGGTCAATTTGACATGATGAAGGCAAAATGTGAGCATCCTTCAGAACCTCCCCATGTGGGTTTTACATGATTAATCATATAGCCATCCGATATGGATATTAAAACATGTGTTTGACTAAATTGGTGCAATATATCTATGAAACCCCATTTTTCCTAATTCAATGCAAATTCTTCAAGGTAAAATCCCCATCTTCCCGTGATTTGTTGCGGCTTTGTTGAAAAACTCCGGAGGGTTGGGACGATTTTGATGCCAAGGCAAGTCGCTTTGCGACACGATGCTCTGATTGCCCAAACGCTGCTGCACCTTGATCTGTGAAATCAGCGGAAAATACCCTCTGGTAATTTAACAAAAAGCTATTGAAAATGGCCATTGAAATAGTGGATTTTCCCATGAAAAATTGTGATTTTCCATAGTTATGTTAGTTTACCAGAGGGTAATTCTGTGATGGCGGCCTGGTGATCACCCAAAAAAAGGAACATGTAGGTCAACTATGGTCAACTGGGATTTGTGGTGCGTTTTTTTAGATATATCATGATATATCTATGGTTACGGCAAGACCCTATAGTTTGCTGAAGGTTAGAACGGTGTTCAACCATATGGCGAGATCGGGTTATAACAGGTTACAAACCATCTATCACCAAAATGAGAAAGAAGGAACATGCGGGTTTGTCTGAAATGTGTGATAAAACCTTCTAATCCACTGCTAAAAAACGTCACGTTTCGCAGTTAAAGTGCCTTTTTGGGGTATACTGGCATACCCTATTTTTGGACAAACCCATGTTCACAATCAAAACTACTCATTTTAATGATAGCAAATTATAGATATGTGGGAAACTCCCAACAAAAAGCAACAACACCAGGTGATACCAGGTCTTTATGTTGGGAAATTGGGCAACGCCAAAAAACGGGCAACGCCTCGTCGCCACCGGGTCCGGATGGCTTGGATCCCCTACCTGACACCTTCCGCAACTTGCCATCTGCAGCATGTTCGAAAGGGGCGGATGCTCACGTATTAGTACCACTGGTATCTAAATGACAAGATAGTATATTATAGATATGGAGGTTTCCTAAAATGGGGGTACCCCCAAATCATCCAATTTTTAATATATATTTTTGTGCATCAGAAAAACCATCCAGCTATTGGGGTATCTCCATTTATGGAAACCCCCAATATGAATTCCCCGTTTTTCTTGATACTCTGGAGACTTGGTCATCAGATGATCAGATGGCGGCTGAACATTCGAGTTACCCAACCTGGTGTTTTGCGCGCGGTCAGCTGGAATTCTCCTATAGATGGATGTTTTAATATGAAAATCATCTACAAATGGTGGATTGACCATTTTTTTTGGACACAAACCCAAAAAATGTTCAGAAAAAAAAAAAACTGTTCACTGACCACCGAGGATAAAGAACCATCAATCATTCTGCGGAAATCTCTGCTTTTGCGGAACGCCCGAAAATTTCATCTGTCATATATTCTCACATGTATGTACAGTCTCATGTGTTTGCTCTGGCAAATCGGATGCGACAAATCTTGAGAAATATTAGTCTGGCGTTTATGGTCTGACATGATCTGAGTGTTTTCTGACATGTATTCTCACATCTCTTCTGACTTGTGCTCTGGCAAATTTCATGTGACCAATTTTCCGACATATCTTCGGCACATAGACTTCTGAAGCTTGGCATATCTTGGGATAGGGTCGACATCTGACAGGTAGAAACATGTAAAATCAAAAGATTTCAAAATTTTATGACCACCGCAATGCAAAAAGCATCCCAAAACTGAAACATGTTGGCTTCCGATTTTTGCTGGCTGGCTGGCCCCAAGGGTACGATTTCCGCGGGGCCAGATTGGAGCCCTCTCTGCGTCTAAAACATGTGTCGGGTCAGCTTTGGTCGTTACCAAAAGTGCTGTTCTGCACCAAAAATGACATGACCTTCCACATGCACCAACTGCGCGAAAATGCTAGGACGAGTTTTAACAAGGCTGATCAACGAGGAATTCTAGTTCTAGAATTCTGTATGTTACAATCAAAATCAATCAAAGCTCACGTTGGGGATTCTTTACGAAGGGAAGGATCCTGTTCTCGCTGGAAGTTTCAGCCCATCATCTCACCAGTGGGACCATCATAGGCCGTTACCGAGTCATACCGAGTCAAACAAAGTAATGTGGGTAAAACAATGCCATAAACAACATATAATGACCGGGAAATACTGGGAATGGTAACCATACCATCTATAAACATCTATAAACTGGTGATGATTATGGGATGGTGCAAATGGCATTGTCTTACCATGTCTTACCCCCATTAGATCAAATAAATCTAAAATATCTAAGCAATCTAAGTGTCTTGTTGCAGTCACGTCCAGTACAACCAGAAGTGTTCCACGGCTTCCCCACCTGTCCAGCTTTGGTCGATGGCCATACCTCTGCGAAAAAAATCTGGTCAACTTCCCAGCGGCGTTCCAAAAATGTGGGGCAGGTTTGGCGGCCTGGGCCTGGGCCTGGAAAAATCACCAAAATGGCCTAGAAAAAAATGAAGGAATAGTGAATACCCTCTGGTAAACTAACATAGCTATGGAAAATCACCATTTTTCATGGAAAAACTCACTATAAATGACCATTTTCAGTAGCTATGTTAAATTACCAGAGGGTAGCGTTGTTTTTCCCCATCAAAATTTGTTGTTTTCCCCCGCCTCCACAAAGTAGCCACACGGGCTTTGCAGCCGCAAGGGTGCCTGGCAGCGGCTGGACCAAAATTGCGGAGATGGATGGCTTATCATGGCTCTAAGTCTCACAGGAAAACCGCAGATGGTTTTTCTTTGTTCACTGATTCAAAACACTAGTACAGCATCGATTTGTTTGGCTACTGGCATCAATACCCCTATTTTATCGAAATGTACAGTAAATCTCATCACTTTCTGTTGCTGCAACCATCCCGTTTTGGGTATTTCGGACACTCCACGTTACGTTTGACCGCCATCGATACGCTGGCTGTTGGCACCTCTGATTCAAGGTATACCTCTTGCACCACACCAACCTCAGGGAAGTGACAGCCTCAACTCGATGGGAATAGGTCAAAACCCTGGGGCCTCCTGGCCAAACTAGCTGGTTGATGGATGTTCATCCTGTGGTATTCCATAGATTTTGACCAATTCCCGAAACCCGAGGGGCCAAGATTTGGACTCTGCTCATGGCCTTGGACATTCCCCATCTTCACAAGTCTGGAAAACTTACAGACCACAAGCCTAAAATAACCCATGTCGAATCGCAGAAAACGGAAATCAACAAAAATTCTTGAAAGCCACAAGTTACAAGTTGTAAACTCAATCCAAAATCATGTTTATCATTTTCTGTTCCATGTATCCATTTGGCTTTGCGAGGGTGTAGCCCAAAGCCATTGGTTTATCACCATCTTCCCTATTGGCAATAGCATCCAAAGCATGTGATTTACAGGTGCTTACTACAGCAATTACAGGTGTTTCCAATTATCTCAAAAAAAAACATCTCTGATGGTGAAAAATTCCCATAAACCCCCAATCATCCCCACGTCCATAGAGGTCTTGATCCATCCCCATTTTTCATGGGATGCGTCCCCACGTCCCCACGTCCCCACATCCCCAGGGAAGTCTCAGCTCCCCCGGCTGGCGCTTCAGACTGCTGTAGCTGCCAAGCACCATGGCCCGGGACCTGCACTTAATTTGAAAAGGATAGAAAAGGGAAAAAAAGAACTAAGATAGGGTATACTAATGTTATATATGGCATATTAACCCTAAATGAATATACCACTATTATATATGATTAACAAATTATGGCAAATTACTCTGGTTGGTGGTTTTTGCAGTTTTAACCATCATGAAAAATATGATATATGGCATATTAACCCTATAAATAAATATACCACTATTATATATGATTAGCAAATTATGGCAAATTCCTGTTCTACCTTTTCGGGGGTTGCTATGTATTATATATATATATCACCCTCGAGAGAGGGAGAGGGTTTCTCATCGGGCAGGATGCTTCCGGAAACATCTTCCCTGGAAATCATGGTGTTCATCAAATATGGTGCTTCCAACGGTACATGTTTCCTTCAATGCTGGGAAGGTGGGCTTGATCATAAGGATTACCAAAGATTTGTTGAAACTGTTCAGGTCTTAAGTACCTCGACTACTTGATGGTTCACCCCACGAATCCTAAGCGGCTAGACTTATTGGCTATCGTGTTTTTGTGGGTTTTTTTTCCCCTGATGAATATGGGATAACCCAATGTGGGTCCGTCTGAAAATAGGGTACCCCATTCTACTGGTTCATCATCATCATCCCTATCAAAATTGCCATTTTGCGGGTATATACACAGTATCCAATGTTCAGATGCTCCAAATATTTCGAGATGGCGATTATCCTGCTATTATCCCATGATTGTCCCATTATCATCCCATGATATTCCCACTGTTTGGGGGTATACAGTACCATTTTCAGATCAATTAGCCACTAAACATGACAGACTTGTACATTCTCCCATTCTCATCCCCTTCTTATCCCATTCTTATCCCATAATATGGGGGAATTGTGATACCCTTCGATAAACTAAGAGTTTGCCATTGAAAATCCCAAGCTAAAGGATGTTCCTATGAAAAATGCTGGGTTTTCTATCGTTTTTTGTATGTTTACCAGATTTACCACAGATATCTATAGATTGTTCCCCAAATATAGAATAATAATATATATCTCATAGATAATATAGCTTAGATAGATCTCATAAATCTAGTAAGATTGTTCCCAAAATATAGCATATCTCATTTAAAGATCTCATCTATTCCCAGGGCAACCGACCGAAAGATTTACGATCGCCTCCATGGCTGACAAACGAGGGGGACTCGACGGGGGACATCTCAGCGCCGAGAAGGGCCACACCAGGTGGCCGTGCTGCACCAACCTGAAGAATGGTAGATGGGTAGATGATGGGTAGATGATGGGTAGATGATGGTGGAAGGATGGATAGATGATGGATAAATTCGATTGATTCGACTTGGAATTAGGATAAGGATTGGATAAAGAGAAGAACATGGAGAACCCCAAAAATCCCATGGAGAGATGGGAGCCACCTGGCCTATGGGTCTGTGTAGATATAGACTTTTTTATGGCAGAGGCGCAGCCAAAAAAACATTTTGGGCACCTGAATTTTCTATCCAAACCGCCACATCACAAAATCGTCTCTTTGTCCTTCAAATGCTCCTCATCAACTGTTCTTTGTTCCACTCGACTTTTGTGAGACATTCTTTGCTGGCCAAACTCAATCGTTACTAACCAACTGCAAGTGGGTCATGTTGCACTTTGCGACGCGCCGTCGCAATGAAAACTTGGCAGCCCCATAGACCCATCAATGTTTGAGATATGTCTAATATCTGAAACAATGTGCTCCATTTGGGGAAGCCGATGACTTTGACTATCAGAAACCACATTAAATGATAAAATCCAAAGAAAATACATAGATAAATGCAGAACCATGATTACAGATCACTATTACTGCATCATCTGGCCATAGGTATGGGTCCCTTGACCCTGGTACTTTTCTGTTCACCCACATAGCTAGTAGATGTTCATCCAAAATCTATGGAAAATCGGCGCCTCGTTTTTTGGCGTAGTCTCCCACCGTTCTTGGGAATCCTCATAATGGCCATTGTAATACTGACGTCAAGGTTCACCTCTCGTTCCCCATTACTGGTGATATGACCATCCCCCAATATGGCTACCCGGCCTGGTAATGACTAACAGTTTGCGAACTGGAAAATGGCCATAGAAATAGTTGATTTACCCATTAAAAATTGGTGATTTTCCATAGTTATGTAAACGTTTACCAGAGGGTAAGTATATAATCCAACTAACCTGACCGTGGCACATATGAAACCAACTTATTTTTGGAGTTTCGCCAGAGTTCGCTAGGTCTTTGCACACCACTTCGCCGCCATGCTCAGGTGCTGCCCGAAAATCCCCTTTGCACGGATCCAATCAGCGGAAACTCGGGACCGACACAGTAGTTCTATGAAGAATACTTGCCATATCACATAAATATATATGTAATTAATTATATATATTATTATATATATATACAAGTACCCGTAAAGTGATAAAGTCTTCTAATTCCATATTAGTCGATATTAGTCTACATATGTTGAGTGGATCGTTGAGTTCCAGACTAGGTTCATCCCAGTGCAACCCAGAGAATGCGTGATTTTTTAAAGTCTATGCACTATGGAATCCCGAAACAGTCACTATGAAATCCTTGAAACATCTTGAAACTGGATGGTGAAGCCCGATTTTTATGGGGGGCTAGCACAAAAACCACACGCGGAGGCTGCGGAAACAGCAGCTTTCAGATGCAGAAAGTCGGAAAGCAGGTGATTTACCCTCTGGTAATTTAACGGTTTGCTATGGAAAGATCCACCATTTTTTTAATGGGAAAACTCACTATTTCTATGGCCATTTTCAATAGCTATGTAACAAATTACCAGAGGGTAAACCATGTAAACTGTTTTGGATAATGAATTGGAGTTCATGACTGTCAAGCAAGAATAAATGCTTTGTTTTTTCATGTTTTTTCCAAGACTCCTCTCCGTAGCACACATATCCACGCTGATGACCGTTTTTGCTCCTTTATTCGTTGGTGGTTTCAACCCATCCCCTAACAAATGAGATCATCATGGCAGGATTCGAAGTAACATAGGTCAAATCATTTTGCCAGGTCACCCAGTTCTTCACCCAGTACCCGGTTTTTCAAGTTGTGACCCACAGTCACATGTCACATCATGTCACATCTCATTCAACTCTCGTTCATCAGGAAGGCGGAAGAGCTTGAAGAACCTACTCAGCGCTGGCATCACCTCAGTTTTCAACGCAGCCCCAGCTGATTGGAGACACACTGAACAACCAGCGCAAGGCCTGCGTTTTACGTCTTGAGTTGGAAGAGTCGAAGTAGTCGGAGTGGATGGTTCTTTGAAGTTCTTTGATGTTTTGCCAAGTACGTCCTTGGGATGGGCCATAAAAAAGGCTTGGATCATGGTGATTCACCCAACCACTAAGTCACTAAGATCACAGTGGCCCGGCAGTGGCCCTTAGTGGCCTTGATAGGCGCCCTGGTTCTCATGGGCTGGTCGAATCACCATGGAGATTCCACATTCCGGCTGTTGGAGGGGAGAAAAGAAAGATCCGGACTCTTCCCAAAGAGCTGGAATTCTCGAAACACTTCAATATGGGTATAGGTCAAAACCCTATACCCCTGGTGGACATCAGAATAGCTTGTAAATGGGTGTTCATTGCCCTAAAAAAGGTATCTATAGGTATTGATCCGTAGCCATATATGTCAAACGATTTCTGTGCATCTTCACCTCTACATCTTCTGACTTCCGACCGGTCGTGACCTGGTCAGTCTGAAACAGCAAAAATCCGCCCTCCGCTCATCCAGAGCCCCAGATGAGCCACATTATCTGCCACCCAAGGTGTGAAGAGGATCGCACCAATATAGATCAAAGGTTTGAACGGGATTGATGCGGTGTAGGCTCCTGCAACCCCAACGGGCCCCAACGTTTTTCCAGTGCAAAGCCAAGACAACCCATATAAGTGGTCATGCTTCAGGGAAAAACTCAAGGGTTAACGTTTCTTTTTTGGAAACATCCACATGGTGTATGTATGATGCAATGAAACCCAGCGTCATACAAACGTGGGGTTATTTTTCACGCGTGGTGTGGTATGGCACAATTCCTACAGAAAACAAAACATGGGGGTTCGAACAGGGGACCACTTGAGGATTCGCAGAAAAAAGATGTGGATCTTATGTGCCTCCAATTTTGACCGGTACCGGTCGTAGATTGGCGTATGGGGTCGTATTCGTTCCCAAGATTTTTGGAGCACCGTTGGTTGGGCCACGCTGCTATTTTGTCCAATTTTCGGGGGTATCCCGAGTTAGGAACCATCAAAATCATCCAAAAATTCACACAAAACAGTGGATACAGTGGTATACACATCAATTCCAAATCAGGAAAAAGACTTAGTGTCCCTTTGATCTAGTACCCTACAAACATCTGTATCTTCCCAAATCAAGGACTTGACTCTCGCCGTGATCCTGCCATCACCAGGCTCATGGTTGCCGCACCGGTGAGAACGGTGGTGTAGTAGGCATAGCCTGAGAAATCATCACTGGAAGTGATTCGTCGGAGTGTTTTACGATGAAAACGTTGGGAGTTTTACCAACAGAAACGCTCATTGTGATGATCTACAATCAAGAGATTGCAAGGACAAACCTTTCACATCTCGGACATCTCCCTTCGTTTACCCAAATACAGGATATACCCTCTGGTTATTTAACATAGCCATGGAAAGATCCACCATTTTATAGCTAGGTAAACCATCTATTTCGATTAGGGCCATCGAAAAACCATGGCTATGTTAGTCATAACCAGAGGGTAAATGGCATGTTTTTTTGATATATGGCTTGCGATCACCACGTTCGAAAACCCTGCGATTTCTGGGATGGACAATGATGGACATCCCCAAATCCTCAGCACCAGGAAGCTGATGAAGGGGATGTTCAACGTCCAATACAACGTGTAGGACTTGGCGTGGCGATGGTCGCGGATTTGTGAAAAGAGCAGGAAAGACAATCCAAGGGGGAAAGTTGAGATGAGAATTTGGATGACATCGGATTGGTGGTTTGGACAAAGTCAAAAAAAACAAGGTTTGCAAAAGAGATCGTCAATTGGGATCAAGCATGGAAAACGAAAGAGTGAGCAATACCACTAACCAGTCTTGGGTCAAACTTCGAGGCATTGGAACTAGGATCTGGTGGTAACCTAACAGTTTGCGAACTGGAAAATCACCATATCTCAATAGGTAAATCAACTAGAAATGGCCATGCTTTTACTAGCAAAGCGTTGAATTGCCAGAGGGTATACTACAATACATCTGTTAAGTCTCACCCCAAATCTAAAACTCGTAGTTTAAAAACTATCGGAAGAATAAAAGCTGAATCTAAAGAAATATCAATTGTAGCCATAGGTCCATAAACTAACTTGGCAATGAAAAATGCCCCAGTTGTAGACTATTTTCCTGAACAATGCAGATGTCCCCTTCCCAAGCAAAATTCCTATTGTAGAGGGTAATAAGCTGGATGCAACTTCCAATGTTTTACCTGCTATTCGCACTTCCTGGATCTATAACCAACCACACCTTATATAAGGCATATGTGTGCCCTCCAATGCCCTCCAATAATCAAAGGTGACAACGGAAAATCACCCATTGAAAATCACCTGATATGATCATATCATAAACCCAACAAGTGAGTTATGAACCAACGCCAATCGCGAAAAACGAAGCGGGGCACCAGCGGCCACATCCCCCAGTCATTTCTTCCCAGATGCCAAGATCAAGGAAATGGGAAATGCAGGACCAAGGCCCTGAGCTAACAGCCATCCTCAGCGACAAATGCCGAACAGTGCCTGTGATGTGTTGAAAATTGGAGATTTCCAGGGCCCAATTGATGAGAATTGATGAGTTCTTGCTCTTCAAAACGAGCTATTATGTTGTGCTAATTATGCTAATTCAACAGTGTGCGAACTAGAAAACCAGAATGTTTTTTAGAGGTAAATCATCGAACCAAATGGGGCATTATCCATGTAAATTACCAGGTATTTAGCCCAAGTTTAGACCAATCGGTTCTAAACCTTCCTGAAATCAGGTCCATCTGACAGCCAATTGAGTGGCAATGAGTTTAGATTCCCATTTTATGGCAATATGTTTTTGGGGAAGATTAGGTTTTTTGTAACTTTTCATCCAGGGGATGCAATCAAGTTCCAAATTGGAGACAACCCAACGCTTGGTGATCAAGCCGCAGACATTGGGGCACCGTCATCTGGTGTGGTTGATACCCTCTGGTAAACATACAAAAAGCTATTGAAAATGGCCATAGAAATAGTGGAATTTCCCATTAAAAATTGTGATGTTTCATAGTTATGTTAGTTTGCCAGAGGAAAATGTTGACCCAGCAAATTCACAGTAATATCCAACAGGTACTTTGTCAAGATTGTCAAGTTTTGCTTCTGACATTTCCCAGGATTGAAGGGATTGTTGTTGCAGGACACCTGGAAATTTGGTGGATTTGATCAACCTTCCCTTCTTGGAAGTGCAGTTCCAGTTGTAAGTGAATATTAACCACAACTATAGGGGCCCCATATCCCAACTTATAGAGCTTATTTGACATGGTGCCATAAAAGTAACCTTAACTGCCAGTGGGTTGGCTATTCTGGTTCGAGGTGATATGCCATAATATATGCAATATAATATACATATCTTATGTATTCAAATGCATTGATATTGGTTAAACCTCTGGAAACCCAGCACCACAAATAAGATACATATATTACCTAATTAATCATAATTATATATATATATATAATTCGGCCATAGTATGTTTAGTACATGTCATGTCCCACTTACTAACCGGGATACACATCCAAGTATGAGTCCAAGACACTTTCCTCGTTGGTCATGCTCCACAGCTTCTCAAAGCTCAAGTCCTGCCATAAAGAGCACCAAAAAGTCAAGGAATCCAACGAGGGATCCAAAAAAAAGACTTCAAAATTGCCTTCGCCACTGACATTCCCACAAAATGGGTGTGTCTCGAAGTTGTGGGATTAAACATGATTAGACCCCCAATAAAAATGGCCATGGCCATATCTTAATAGGCAAAAATGATGATTCACTAGTGGATGGAATGGTGTGTTCCCATAATTCAAAGCGACAGACCCCAAGGTGCCATAGACCTCACCGGTGAGGCACCTCCCGAACCTCTCTGACTTTGCGTTCCTGGGCGAAGTTCGGAAAAGTTCCCGTCCAGAAAATGTGGGGTATAAGTATAGCCAGTCATTGCCTGTTTTTGAATTGTTGGGTGACAAAGCCAACAATTCAGTTGGCTAGACCCCAACTTTGTTGGCCAAACTAACACTTTTGATCACTTTTGCCGGTTGAATTCTCATTTTTAGTTTGACTCCCATGATCGTTGAAGCCCTCATGTTGATGGATAGCCCGATAGCCCCATCTTTCTTGATCCTGTGTAGTTGGTAAGTGGCGATCGATACCTGGGTGATGACGGACGGATAGCTAGCAGCTAGCCTTAGAAAATCCCGAAGAGCTGCAGGTTGTAAACGATGCAGACTGTGAGCTGGTCATCCGAATAGTTCGCTGGTTCTGTTTTGAGCAGATTCGTACGTGTCAGTGCTATCCTTTGCTTGGATTCCTATGTATGAAGTATGGTTGGTGCCAGGTGTGCTGCTTACAACACATCTTTTAGTCTTACCTCTCGTCCTATCACCATTTCTGCTTCAAGCCAATTCTGTTTTGCTTCGATCACCATCGTTGTTGCATCTCGCTCACCTTTGGGATACAGACAGTTTTGGATGTTTTGGAGACTATTTCCGGGAGAATGCGCCACCCCCTCAAGAATTGCATAGACCCTGAGAATCGCCCTGTTTGGAGGAAGGTAACCTCTCATAATTGACAGGGCCTATGTTGGTTGGAGGGAGGGCAATATGTGGATGACATCCCCGCTTTGTATTGATGAATCTCTAAAATCTCGTCATTCCATGTCTGGCAACATCATGAATCTCTAAAAATCCCCATATATTTCCTCCATATAGAGATGTTTGTAAAAACATGTTTTTCACATGCGAAATCCCCAGGGTTTTTGGGTGTTCCGCATCGCCAAGGCTCCGCTTCATCCAACGTCATCATCTCGGCGGGTTTCGAACCTAGAGCGGTGAAACGCAAAACTGACATTGGCTTGGCACTGAGGGGTCACTATTTTATTCATCCTTAAATAACTGAGAAAGTCATGGCATATCATATATATATATATATATACAGATGCATACATGTATTATATAATATGTTGTAAGCTTTTTTGGAAAGATGGAAATTTGAGTATACAAAACCTTTATGGGTTGCTGTTTCTTAGCTATCCTTCCTGGTTGGGAAACTCAAAAAACGTCGCTCAATTCTCGGCTCCCAACCGCTCCCTAACCATTGGGCAGTTATTTCTACATTCCCATGGTTGAAAGTCATAGGGAAATCTCAGAAAATGTGGATGTTTAACATGGTAAAACAATGCCATAAACCATCATAAACCACCATTTAAGGGAATGGACAGTTTAAACCACCTATTTATGGTGATACTCAGATTTTTTCGTACATATGTCCTGTTTTCGCCACATGTTATGCATTTTGCTTCTAGCGCATTTTCGGGGCTGATCAGATGCAAAAAATTGAGCGTTTGAAATACCCAGCATTTGCTGGTTGATCTTCGCTCCTGTCCACATCTCTTACTGACTGAATGGTTATGTCATCGGATCCCTTTGTCAATGGATTGATAAAAAAGTGAACTTTTACAGTTGAAACCATGACTTCCTACCTTTTTAACGTTTCTTCCTCCCCAGCCAGTGTGCTGGTAACAAACACACTGCGTTCTTGGTGCCCCTAGCCTGTGCTCACACCCACATGTTTGCAGGTGAAAATTCCATGTCTTTTACATTTTGTTACTAGCACCCGCATGGTTCTCACAGTCACATCATCATGTCGGTTTGTCATTACCCTCTATAGTGTGAAAACAAAATCATGCTACACCAAGCCATTGGTCTAAAAAGCCGCTGCAACATGCGTTGAAGCCAGCATCCAAGTGGTGTGTTTGTTGTGTCATAAGTCATTCGCATGGTGATTGGTCAAAATGCCAACCTATATACCATTATATACCCAGTGTTGGATGATTGAATCCCGGCAAATTGTTGGTCACATCAAATAAAAAATGTTACCATAGGCCCTCTCCTCAAACTTCGTGGCAAAAAGTCTGTATATGGGCGGGTCAGAACCCTGATTTATGAATGTTAAATCCACCAACTATGGTTTTGTGGCTTCTGACCGTAGCAATATTATGATTATATATATATATATTGCTCAATCCCAATAGTATTTGGTATATACACCATGTGTCTATCCCGCTTCAAAGCTGCACAAACGCCGCCAGGCGAGTTATGAATGCCAGGGGACCTCCCAGAGATTCCACAACTTTCGCAAGGTCCTCCACCTGACCATCCCCAAGGGTTGATGGACAACCCAGCTTTGGTACCTGAAAAACACCACGTATGGCCATTTTTATGGGGAAAGTCTGGAAAATGAAGGGAACAAAAACAACATGCGATGGCCAATCATAATGTTCCCGAAAAAAAAAAAACTGCCATAATTGGTTAATCATCTATTTTCAAACAAGCCCAGAAGGGATTATGGCCCCCATTAGAACACCATTAGCAGAACCCCAGGTTTCACCGGTGTCACCATCAACCAGCAAGGATATTGGGAATTGCTCCTTCTAAGGAGCGCATGAGGATATCATGAGAACTGGTGCGCGCGCCAATGCCCAAATCTGCGCGCCCTTCAACCCAAAGATTTTGACCACACGAAGGGGTTGTTGCAAAATTTCATGGTGAGGGGGTTCTTACCCTGTTTCGTAGTCATATAAATCCTTCATTTCTCATGGTAAATTCCCATATCACCATTTTTTCCTATAGTTAAATCCCTATGAAATCACCAGCTTTTCCTAGTTAAGTTCCATTAATTCACCATTTTTTCCATGTTAAATCACCATTTTTCCTAGTTAAGTTCCGTTAAACCACCATTTTTTCCATGTGAAATCACCATTTTTCATGCGAAAATCCTCCCCATGTTCTGATTCCTTGCGCCTCCTTGCGGAGCTCCGGCAGGTCTGGAGACTTCTCTTCTTCGGCCTGAGGATACGCCCGGCCGAAATCTCGGGGGAAAGGGGATGATCCAAGCTGACATGGGATGAAGATGTGGAAAAATGTGAAAAAAATGTGAAAAAATGTGAAAAAATGGGATGATCCATGGGATTATCCAATTCTCATCTATTTCACTGGGAAAATTAATATGAAAAACGAACATGTTCACCAACCAATAAACATGTGGTTCCCATTGTTGGTTCAGCGCTGGATGAATGAGAATAGCTCGGAAAAAATGGGACTATCCAATTCCCATCCATTTCATTCGACGATTTTCTCAGTTTTCTTTAAGGCTGTTTGAACCTCTATTTACAGATTTCGCCATGTTCGAATGACACTTTTGGGGTAAATTGTCTGAACATTCTGAATATCCCACTTTCGGAGTGTCCAGGCAAGCGACCTGCTTCATCTTGGTCCATGCCAAGTTGAATTTGTAGGTCTCGAACTCCAAGCGAGCTGGATCTTGCTCCTGGAACGAGGATTGAAAGCTCTCAGCTCCCTGGGTGTTTCTAACGATGTGGGAAAACGTTTGGGAAAATGAAAATAGGATGCCTCGAAATCCACTGCTAAATCCTGATTTTCCCAGATTTTCCCTATTTTGCAGTATCCATTTTGGGGGGATACCCATTTCAGACACAGCCATGTTTGTTTGGCTGGAGAGCCCTCTCAAAAATTGAAAGCTGTTGAACCCGGAGAAAGCTGCATGAGACCACTCAACTATCCAGTGACCCTCGTTGGCCAGAAATGACCGTTGGATGTCACGAAGGCGTAGGGTGAATAATATGGAAAGAGCTTGACATCACCGAGGTAGACAATGAGGTGGTTCAAACATTAGGGATACCGGGATACCCTTAAAGTCAATTTTCACCTATTGAAATAGCCTGTTTGGTTACAACCAAATTATGATGGCTGTTGCACTTACGCAAGCTATAGAATTCCTGAAGTTTGAGACTGATCCTATACAACTCGTAGGATGAATGTTTCAAGCTTTGCTTTAAAACGTGATCTTGGCCTCTGGTAAAATCCAATGTGTGTCATTCAGAAAAACAGTGTTGCTGGTTACGTCTCATCCAAGCATCTGGTTTTGCCTGAAAATGTGCTACCCAAGAATCCCATAGTTGAAAAAAGCTGCCATTTCTTGATCATTTGACAGCCATTCTTTTAGGCGCTCCCGAAATTGACACCCATTTTTCACAGATCTTGCCAGGGTGAGTCCTGAAGTTTCACATCGCTGTCAGCCACTTTTTCCTTCAGGGATCTTCGACACTGAATGTTCATGCTGTGGTGTCAAAGCTTGGTGGTTTCAGCAGTCAGAGGGGTAGAAGAACAAAACGTCCAAAACCACCAACCGAAAAGAGTATGAATCTATTGTTTATCATGAGGGAATGCAAGGACTTTGACCCCTGTAATTCACATCAAAAGATCTAGTTCTGGATGGTCATCCCAGCAAATATGTTGGCTTAAAAAATCATCCCCATTGGCCTTTTTGGGGTTTCCCATGTGACATGTGGACCATGCCTCCATCAACCAACCGTTGTACCAAGAGTCCAACTGGGATTCGCGGTTCGTTGAGGGTTGGACAGCCTATCGGATAGCTATCACTAAAAAAAAGCTACATGTCCATTAAATTGTTCAGACTAATATTCCACCAAATCCAACTCTGATCCACCAACTTTCCCAAATCATCATAAATATCATAATCATCTCAGTCTCAGCTGGTTTGCCTCACAGTTGACCCATGTTGACTACTGAATTTTCTCCCTCTGGCCACCAGCTAGCTGGCCCCCTTCGAAAAAGTTCCTGGATTGCAGCCCGACGAGCACCTAGTTCTTTTCGGCCGCCGGATAGATGAGTTGGGGGATGCTTAGCATGTGGTTTTATCCAAAAAATGCCGAGAAAAAGAAAAGATAAAAACAACTGTGGTAAGGGAAAAACATCTTTCTCGTTTTTTGATGGCACAAATTGGGATTACTTCCCATTTCGGGACAAGGTCATGAACATCCATGTTTTCCATCAGGAAACACTCCAGAAATTGGCAAGATTTGAAACAAAAGGATGTTTTGAAACCTGGAAAATTGGGCTCACCCGGTATTGTGACCCATGCCATGTGGTGGTTTTTGGCCCCACTGTGACCCACTCACAACCTAGTTCTTTTGCCAGAACTCATTGGTCACTCCCTGGAATTTCCTGATGAAGCGAAATCTAATCAGAACAATTTTCCAACCATGATCGAGCCTAGTATTACCTAGAGATTCCAGTTGGGTGGCATCCGAGTTGTGATCCCAGTCCAAGATTGCTGAAACAACCTGCGGGGCCCTGCGGGGCGCCTGGGTGTCTCAAGTTCGAATTCGCACTTGCACCTGCGTTTCGTGCTTGGTGGTCGGGATTCCCGCAGGGATCCAGGAGATTCCAAGTTCTGACAGGGCGACCGACAACCGAATGGGCTACCGACCACCAAAATTAACCCTCTAAATTGAAGACCAGAGAAAACAGAAAAAGGGGAGGTAATGAGAAACCGTATTTTGGGATACCCAATTTTAGATTATTTTGATCCATAACCAGATGATTGTCGACCAAAGATATCTTTGGGCTTGCTACTCAAAACGACCATTTTTCCATGACCAATTTTTGGACAAATCTTGACCAAGCAGTTTCAACAACCTGGAACTCCGCTGCAGTATCGGCTATATCCGTCATTGATTACATGTACAATTCGTCAAGGACCCCAATGCTTTACCTCTCGTGAATAGAAAAATGGTTCAGCCATGTTGAAAGTGCACAGCTGGAGCAAAATCCAGGTTCCAAAACTCAATTTCTTCAGAGAAGTCGAAGACCTGGATTCGGATTTCCATGGAGTTTCTCACCAAAAAAAGATGCGAAGACCGGCCGATTGGGGGAGAAAACGTCATCGCAGTGGCCAAGTTATCCCAAGTTATGCCCAGTCGCACCTGCGAATGCCTGGGCCCAGCAGGCTTCCAGTTTGGCTTTCATTCCATATACAGCAATCTGGGTATCATCCACTATGGGTATGTATATATATGTATACATATATATATATACATATATATATATTATATATACATATATATATATATACATATATATATACATATACAGTATGTCAAACATATTGATACCTATGGAGATACCCAGATCCTCAACACCGGCAAACCTGTGATTGATGCAGTAAATCCCTCGGTTTTTACAGGGTTTACACAATCCCTGCCTATGGCAACATGTCATTCCATGTTCTTGGGTAAAATCCCTATGTTTTATGTTTGATAGTCGGTTTCCCTGATGAATCATGATTTCACTATGTTTGATGGAAAAACTATGGTTTTTTTCAATCATGATTTCACTCAAAATCTCCCAACTTTGAACCCCATCTCCATATCCCCGTTCTGCCACGGTCACCGTGAGCTTCACAAAGGTCAGGGAAAGCGCCAGCGCCAACGCCAACGTCGCCAGCGTTCGGGTGGCGAGGCGGCTGCGACCTTAAAGCTTTTCAAGGCGGCTGCTATGGGGTGGTTATCTTACTACGAACCCCGAATAGTATATCGTTAGTACTAATAATGGTATCTTCATACTCTTACCTGAATGTTCCTAATGGTATTATGATAGTTGATGTTCTTACTAAGAACCACTAATGTAATATTAACACTGGTATAATCATTGACATCAATATATAATAGTGCTAATAGTTTTTTAGGTTAGTATTGAAGATTATACGTTATCCGTTTTGGTATATCTTACTGATATATAAACATGAATAGTTTATATTGTAAGTAGCTACCTTCTTAGCAAGATATATGGGTTATTTAGATACTAAGACAACGGATATATATATATATACATATTATAGTATTACTTTTGTTAGGTGTTTAGGAGCCACGATTATGGTTCTTAACTTTCTGCACATTATTAAGTATTACCGTAACACCGTGAAAAAATGCACTCCAGAACAAAGTTATGTACTGAAATTGATCTAAGTTATGTATTATTCTTACCACTACCACTGCCACCCTTCCTATGATGTGTATTGTCGTTGTGATTATGTAGATATTTATTGTCATCACGATCATTGACTATCAGTATTGTTTGAATCAATCCCGACTGAACCCTGACATAAGTCACAAGCCTGACTAAGTCACCGCCCTGACTCCACTTCACCCCAAAATTTCATGGTTGCAAAAGTTGAAAACCTCATATTTTCATATACCATCTGGTTATTTAACATGGCCATGGAAAGATCCACCATTTTTAATAGGTAAACCACCTATTTCTATGGACCATCTATACCATGGCTATGTTAGTCATAACCAGAGGCTATTTTCCCATTTTTTTTCTATGAAAATGACCTTTTTCACTTGGACGAACTATACGAATTGCATCCGGGCTCCCCTACATCTCCAACCCGGCGGTGCCATGGCCATGGCGGTCAGAACCGTCGTGACCGACGCGTGCGGCGCCGTAACGCGCGCCCAGCCGGGACACGCGGAGCTCTCGGGCCACGTTGGAGGTACCCCAGAATTCTGGCTGGAAAAGGAAGCAAAATAAAACCTGGTTGGTGGTTTCAACCCCTCTGAAAAATATTTGGGATGATTATTCCCAACATATGGAAAAATAAAAAATGTTCCAAACCACCAACCAGAAACCTGTGGAGTACTTCCAAGATTTGCCTCATGTGTATCTTTGAAAATGACCAGAATCTTCGAAGTGTAAACCATCTGTCCCACTGCCTGTCAAGTTACCCTCATACCGGTCCACTTTCATGGTGGCATTTGTCTAAGAGGGATCCATGCAGGAGAATGCATTGGTCAACCCTTGCGGACTGTGTCAAACCCCTTTGGAAGCATTGATATTTCACGGTTTTCGGAATCGCCGATTTGAAAATGACCTCCATCGGATTATGGCATGGTCAAAAAAACCCGGAATGCTCATCATGGTTCCTGTTGAAAAGGGCCATAACTGGGTGGTATCCCCCCCCTTTTTCACACACATCGTGCCCCCCAGTTTTGTTGGTTTAGTTTCGCCCATCTAACTCCTGTTTCACACACACACACACATCAGAAGGTGGTGCCCCCCAGTTTTGTTGGTTGAGTTTCGCCCATCTAACTACTTCGATATATCTAGCATACAGAGAACAAATGACCCGCTCATAAACGCCTTGTATACCATGGAATGGATGTTGTTGGTTAAATCAGTTATATCCCCCCATGATATCCACATTTTCCCTAGTGAAATCCCCAGCTTTGGGCCTCAGTCAGTTCCAATCTCTCACTGGGCCCCCCTGGCACTGCCACAGCATGCGGCAGATCACGTTGCCGCAGGAGCAAGGACTGATGCGACGGTGCGGTTTCATCCCGGACTGCATGGTTTCTGGGGGTGTTGAATGTTGGGAAGGGATTCCTACTGGTGCTTTACTGTTCTGGTGGCGTATATGGTATCCTTACATGTCTTGAACAAAGTTTGAAGCCACCAACCAACCTTTTTGTCATGATTATATCATAGGGCACGATGGCACCATGGCAAGTCACTAAGCTAAATTGAAGCCCTTTTTGGTAAACTCCCCCTTTCATTCCCGTCGTCGTGATGCAGGCTGCAATTGACTAAGTCACTAAGTCATTACATCCATCATCTATAGCTAGCAGATTGTGTATGTATATATATAATGTCCAAAAAGAACTACAATAGCTGATGATATCCCCATGACATAATGCATCAAATTCATGATCCATACATTTTCGGAAAAAAAAAAATCGTGTATCACCACTATTTTCGAAAATGTATGGAACATAGCGATCCATATATTTTCGTTTCGCTACGAAAGTTGTCAGTTTGGGGGGTATACCACCTTTTCAGACACCCAAATGGATCTTGTTGGTGACATATCCCGAAGACATCGGACCGTTGTATCACCATTTTCCCCAGTAAAAAAATATCCTGTTTCGTGGTTAAATCGCCCATCTTTCCCCTGAAAATCACCACCTTGAATTGGTAAATCATCATGTTTATATATGTTTATTATCTATAAATGGTGCTATTTACCCTCTGGTAAATTAACATCGGCCCTGAAAATCACCAATTTTTAGAGGAAACTAATCTTCCAACCCCGATGACTACCAGGGTCCAACTGTGAATTTACTGGAGGGTATATCCAACATTTCCCAAAGGCGATGTTTTCTCACCAGAGGGTACGTCTCGTCGTTTTTCAACGGGAGATCCGCCTCTCCCATCAGCCGCCATGGAAAGCCACTCCGGGCCAGACATTTTCCAATGGCTCCCACCTCATTCTGGGAAAACCTTGGGGATTTCATAGGAATTTATGGGATTTCATAAGGGTTCAATGGGATTTAATGGGATTTCATAAGATTTCATAAGGGTCTAATGGGATTTAATGGGATTTAATGGGATTTCATAAGATTTCATAAGGGTTTAATGGGATTTAATGGGATTTCATAAGGGTTTAATGTGATTTAATGGGATTGAATGGGATTTAATGGAGATGTCACCAAACACGGGGATATGAATTGGAGATACCTTGTACCCTCCAGTAAACTAACATTGCGATTTACCTACAAAAAATTGTTATGTTCTTGTTAAATTACCAGAGCGTGTTGTGCTATTTGATGGTGAATCTAATACGAATGGAATATTCTTCGACCCGGAAACGTAAACACTGCGTTACTGCGTTGAACCTTCGAAAAGATGTTTGAAAAATTGTCAGTTGTCCAAGTCTGTGTGTCAGTTATTTTATGGCGAAACCAATAAGAACACGAAGAGATGAGATTCAACTAGCGCCATCGTTCGTGGAGGGTTGATCAGTTTATCAAGAGCATTTCTGGGAGCTGAATCAAGAAATGGGGAGTTACCAATAATGAACATATAATCATCTAATCACGTATTACATGGGTCATTAAATGTCCCCATTGAACATCACCCAACCATTAGGTATATGGTCAATGCCATGGCTACTATAAGGTGATGTCCAATATTCCCAAAATGGGACAGTTACCAACCCCTGTATTACCTTCATGTTGGATAAATGAAGTTCATACAATTAGTATTGATAAAATCATTTATATAATCGTTTGCCATCATCCACCATCATTTTGCCCTCCAACATAGACAGTTGCCATCTGCACTACGATCACTACGAACTCCCAGCTGCTTGAAACTGAACTCATTGTGGATGCTGAAAATTCTTGGGCTTTTCAAAGATGAGAACAAGGATTTCCCAACAGACATGTTTTTCCCATGGGCTAAGAGGAAACTTACAGGAAATCGATGGCTGGCTTTTCCTCCCATTCCGAAAAATTGCTCCCCTCACATCCCCTGGGAAGCTCCGGCCACAGCCAGAGCTGAAAGCGGCACATCCTCCACGAGCGAGGAGGATTTAGCATGGAAAAATGGGAGTTTAACGAGGAAAAATGCTGATGCAATGGGAATATCATGCAGCTATATGATGATAGATGCAAATATATGCAGATATAATAGTGGTGCCCCAAATTCTTAGCTCAGTTGTTTTTTTTCAGTAGCTCAACTATGGTTTGATGCGGTTATAAACCACTTTGTAACTGGGGGCACCACCTTTTAACTGATTCATAATCCATATATACATGTAGCCCATAGGGATATGTTTTCCAGAAACCATTTGGTCATTTTATATGGTTCTTGCTCACTAAGTGGGTAAACTCTCAAGTTGAATAAATAAATCCCAGCCATTTTTGGGAATTGGGTGATTTTCCAGTTCGCTATGTTAGTTTACCAGAGGGTATCACACAATCTGAAAAGGAGACTCCAGGAGTTGCAGCAAATTCATCCCACGAATCGTACGAAGGCTTCGGGTTCCACCGGGTGATCCAACGTAAGTGCCCTTTACGGTGGGTGAACCAAGTGGGCCTCGGACCGAAGTCCGAAAATTTAGAGAAGACCCCCAAAGAAAACCACTACCATCTGGTTATGACTAACAGTTCGCCATGGAAAATCCCAACCATAAATGGAGGTTTCTATATAGCTGGGAACATCATCTATTTCGATTGGGGCCATTAATTTTCCATGGCTATGTTAGTCATAACCAGAGGGTATATCCCATTAAATCCCATTAAACCACCATAAAAAATCGTTAAACCATCATTTTCCTATGGTTTTCCTATGGGAACTGGGGCATTTTAACCACAACTCACTGGACATTTTAAGGGGAAAACGAAAAAAATCTGCGTGACTGGTCGGTCACTAGGCCAGGTCGACCCGGGACCAGATGTCTCGTCGATTTTCGCTCTGGCAAAGCTGTGCCAGTTTCCATGGCAAACTGTTTTTTTGGGGGAAAAAAATGTGGGATAATTATAATATCATCATATATTCATATAAAATCTATTGGGTTAATTATAAATATAAAATATTATATGTGATATTATAAATCTATTATATTAATCATATATCATGATATCATATATCTCTGGGCAAATTATCATACTTCACCTGCCAAGTTCAGCCATTGGGATCGTTCCCCTCCCCCATGTACGCCTCATGCAGGTGGTCTCAAGGGCAGGTGGTCTCAAGCCATGGTAACTTTCCCAAACGGAAGCCATGAAAATGTGGAAAAAATTGGAAACTATGGGGCTTTGGATGGTTTTGGGGGACCATTTTTTTTCAAGCGACACCACTCAGCAGCAGAAAAATCTCACCGCAAAGTACATCCTTTTTCCGCGCAGACTTCCAGCAAACCTCAAGATGTGCGGTGGGACCGGCCCTCGGCCCTCAGGGTTCGCAGGGGCTGATCTGGTAATCTGATATACCATTTCTCAACACTTACCAACTGCGTGTACAAAGGAAAAGGATAACTTTCACCCCAAAATCCAGCAGTTTATCACGGTTGATCATCATATTCCCCAGAAAAAAGAAAAAAGCGTTGCCCACGCAGCCTGTTAGCATCAGGTTCGTTCTAGCTCCGCAACGATTGGGGATAGCCTGCCAAGATTCATCCAAACATACCATGTTTGTCCGATTTGTTGATAAACCTCCCTTGGGCTTATGCAAACCCGACCCAGGTTTACCATTTCTGGGGGTGCTTCACTCCCCATGTTTTTCGGTGGAAAGCCTTCGGCTTTCCGATCTTTGTGAGACCAAATCGGATTACATTCCCACATGTTCTTGGTAAAACCCCTACTTATGGGTGATTCCATATCATTTGTGGCTAGGGTTGATGGGATTTTTTTCAACCCTATCCCCCCACCTTCGGATCTTTTTGGTTGAATTTACTTTGGACTGGTTTCCTGGAAATTTTCTATGAATATATCATTATCATTATCATTATCATCATAGAATCATTAACAATTTTTGGTATAATGATTATCCTGACCTTAACAATAATGATGATAATGATTATCTTTTTGTTGTTGTTTTTGTTGTCATGATAATCATATATAATAATTATCATCATCATTGTTAAGGTCAGAAAAAAAAAAAAAAACATCACTATCATGATTAGCAACTCGCCATCTTTTCTTGCTTAGACCCCCATGCATTTGCAGCCAATTACCTTCCCCATGAGGATTCAATAGTAACCCCAATAAATACCGTTGCTTACACCCTCTGGTTCAACAGTTTGCGAACTGGAAAATGGCCCCTCCTGAAATTGATTCACCGATCAAACTTTGGGATTTTCCAGTTCGCAAGCTGTTCGGTAAACGACGAGGCTATCCCCGTTGCTATATATCTCACCTATAACGATATTCCCATCTGGGGTCGGAACATAGGCTATCCATGGCTATCCTAAATCCATTGATCAATCGATGCAAAACAGCACCATTCAAATCAAGTTTCAGGGCCATTTGGGGATGGGCAATTCCCATCTATTACCCTCTGGTAATGACTAACGTAGCGAACTGGAAAATGGCCCAGTCGAAATAGTTGATTTTCCCATTAAAAATGGTGATTTTCCAGTTCGCAAACTGTTGGTTTACCAGAGGGTAATCAAATTGTCCATTGGTGAATGGGAGATCCATCGCTGAAAATCCATGACATTCCCATCTATTCTCTCAAAAACTCCATTGAAAAATAGGTCAAATCAGCAAAATTTTTTGGGACATTCCATTAAAAAAATCGATTCACCATGGATACTCGAAACAATCGATTCACCACGAACATCCTCGATTTTGGGGGGAAACCCCCAGCAGTCTAACCTGCGGATCCAAGCCACTTCTCAGCAGCGTCGTCTCAAACTTCACCAGTTCTCGCGCCGCAGAGATCGCAGCGGCCGGGGCCGCCTGACCAGCGAAATTCGTGGGGGCCTGGAAGCACCAAAACGTGGAGTCGAAACGCCAACAAAAATCAGGGTTTAACCAACAGAAGTTGGAGATGAGCTGATGAGCGGCATCTTAACCTTGGCAAATGATATTTGAAGCATTTTGAAGCAACAAAAAATTGAGGCTAAAAAGATTTGAATGTACCTGTAGCCTGTACCTTCAAAAATTAAGGGGCTAAGGAACAAAACTTGGGGACAAATTGGATCTGAACCGTCAAAAGTTAGATTTTCACCAGAAATGAGGGCTGAAGCTGCCAAGACTATGGACTGAAGATGGGGGGATTCACTCATTTTTCATGGCCATTGAATGGGGAGTGATGATAAACCCATGGATTTTGGGGATACCCCCCACCTATAACGATTTTACACTGCCCCATGATTTTAGGGGTTCCTGGGATCTGTAGTTTCCCTCTCGGTAAGCATGTGTTCCCCCAACATCCCAGACTCGACATTGCTCCAGGACATTGCAGTGGACACCCAGAAATGAACATGATTTCCATGTCATTAGCGGTTAATTTCCAAAAAACCATGGCAGATTGTCACCATCCAATCTGGCCAGCATTTTTTCTTCATCAAGTTTCCGCATTGATTGTTTCTTGGGAGTATTTACAAAATGATTGAAGACATCCCAAATGATCTGGTCGCCTAACGTCAATGCCAACAACGTCCCCTGTGGTTCAATCACAAACATGGTTGTAGACTGTCGGTTGGTTGCCTACATATTTTGGAGGACAATGGATTTAATGGGATTTAATGGATTTAATGGGTCTTGGACACCCATAAAATGGGGTGGATGATGGTGGATGCATATCATGAAAAAAATCCACCCAACATCAGGTCCCGGTGCGGCAAAAAAGCGGTCCCGCAGCGGCGCCTCCGTTCCCTCCACGGATCCGTAGGTGTCAAGGTGTGTTTGGAAGATCTGGCGGAGAAAGGCCTGCAATGATAGCAAAATCATGCTGGTACTGATACCTGGTACCAGCAACAATGAAGACAACCAGGTTGTTCCGTTTTTTGCGTACGATTGTTTGAAAATAGAAGACATGACGATGATGTTTGAAATTGTCCTATCATCGCAAGTATAACATTAGTCACAGCAACAAAAAATGATAATGGTAATGATCATGATCGTAATAGTACTTATGATCACACCAAGTACTGCAGTGCATCATAATCATCATTGTCATCCTCCTCATCCTCATATCGTCGAGTTCTTCGTCCTCCTCGTCCTCCTCGTCCTCCTCTGACTCCTCATCCTCATACATCATCATCCCCATAAACCCCTATCACCCCCATCATCCCCAGTTTCCCCATCATCCTCATCATCCTCATCATATCTCATCATCATCATCATCATCATCATCATCATCATCATCATCATCATCCATCATCCATCATCCATCATCCATCAACATCTGCATCATCACCATCACCATCACTATCACCATCACCGTCACCATCACCATCACCATCACCATCACCATCACCCTCACCGTCGTCGTCGTCGTCGCCATCATCATCATCATCATCAGCAGCAGCAGCAGCAGCAAACATGATCATCATCAGCACCAGCACTATCACCGTCCTCTTCATCATCATCCCCATCCTCGTCCTCATCCTTGCGTTTTCCCCTTGCTCCGTCCTGGCTACAGCCATGGGGGGAAAGGCCTTACTTCAAGTAGTCGTTTCCTGCAAGCAGTTTGAAATGGATATGCAAGAAATATGCCGGTTTCAGCCGCCACATTTCTAACAAAATGGGGTTCAATTGACCCATGAAGAGCACCTGTGCGGCGTTTTAATATCTGCTCTTCGTCAATAACATATCTCCTTGGGATTCTTCAACCGCTCCTGCTCAACTTGTATCCTGAAGTTTGCAGAAGACTGAAAGGACAGTGAACTGCATATAATATGAATAAGTAAGACAGCGAAATGAAAAACGAACAAATCAAATAAATACATATATATATATTATATTATATATATATATTATTATATTATATTAATATTAAATATTATATACTATATTATATTTTCCACGTTGCCCACAGCTGCTGCACCTAATAGGTGTCTTACATTCGGCCAAAAATGGCGCAGCATAGAGCTATGCCGTTCTGACCGTATCATTATAAGTCATATATTAAATATTATATATATAGATAGATATAGATATAGATATATAGCCACATTTTTCATAGTTTCATGGGGCTTGTCAGTTGTTCATGGCGATTCTGCCAATCACCTAAATGCATCTCTATCATATACATCCATTTCTGATAGCCATAAACTGGGGCAAACCCAGTATTGACGGGTTGCAGCGCCATTAAGTGGTTATAAATTTCCGAGTTACGGACAATGGTCATGGTTAGCAGCTCCACCATCATGTCAACCACATCATCATGTCAACCACCCATCATCAAGTAGCTGAGAAGTGTAACAGTTCGGAAGCGTGTGAATTCACAGGTGAAAACACGCTCGGACGCGAAACTGTGGCCCCTGGGGTCGCCGAAGTAGGGTCTGTTTCCGCGGTTTGGGGCCTTGATCTGGCAAAGTTTTTGACAACGACGCTCCTGCTATGCGGGTTTGCAACCGGCTGTGACCAAACGCATTGGCACGGCTGCGCGCAGCCAAGCATTCAGTGATGCTACCAGTCTACTGCTATGCGGGCTTGCAGCTGGAGGGTGCTAGACGCGTTGCTGAGGCTGCGTGAGAGCTAGTTTTTGACCACAGTGCTATTCTTGTACTATTCGGGATTGCAGCTGGGGGTTGCAAAACGCACTGTGCTGGATGCACGAAGAGAAGACTTGGGTTGCAGAAGGTGCAGAAGAGGTAGCTGGGAATCATTTCAGAGCACAAGTAGCCCACATACTGTAAGAGGCTGCTCAGAGAAGAAGTAGCTGAGAGAAGAGGTACCTCAGCGAAGAGGTCGCTCAGTGAAGAAGTGCCATCCATGCATCCATTCATTCATCCATCCGTCTATCATTCCATTCATGCGTTCATTCATTGGTTCATTGATTCATTGATTCATGGATTAACTTAACTGATTCATTGGTTCATTGAATCATTGACTCATTGGTTCACTGATTCACTGATTCATTGATCCATTGATTCATTGATTCATTGATCCACTGCTTCATTGCTTCATTGATTCATCGACTCACTAATTCACTCATTCATTGGTTCATGGATTCGTTGATTCGTGGATTCACTGATTCATTGATTCATTGGTTCAGTCATGTCATTGGCATCTCAAAGACCATTTGCTAATTCGTTGATGCACCTCACAACTTCAACACTTCATTGCTTCATATTGCTTCTGCATCTCAAAAACTTTCCTACAGGCCATTGATTTCCTTATAGCTGGCTGAAAATGTTCGAAACTTCCGCCCGTCGCGGGCAGGGCACTACCTGGTATAGCCATAGTTCTAGGGGACCCATATCCTAACGTATAGAACTTATTGCAAGCCTACAACATCGTGTAAGCAGTATTCATCCCAACTGCACCAAGGGAAGATAGCTGCACCTTGACCTCCTTCTCTCTGCGAATGGGATCTCCAAGTCGCTCGCCCAGTTCCTGCGAGGGTCCCATTTTTGAGGGGTAAACATGGGAAGATCCTGGGGAGATCACTCCAAGCCAGACGTTCGCCCACCACTTATCTTCAGGGATCAAATCTCCCATCCCCTCTGAACAATATTTTCTGAATGGGATATGAACTGAAAAACTTATCTTCATAAGAAACATAAAATCACCCCATCTGAAGAATATTTTGAACGGGATATTCATACACATATACATACATGTTTACCTACATAGACAAATAGAAATACGCAACCCTTCCACAACTTTAGGGCGGGCACGCGTCAGAGTTGCAGCGAGCATATTTAACCCATTTTACCGAAATGGTTAAGATACCAGCAACGAATTGAAAATGAGGAACTTGGAAATTCCTAGCAATAATTGGGAAATTACACTGAAAATGAGGAAAATTATTTAACCCATTGTAATTGGGATTGAACTTGGAAATGTTGGGAAATTTTATGGGATCAACCCAGAAAATTGATATTCAGGACTTGCATCTCGGCAATGTTGCCATCTTCCGCAGTCCCCATATGTTATTCACAACGACTACACCTTCAATGTAAAGGTGGATATACAATGATATACATGTTTGGATTGTTTCTTCGTTTTTGTTGTAACAAGCTGCAACTGCCTGCCGATTTGTTGGATCTTCTCGGTGACGCTGGTCCTCCTCGTCTGCAAAACACGCACGCACGGCCAACCACAACGGGCACGCCTGTGCGGAGCAATTTCAATGAGGAAGTCGTTGTTCGGCCGGGACCATGCCAAGCACAATGGAAAAAATTAATAAAATTGACTACTGTAAGCAGTTGTAAAGAATCGACAAATTTAAACAAAAACAATACAGTGGGTGGCTGTGGCAGACGTTCTTCTGGAATGGGCTTGAAAAATGGGCATTGTTTTTCATCAGTCAAGAATGGGAAACAAGGGATTTGTCATATCATAATCCAAGCATTTTTGACCGCGTGTCGTTTTGCAGGTCTACATTATATCAGAGGAAAGACGCCATGGATCAAAATTAAGGGCCCTTCCAATGTTCCCAGTCGACTTCCATGCACGCAAACTGTCACTTCATCTGCCTCAACATTGAAGTCCGGCACCCACCAAGCCTCAGAGCAAGGGCCCCCAATTCACGAAGGGATCTCAGTCCTCTGGGTGGTATACGGTATATGATGTTATTTATTGGGGGAAGGGATTACAATGACTACTGTCAGCAGATATCTCACCTTTTGAGGCCGGCGTCAACGTTTGCGTCAACCTAGCCCCAACCAGGTCATCATAGCTGCAACCTTGCACAAAAATGTCCCTTTTCTGGCCAGTGGCTGGCTGTCAGGCTGTCAGGCCTAAGCCTTTAAATTTTACATATCACCGGATTTTTTCATGTGTGCAATATCAATGGAGTCTATGTGAAATATCTAGATCTTCCGACTTTTGATGAGATGTCAATTCAAAAAATCTAGAGACTGGACCGCGTTCACGTCCTGCAATGATATACAGTATCTATCTAGTTGCGCATCTTCAATAAACAGGGTGATACCTTCACAGACTAATTACTTGGCTAGCAGATGTGTATCTTACGTAGAAGTGAAGCCCATCCTTTTCATGAAGGAAGGAGATCCTTTGGATAAAAAGGGTACAACAAAACTTACTGGTGCTTAGTAGGGAATGGATGGGTTACTGGGGGAATGGGATGATTATTACTAGTGATTGTGGATCATTCACTCATTCCCTGCTAAGCACCAGTAAGAAAAAAAACAACGCAAGAAACAGATGGGAATATTCCCCTTTTCAAAATGCTTGGAATACCCAGTGCTGGTCCCGAAATTCAGCGGCTTCCCACTAGAAATAGATCAAAAGAATGGGTTGCCACTAATGTATTCAGATGTTTGTTGCTCACATCACATCCCCATTTCTATTGTTGAATATCCATAATTATGTTTCTCTAATCCCAATTCTGTTGCTCACATTCCCATTTCTGTGGCTTCACTCTCCGCGATTGACATTTTCGTTGACGAAATCCCCAAGTGCTATGGTTAAATCCCCATATGCGTTGCAGAAAAATCCATTCTGCTCCTGAAATCTCTTTTTGTCAGAAAAAAATCACACTTGAAACATAGAAGATAGAATTTCTCACTTAAATCATCTCCAATAACCATCTTGGGCCTCTTGGGTCATAGAATTTGTAAATCATCGCAACTATCTCCAAATATTTGAAATAACCATCTTCCAAGCATAATCCGTCCCGTTGGCGCCTCCAGGTCCTCCGCGTAGCCGCCCTTGGCATAGCCCCGGATCGCCAGTGCTCGCCGCGCAGTGCTCGCTTGGTCTTGGAGGGTCGCCAGGGAGAGCGGCACTTCCACGGTGTGGATCTGACCTCGAGTTGTGGTTGGAATGGGAGTTTTCAACCAGTTTCAACCAGAAAAAGATGGGGATTCACCAGAAAAAGATGGGGATTCACCAGAAAAAGATGAGGATGTTTCATGATTTAACGATGTGTAGCTCTCAACAAAAAAGGTGATCTAAGATGATCTAAGCATCAAAAACTGGGTGACATGAGGTGATCAAATTGAAACTCGGGATTTGATCATGAAAAGCAAAAACTGGTTTTGGGATTTCATGTTTGTCCCAAAAAAAAATGATGTTTCTTAGTGGCGAAACCTGAGGTTACCTCTGGTACTTGAGTCCTCAAAAATGGGTTCTAATGATGGTAAACCTCATGGAACCAAGAGCCAGCTCCACGGCTGGAGATTGTACGATCCGGTGAAACAAGCAACATGACTTACTGGTGCGTTTTACGTAGGGAATGGATGGGTTGCTGGGGGTTGCTGGGATGATTATTGATAGTGATTGGGGATCATTCCCGAAAATTCCCTGCGTTTAGCACCAGTAAGATGAAAGGGACTATCAAATTACAACTGAAAAGCATCAGCAAACAAAATGTCTACACTCTACAGGATGTTGGAGTTTGATTCTCTATATCTATTTGATGGCTATAGCATGTTATAGCTCAATTCTGTGGCCCAAATACTTGCTGCAAAACATCACCACAGCCGCCCGGGACGGTCATCCCCAAAAAACCCCTGGCGGATCGGACATGAGCTGTCGAAAAAGCCATAAGCCTCGAGAGGAAAAAGCCATAAAATGGCAGGAAAAATATGGGTCCAATGGGTTTTTAAATCGGAAATCATGGAAAAGCATCGAACTCACTGGTGGATTTTCCATTGCCGTGCTTGATTACCGGATGGTGCCCCCAAAATTATCCTCATCAGTCATCATGGCACCACAGTAAGCTTCCTCTCAGTGCAATGGTGAATTTCAAGCGGCAAAATTGTGGTTCCACATCGCCACTCGGGTTTTTTCCGTTGCTGGCATTCTCATCTCAATTGTGTCTACTTCCTTCAATTTGATTACTCCAGTACGCCCCTGGGCCCGCTTGCTTTTCTTGCTCATGTCCCTTAAAACCAGCCAAAAAGCATCTGTTTTTGCCAGACTAATATCTAATATCTAATATATCCGATATATCATATCAATATATATATATATATCAACTAGGTATATTAGATATTAGATATCATTTCATATCAAAAATGACAGACTTCACGGCCCAGTCGATCTCCCCTCGTCTTCACCTCGAACAGATCCAAGTAATCTGCCTCTGGATAGTAACCTTGGCCCGTTCGGCCCGTTCAAAATGGGTGTCCGAAAATGGGTGGTACCCCCAAATCATCCAAAATATTCATGATATTCATGACCATTCCAGTATTGAAACCCATGGTTTTGGGGGATAATTTAAAAAAAAAAAAACACCCATGTGACGTCGGCAAGTTGCGGTCTTACTAGCTCGCCAGAATCAATGTTTGTTGCATCCCCAGTTCTTGGGTTGAATTCCCAGTGACTCCTCTAGAGACCGGTGGTGACATCGGAAACAAATCGCCATTGAATAGCTGGAACCCCCATCAAAAAAAGTCTAGAGTTTTTGTTCACCCAAAGAATCTCATTTGCAGCCAAATTCCCCCATCTACTCCTAGTAACATGAAAATGACACTGACAAATCTACGGTTTTTAACGGCTAAAAATCTAAAAATCCCCTGTTTGTATCACCCTGTCTGGGAAAAGATCCTAGTGGCTGATGCTGACCTCATCTCCCGGCTCCATGGCATAGGACGCCACCAAGGTCATGTGACCATCCTGCCCATTCCCGGATTCCCCCAGTTTTCGGATGTGAAACACCCAAGATCTCCGATTTTCTTCTTGTTCTTCTTGGAGTTGCTGCAGGAACCCACGAAAAATCAGAACAAAAATCTTCCCGACATCGAGTTTTCACTGGATTTCCCATTGGAAAAGCCGTTGATCATCGACTAGTCACTGCACAACACCCACCAACCTTCACTTGGACCTTGGCTGTTGGAGCCACTGAGACGTGATTGCAGAGATCCACGCCCGGGCAGAGCAACAGACCCTGGAAAGATGTCACCAATCGATTGGTGAAATGGGCAACAGCATTGGGAAATCCCGTTGCCCAGGCCATTTTTCGGTGGCAAATCAACGAACTATTGCTGGTGATACCCTCTGGTAATTTAACATAGCTATGGAAAATTACCATTTTTTATGGGAAAATCCACTATTTCTATGGTCATTTTCAATAGCTATTTTGACATAACCAGAGGGTAACAATTGCAAAGCAAAACTATGAACTACCCGTAACTACCCTGTAACGTGGCTAGCTCTGGAAATCCCCGAGTCATGTTGACTCCTGGGAAAATCATCCAGAGTTTTCCAGCCAAGCAAGGCTCACATCCGCAGAAAACAGGAAGCCCCGGTTAGGCGGTTGGGCATGAGGATATCACCAACTGACAGGCTTCTGTACGCCTGGTTCTTTGGATGCCATTAGGAGTCCATGGGTCGCCAGAACTCATGGCATTGCTAAACCAATGACTCGTTGTGGTGGATCTTGTGATTTGGATGCTTCAAACATCAGTAAGTTCTTGGGATCGTGTCCCATGCAGCAAAGACTTGTTCCACCAAGGCAAGACCCGTGGGTTGCGTCCGAGTTCTCGGCCTTTGTGATGTTGCTTCGAAGTCAACGACGGTTGGAACATGAGTGATGGTCTTAAGATGTCTTAAGTTACCGAAAAGAAACATTTCGGAAAAGAACTGGCGATGGAAATCTCGGACCACTGAGAATCCCATCATCCCATTTCCCATTCTATTTACCATCTGGTTATTTAACAGTTTGCCATGGAAAGATCCACCCATGCTATTAAGAACGGTGTTTACCATCTATTTCGATTAGGGCCATCGAAAAACCATGGCGAACGGTTAGTCATAACCAGGTTGGGTAATCCCATGGTAATCCCATCTATCCCATTGCGGTGGACAACCCCACCATTGCCCACCTTGAGCTCGGTGTCCAGCGCACGGGTTTGCACCAGCAAAGCGGACCAGAAGTGATCCTGGAGAGAGATGCTGGCGGGCGCTTGGAATGTAGGGCGTTGCGTAAAGGGCGTCCATGATCATGGGGAATGCTCTTGGGACACGTTTTATAGAAAATGTATATATGTGTGTGTGTGTGCCGACCCCTGAATCAAAGGGAATGTTATGTTGATTAGTTCAGTTCAGACTACATGTTCTAGATAGCTGGCACGAAGAAACCCACTGCACCGTGAGGCATCTTGCGAAATCGCGGAGAGTGGTTCGACCGTAGATTTACGAACTTGCAAGTGTATCGAAAAACATCATAACAGCTGAGCATGTTCAACCCAGTTCGCAGCAGTCTTTGCATGTATGTTAGTATAAGATCCGAAAGGTCAGTGCCCAGCATTGCCTTGGTGACCTGGTAAGTTTGATGATTGTCCTATCACGCGCCACCAGCATGTTTCTTCCTCAATCCGTGGATTTGCGTGTCTTGTGAGTGAGTGTATGTGCTGAACCCTGAATCAAAGAGAATGTTCTGGTGATTAGTTTGGTTGGGACCACATGTTCAAGGTAACTAGCGCGAAGAAGTCCATGTTGCATATAAGTTCCAATCCGACACATCTGTGCATCTTCAAGCGTGCAGCACATGGGTTTCGATCGTTCGTTTTGAATTAGCATACCAACGAGCAGGGGCATTGGGCACTCCTTGGCAAACCCAATGCAATGAAGCTATGCCTTGGAGTGGGATGCACGGTCTGATCAACCGTGTGTACCTGCAGTAATCTCAGTATGGCAACTGGGCAAAGCCAAAAACCCAGCATGAGGAAACATGAATTTTCATTTCATCTCACTTCATCGTCTCCCTTCGGGGTGTTTCTAAGTGTGTAGTGCTTTTCACGCACCTGGATTTCTGATACAGTGCCAGGGAAGCTTGGCGGTGCGCCCGCTGGGGATACCAGATTTTGTTCAGAGTTACACCGCGCCGGTTGATCCAACGGAATTCGGTTCAAAGGTGTTCGCACCTTATCATGCTACAGAAGTAGATCTCGCACCATGCGTCAAACCACTGCACAGATTCACTCTTCAGAACCAGATTTGATACCAGATCTTCGAAGCCAGATTTTTCCATCAGATTCCTCCTCAGAGTTTTCATTTCAGAATTCCTCGTGTCATTCCCCCTAACAAGCTTCAACCACAGTATTGTTTCATTTGATTCCGCAGTTGAGTTTCACCAGTGGGCAAGTAGCCGCGTTTGCGCTTACCTCATGGAGCATATGCCGTCGTCAGCAGACTGGATGTATCGACACATGTTTGGGACACCACCGTGGACACCAAACACACAGACACCACCAACAAATTCATACCCAACTCCTCAGCAAGCATTATCAACAACATCTCAGCTGACCATGCCAACAACATCCACAGCAGCGCCATTTGCCATAAACTCAACATTTCCAGTTTCAGTTCCAGCAGCACAGCAGCAGCTCTATACACCAACACCTACTAGCCCGGCACATATGCACATGATTCCAGCCACAGCATCCCCAGCACCTTTTCCAGCTTACCAACCACCATTGCCAGCAGCAGCTCCTGCTACATTGTTTGGAACAACAAGCCAAAACTATCCAGACTTCCTGACTGGCTCCCTTTTTGACTATGGACAGCACACATCGCCAGCACATCAACACACAGCAAAACCCAGCCACACAGACAATATCTTACCATCACTAGCCACACAGCCACCTGTTCATTCTACATGCGCTCAACCTCAACGAGTGGAACAACATTCACCACATCACGCCAGCCGGCGACGCAAGCGCTCAAATACTCCACGATCTAGGCGTGGGAGCCGAAGAAGAAGTCGAAGCACACGGCGTCAACATCGCCGACAATATCACCGCAAGTCACGCAGCAGAGCAAGGGCAAAACGGTCAGAACGAAATCCCAGCACATCGTCCAGACCCAGATCCAGACACGCTAAGCATCACCATCATCAGCGTTCATCCACTCGACGACAGCAACACCAAGCACCCACGCAGTCTGGGAACATAGCAAGCCCAACACCGCAGACACCAGCACACACAATAATGCCACCACCACTGCTACTGCCACCACCACTACCACCACCACTACTACCGCCACCACCACTACCACCACCACTATTACCACCACCACTACCACCTCCGCCACCGCCACCAGCGCCACAACCGACAACGGTGCCACCACAGACATTATCAGCCCAAGTCCTACGAGTGGCAACACGAACAGCCACTTCCAACGCCATACCGGCCAGTACGGCGCCACAACCCAGGCACGGATCCACTACTACAGCAACGGCAACATCATCTAACTTAGCAATGACACCAACAACAACACAAGACCACTCCGACGACCCACTTGAAGCAGCTGTTCAACGCAATATCGACAGCAACACATCCGTACTTACACCATGGCAGCCGCCAATCAGAAACCATTACCACCCGTTCAATTACAAAGCACTTCAGCAGCGCTTGCACTCAGCAGCAGCACGTGCTCAGGAACTCACCCCCCCATCAGTGTACTTTCGTTTTTTGCAAGACAGAGATAGCAGTGTTCGTGAAATTGCTACCTTGCTTGAAACATCTTTCCCACCAGGGATTGACCTACCACAAGAACACATCATTCATACACTGTCAAAATATATTGTTACAACTGGAATGCCTATCCAAACTACGCTTGCCCGCATCACGTTCCACCAGCATGACAAATACCGAGTGTGGCAATTACACCTACGCAACATGCCACGCAGCACCTCTACAGCAATGTCGCAAGCAAGCAACTGCCAATACCATTGGGCGCACGCCACCAGTGAAACAGGCTTCTTAGGAACTTTACTGTACGGGATGGTACTACCAACATGTTCTGAAACAATGTCAGGCAGGCAATCTCAAGGCTTCTTCTGTGCAGCAACAATGGATGAGAGCACCATCGTTCAAAAAGTAGTAGACCGCTATCTCAGCGGAAAGGCACATGTTCCTTTTGTACTTGGCGGTACCTTGTGGGCAACACACAAAGCCGTCCCAAGCGGGGGCACATACACAGAGCAGGAAGAGGTCGAGACGCATGGCATCGTACATCGGGCAAGGGACAAAAGGTGGTGTATCCACGCTACGATAGCATCCATTCAGTCCATTTGGATTCTTGAACAACAAGCACACACAACAGAGCCACCGCAAAGTGATCTGATGCGTGAAGATGCTCCGCGGCTGACTTTACAAACCGATGTGGAAATGAGAGGTTATTAAACCTCAGCTCTTGCCCCGTAGTTTCACCAAGTGAACAAGCGACAATATGTTCGTTTTTAAACGGCAAACCAGGTTTGCAAATTCTTGTCACAACACATTTTCACCAGCTTGTTCAATACAGAGTCCATACCACACGTGAGGTGAAAAAAGGTGAAATTCGCACCATTTACGACAATAGGTTGACCTGGCTTTTGTTGTGGATTTTATGCGCGTGGTTGAGTCCTTCAACAAACATCATGTAGGATTGACACCATACTACCATCAAAGGTTTCATGATTAGTTCAGCATAGACAGAACCTATTGCTTTCATTAGTTGGTTTCAGCAGAAGTTTATAGCAGCTTGATAACGTGCAAGTGTGAGCAGAGCAACTTTGCTCACACACACCGAGCGAGTCGTCCGTGCGTTGTACAGATTATGATGTCCTTTAACCTTCAAGCAGCAGTTGCTATTGGAATGTCTTGAAAATTGAACTGTTTCTTCAGACTGAGCTAATTCGTGCTCAAGTACCGCTCCGATCGTTCTTTCATTGTACAGTCATGTCGTGGCGAAGCACCAGCAGACCGTGGAACTGGCACCAGCACCAGCATTCAGCACCGCACACACCACCACGAGCAACATACCAGCATCCTGACTCACAGTACCGACATGAACCACCAAGCCCACAAGGAACCAAACAGTTCAACCGAGACATACCAGCCAATTTCCAACCTGATGCCAACCACTTTGACACCAAGCAACAGTATGGCCTTTCCTTTCCTCGCCAAGTCACCTCAACAGCCTGGAGTCAGAAGTATCATCTAGCAGGAAGACCCATTGACTCCGTACGACTGTATGAATTGGCTTACCTTGGTTGGTCCAACTGGAGCCTTCGAGCCTTAGCCAATGGCAAATTCACATCACTTGTGTTTGCCCGCAGCATCAAAGAGTCCATTTTCTTCCACCATTTGTCCATGAAACTTCGAGATGAGCATATGGATTTAGATGACATTGCAGCAGCATATTGCCAGCAGCAAGGTATTGCGATCACCGATCCAGATCCCAATCAACTCAAAAAAGCCAAAATTCACCACCTTGTGAATTCCACAGTGGATCATTTCCGGCAATTCTCCAATACAAGCTTACAAGAAGCCCAAGACAAAATTCGACAGCTGGAAGCACAGCTAGCAGCAACCCAGACCATTTCCCAGGTACCCACTGACGAAGAGCAAGCCGCATCCCCACAACCTCACCCGCCAACCACACCTGATGAAGCACCACCGTCACCAACACCCGCACGCAAACGAAAGCCCGACACATCCAACACACAAACGGCCAAAAGATCGCGCACTTTGACGGACATGGGGATCACCAAACGGCCGGGCAACCATGACACCAAAGACACACAAAGAACACGCAAACACACAACCTCACCCACTGCCGTACCGGCAGCGGGCGCACATGATGTACCAACCAGCACTACTATTGGAGACCTTCAAGCCAAAATCACGCAACTCCCTGGCACCAATACTGTCAGGCCATTTGCCTCAGCATCGCCCAACAACAGCACGGCCAAAACCGTTGATGCCTGGATCAAAAAGCAGAGCATTCCCAAACAACACCAAGCAGCATTGCAAGAAGCTCTTGCAACACTCACCGGACTTCTCAAGAAGATCCCAAAGCCCGAGCAAAGCACCTTTGCAGACAAGGCCGCCTCATCGGCCTGCCAGTATCAGTGGCATCGAAAGCCCGCGCGGATGAGCTCTACAAGTTGCTG